TTTCATTTGTGATTTCAGAAAGTATGTAATTGGTGGATCGCACAGGGTTTGGGCAGTAAACAGTAGATCTTGGGTCTGGCCATCCCTGAAATTTATATATATATATATATATATATATATATATATATATATATATATATATATATATATATATATTCGGATAAATAAATAGATAAAACTGGCAACTGAGAAACGCACGCGTTGCCATGGTGACCACAAATAATAGAAAAAGTTTTATTCTCATTAAAAATGTTAATATAACAAGACGACAACGTTTTTTTATTACAAAATCAACTAAATAAATCGAGTAGTTCCTCAAGATCCTCATCAGGATTAATCAACTTTTTCATACAATTTTGCGTGATAAATAGTCATGAATGATTCCTTTATAATTTCTACATTTATTTAATGCGTAAACACTCATTTTGTTTATTAAATAATTAAATATAGATACGTCAAGATACATTGTGTGCGTAAGTATATAGAACACTGATAAAAAAAAAACGAGTCAGCTAATTTGACAATTAGCTGTCAAAAAGTTGACACGTTTACGAGGCTCGATGCTCTATGTACATAATCTGAGGTTAAGAGAAAAGTTTATACGATTGACGCTTCAGAATCGACCTCATTACAAGCGGGGTCATAAAACTAATGTGCGAAAGCGCGGTACAAATACTTAATACTCTATGCGTTTCTCATGTAAATGCGAATAGAAAGCCAATCGTGACTCGACTGTTAATCATCACAGACTAAAACGCAACATGCGTAATTCATAGATTTTTTTTTCTCGGTAATGTTTGTTTTTAAACTTGGTAATTTATGACCGACTCCATTGCTGTACGCGCATGGCGGGAAAATGCTTTTTTTTTATGCGACTTAGAACGGTAAGCAGTCTGATGGTACACCTGATGGAATGTGGTAACTGTCGCCGTGTAGACTATGGTGTTTTTTTTTTATGTATGATAATGGAATAGTAACCCTGCCTATGCTATGGATATACGCTGGCGGAGTACCAGTGAAGGATGATAGGTGAGGACGAAAAGGCAGGACAGTTAGCCCATCGTGACGAATTCAACGATAAATTAGTCACGATGGTTTCCAGGGGGAACCGCGTGGAGGTCGACCTGATAAGGTATATTGCTCCCCCCCCATCTTAACTATTGTGTTAATGTTGTATTACCTTAATAAATGAATAACATACCTAAAACAGATATGTAATTTACATTTGCCCTAAATTACACGGCCATGGGATTTTTCTCACACATAATGTATACGCCATTGAATTACGAAACACCATGAGGTAACACTACGTGAAATATGGTCGTTTGTACGGGCAGGTCATTAACAGGGACTCGATATAACCATAAGTAGACTCTATGTTTAATGTATTAGATTCCACAATGAATCGTTGCATTCCAACGACCTACTTTCCTTGCAATTCATGAGAGAAATATTGAATGAAAACCCTTTATTGTTGCTTTTAAAGGAAGATAAAGTTATACTCGTAAATACAGTCAGAAGTCTTAATTTTGCAAATTTTTTTTTTATTCTTATTTATTAACAGATTTTACTTTTTTTGGTTTTTTTTTTATACTACTTAAAATGGCAAACAAGCTGCGTGAATCAGCGTATAATCCTATATTCTATGTATATGTCAGAAATGAAATGAAATGAAATGAATTTATTTTGCTAGAATGCAGGTAATTTTAGATGATAGAGGTTTATATTTCCCGTGTACATTCTGCCTCTATGTCGGCGTGCAAATTTTTAACAATATAAGTAATTTATATATATATATATATATATATATATATATATATATATATATTCTACATTATATTTCCTTTCCTTAGTCATACAATATATTATTATTATTTATTACAGTAAACAGAAAAAATAAAAACCTATACAATAGTTGTCCAAATTAATAAAATATTTTAACAACTGTATCTCTAGTGTAGTCAGAATTATGGAGGTTAAAAAACTTGAGTAAAAAATGTGTAGACAAAAAAAAAACAAGATACAACAAGCAAGGTGAAGAGGCAACAATGGGCGGCCTTATCGCTGAACAGTGATCTTTTCCATGGATTTCTTAATTAAATATAATTACTTTAATTAATTAATTACTAAGAATATATACATCTTATGTTATATTCGCGTATGGGGTCAGCTAAGCCGTTGCACGTCGACACATGGGAATCGTTTATGCTTCCCCCTGCCTTATGCCATCATTTCGTTGATCCTATGTGTTACCCTAACGATATCCCGCGGTTTAAGATATCTGTAGTCCCCTGGCTTTTTTTTTATACAACTTAGAATGGCAAACAAGCTGACGGCCCACCTGATGGAAAGTGGTAACCGTCGCCTATAGACATGAGCAGTACCGTGGACATAACAGAGTATACTGTTTCGCCCATGATAGGGGGTATCATGGGCGAAACAGTATACTACATATACATGCGTTGCCATTCCCGAGGATTCAGATGTTATTCCTCTGTACCCAGTAAATTCATGCAAGATCCCATCCTTCAAACCGAAACACAGCCATGCAAACACAACTGCTTCACGGTTGAAACGCGAATGGGACAGAGGTACCCAAGCAATCGACTTTTGTATAAAGTCTCCCTCTGGTAATACACAGTTGTCAGCAATGGCGGGAGCGCGCTTTAAGTCTAGGTACATATGCGAACGTATTGACGGCCGGCGTAAGACTACTGTAGAGGGCGTCAATGTCTATTACCTGTAACGAGCGGGTGGATGCCCGCGAATTGTCCGGATTGGTCGTTCTATTATGTTGGTAGTAGTGATGGTAGGTTTTTTTTTTATGTGTGAAAATGGTGTGGTAACCCCGCCTGCGCTAACGGGATAATACGCTGGCGGAGCACCAGTGAAGGGTGATAGGTGAGAATGAAAACATGCCAGTTATCCCATCATGATGAATTCATCAGGAGTTAACCATGATAGTTTCCAGGGGGAACCGCGAGGAGGTCGACCTGGTTTGGTATATTGCTAGCAATGGGATTCTCAGTGTCCATTACTAACAATCCCTTTCCCCCCAGTGATGGTAGGTTGTACCATACTATTATATTAAAATACTAGCTGACTCGGCAAACGTTGTTTTACCATATACATTATTTCTAGAACTATACATGAAAATTTATCGTACTAGAATTATTATATTCGATTGCCAACTTGCAACCATATTGCGGAATATAAAAATCGCGATTAAAAAACAGGGCTCGATCGTAAAAGCGTCAAAATTTGAATTTGTATGTATTTTTTCAATGCTAAATCATAATAAAATAAAAATAAAAAAATTTGTTAAAAAAAAATAAAAAATAAATATTCAGGGGTGGGTCACCCCTATCATTGAGGGGTATGAAAAGTAGATGTCGGCCGATTCTCAGGTCTACCCGATATGCACACAAAATTTCATAAAAATCGGTTTGAAACCGTTTCGGAGGAGTTTGGTAACAAACACCGCGACACGAGAATTTTATATATAAGATGTTAGTGTAGCAGTTAAATACCTAGCTTGTTAGAAGTATATATAAATGGAAATGTGACCAGCGTGAAGGTAGAGAACTAGCACCAATACATCACAATAGATTTAGTCTCTCTTTTATAGTTCAAGTAACTGACAGTTTATTTATAACACAACACGCACTAAATATATAAAACACTGTATCGCTAAAATTGTTAATATATTATTGAATTTGTAAAGTAAATTTTAGACAAAAGTAAATTTTAAAACACCAACAAATGTTAAGGTTACTAGGCAATCATATTTTTCTTTTTCTATTTTCAAATTTCACTAAAGAGTTTACATACATACATATCTGTCACGCCTGTCTCCCATTACGGTAGGCAGAAACAATGGAACGCCAAATGCTTCGATACAAACAGACCTCTTTCGCTTCCTCCACATTCATCAATCTTTTCATACACGCTCGCCGGTTACGGGTACCTTTAATTTGGCCCTTCTTCAGCACGCCGCCTATTTGGTCGACATACGTCCGTCTAGGGCGGCCCCTACCGATGTCTTCATTCATTCTTGCTCGATAAATCTCTTTCGTAATTCTTCTAAAGAAAAAGTGTTAGTTTTTACTAAAGAGTTTATTAATACCTAGTTTGCACCTTAACAAAATATCATTTAATTTGGAAAGACTGTTATTTTTCAGACAAATGTCAATTCATAAAAAAAATCTCAATTATTAAAGTTACAAGGCAATAATATATTTTTTTTTTTATATTATTTTAAGGGCTTTTACCAGAGGGAGACTGTACAAAAGTCGATTGCTTGGGTACCTCTGTCCTATTCGTGTTTCAACCGTAAAGCAGTTGTGTTTGCATGACTGTGTTTCGGTTTGAAGGGTGGGATATGGCGTGAATTTACTGGGTACAGAGGAATAACACCTGAGTTCTTAGGAATGGCAACGCGTGGGGGGTATCATGGGCGATACAGTAGATATACTCTGTTATGTCCACGGTACTGCTCATGTCTATAGGCGACGGTTACCACTTTCCATCAGGTGGGCCGTCAGCTTGTTTGCCATTCTAAGTTGTATAAAAAAAATGTCCAGCAGTGGCCAGTTAAAGGCTGTGATGATGATGATGAAATAGGATTATTTACGATAGTTCAACTATATCAGCGGTGGCCAACCGGTCGCTCGCGACCACTAGTCCAGTGGATGGTGTCAAGGCGAACAATATAATATATCGCTAATGTAGCGGAGTATGCTGGGACGCGACGCTCGCACTAATATAAACAAGTAGTCGCCGAGAAGCAGTTTCAGCTTTACGTTCTCCCTCTTAATACAATAAACAATACTGCAACACTACACGGTCGTGTACTGAACTGTGTCGTTTCATTTGTGATTTCAGGAAGTATGTAATTGGTAGATCGCACAGGGTTTCGTCAGTAAACAGTAGATCTTGGGTCTGGCCAAGTCGGCCATCCCTGAAATTTATATATATAACGTTTGTCTTTTTGTCCGCAGAACAAAATGCGTTGCCTTCTATTGATGGTACTGCTTGTGGTGATGTCCAGCGTGTACGCCAAGAAAAAACAAGACGACCACAAGGTATGTACTTACAGCTCACTTGCCCCGGGGGGGAGAAGGATTGTTAGCAATGGAGTTTGACAGCCCCATTGCTAGCAATATGCCCTATTAGGTCGACATCCTCCTGGTTTCCCCTGGCAACCATCGTGATTGATTTATTGTTAGAATCGTCACGATGGGCTAACTGGTGGCTAATCCTTCACTGGTGCCCCACCAGTATATACCGATAGCGGGGTTACGATTCCATTATCATCCATTAAAAAAAAAGCTCATTTGCCCCGTGAAACAGCGTGGATACCATCTGTAAAGAAACATGTCGCTTCTCACTATAACCATAGATATTAGAAGATTATATTGCCACTTTTTTATGAACGATAATGGAATCGTAACCTCGCCTGCGCTAACGGTATACGCTGACGGGGCACCAGTGAGGAATGATAGGTGAGGATGAAAAGGCAGGCCAGTTAGCCCATGATGGTGAATACACCTAGAACTCAGCACGATGGTTTCTACTAGGGATCATGGTGAGATAAACCTGATGGAGTATATTACTAACAATGGGACTGGTAGTCCACATTACTAACCATCCCTCCCTCCCACCATATTAGTACTGTAATATAAGCTGACTCTATGTAGGTCCCGGCATAGAATAGACCTTTTGCGTGAGTGTCGTAAGAGACGACTGAGGCAGGACGAGGGATGGACAGCAGCGTCCCTTTTAAAACATCTCTAAAGCTTAACTGCACAAAATGTATCATTGATTCCCACACTAGACTGAGCGTGTCCTGTAGGGAACAGGATTCGTGTTACCATATACCATACATACTTACAGAAAATAACATGAGCTCTCTAATAGTACAGATTACTGTTTACAGACTAGTTTATATAAAGGACTTTTTTTTATTTCTTTTTTTTTTAATATTATTTTAAGGGCTTTTACCTTCTTCAGGTATATCAGTCCTATCGTAACCTGAACTGATTTCTCAAACAAAACTTTATCTACTTTCTCTAGACGCGGAAAGAGAGGAGTTAATGGGCATCAAATAATTTACAGAGATGTTCGAAAATGTCTGATTTAAGTTCAGCTAACATAGTTTGAATAAGGCCAATATTAAATATATTTAACTTAAAATGGCGCGTGAATTCTTCTCTTTCCTTCGTGTTAATACGACACTCTAATAGAATATGATGCACATCATCGATGGTATCACAAGTTTGACAATGGGCTGACAAGGACTTTCCCATCATATGTGCAATTTTTTTTGATGGATAATGACCATCAAAAAAAATTTGCAAATATGATGGGAAAGTCATTTTTATTTCTTGTAATTATATACTCTATATTTTAAATTGTATGACCTGGATACTGCTTAGTAGCTTGTATTTACACAAATACATTATGTATTAAGTGAAACTTAACTTTAAAAAAAAACAACAGCTGAGTTTCTTGCCCGTTCTTGGCTGAAATTGCGTTCCGAATAGGCTATAAATAAGGTGACCAACTGTACTCATTTATATATATATATATATATATATATATATATATATATATATATATATATATTCTTTATTGCACTTGTAAATTACATTGTTAATGCATTTATAAATGTTGTAAGCAAGGGTGGACTTATCTCTGACAGAGATCTCTTCCAGTCAACCCGATACAGTTAGAAAAAACGTTGTTAGCGGGCAGCTGAAGTGCTACAACTATTAATATTTAGTATACATAAACAAATATACAGTTAAATAAAATATTAAGATACATAATAAAATATTACATAAATACATATACTATAAATAAATATAATATCTACCTACTTATACAGTGGATGTTAAAATAAATGAATATACTACCTACAATAGAAATTTAGTGAAATGATTTTAAGATTTGACAGTTCAATTATAAAAATAAATAAATTAAGATTATGACTCACAAACGAAAGAAAATGTAACTTCAACCTTTTCTTGAAAGAGGTAATTGTGTTTAATTCATTTACTAAGTTTTGTAACTCTTTTTTCGCAAACCGTTTCTCTCTGCCTTCTTAGTTGTAACCGACTCTTTTTTCAAATCCGGTACTCTGTAAGTACTCTATTTGTATAATTTTATAAAATTGAAAAAATGAAACGACGAGAAAATAGAACTTGACAAAAGATGTAAAGAAGGTAAAAATCTTCCGCCATTTTAGTGCAGAACATATGCCACATGAAAACTTAGAAGTTTTAATAGATATTTCCTTATGTTGTCCACTAGGCACTGACGCTGCTGTTGAAAGGGTATTTCCACTGGGAATGATTATCGGAGCAGTGAGAAGTCGCAGCTGTCTGTAAAAACATTATCCGCCGTCTTAACAGTCAAGTTTAATATGCAAAATGAAAGTTGTTCGGACGTGGCTACATTATTAGACGAACATCCTCGTTTAGCAAAAAAAAAAACACTCCGAAGAGAAATATGTTTTTAAAAGAAAATAAATTTTTTATCTTTTTTTTTCTTTTTTTTCACCTATGAAATACTTGCAAAGTATGTATACTTTTTTTTAACAAAAAATAGTTGGTCGCCTTACAATAAATAAAAAAATGAAAAATCCGAAAATGCTTAAATCTAAGTTTGTTTTAATCAAAATATTTCTTTCTTTCTTTCTTTCTGATTCGTTAATTGTTTACCTGCAGGTGAAGATAGCTGTATACTACGAGTCCCTTTGCCCGGACAGCAAGCGCTTCATCACGACCCAGCTGGCGCCCGTGTGGAGGGACTTCCGAGGAGTGGTCAAGGTCAAACTGGTGCCGTATGGAAAGAGCACGGTGAGTTACTTCTCTTCTGTGTTGAATTCTTTTCTTTGAGCATACGCTACTATTGTGAACTGATTATAATAAGGAAAACGCCGGTTCGTGTTGAAAAGTTATACTGACAGTTTATAAAAAAAATGAATAATTAAAAGAATACAATATTAGAAATTACAAATTACAAAGGAGTTTGTAACAGCTACAGAGTTTGGATTGCAGTTGGGTGTCGTGACGGAACGTTAAAGCAATGGTATTTGTAGAATGTAAATGTTTGATTAATACAGTAATTCTTAAAAGAAAAGTAAAACACACAAATAAAAAAAAAAAGTAAATACAATTATAGAAGGAGAATAGAAAACGTACAAAAAAGGTATAAGTATTAAGACGACATGTATGTGCCGTGGCGCCAACAACAACATTCTTTACATATACGCATGCGCGGCCTGCGCGCGCAGCCCGTAGTCGCCGAGCGCCTGCGCGACCTGCGCGCGCATAGGTACATCAAACAAGCTGCGTGCGCGACCGACCGTATTACATATATATATATATAAAATATTAACGCTTGTCTGCGTGTTTTTACAAAATAAATGAAATATATAATTTTATATGTATGCTACAACGTAATCGTCGAGTGATGGGTAGCAGCTCTCTTAATACATCTCCAAAGCCTAACTGCGGTTGCCAATCTCCTGCCAAGCGTGGCAACTACCAGCAAAACCTACTAAGACGGAGATCTATGTTCAGCAGTGAATATTTAACGGCCGTCAGCTTGTTCGCCGTTCTAAGTTGCATAAAAAAAAAATACAAGATTTTAAAATTTGTATTTGAATTTTAAACATGGAATTGTGTTCGCAAATCATAGACAAAGGATAGTATCCGCTCTCCTTATTACAAGTAGGTTTTGTTTCGTAAAAATATAAATAAAAATATATGCAATAAGCTGTTTTAAAGAAATATATAATTATTTGTTTTTGGACCGACTTCAAAGATATTCGGTTTTTTTTTTCTATGGTCGTCACCTCATAACTCCGTCAGTTGTAGACCGATTTGGAAAATTATTTTTTTGTATCTGAAAGGACACACAGATTAGTTCCATAGACAAAAAAAAACTGGATTCGTCAACAATTAAAGTCAGATTTTATTAATATTATTTCGCTCTTGCGCCATCTATCCACCTTTATCTGTTCTCCTTTAACCAAAGGTTGTCTGTAAGAGATCGCCCTAGCGATAACACCGCCTTTTGTACCTCTATGTGTATATTTTAATCTGTACTTTAAGCTACTGTATTTCACTTGAATTGTTTATATGTCATTATATATTTTTATATTTCTGGTGTAATAGAGTTTTTTTTTTATACAACTTAGAATGGCAAACAAGCTGACGGCCCACCTGATGGAAAGTGGTCGCCTATAGACACGAGCAGTACCATGGACATAACAGAGTATACTGTTTCACCCATGATACCTATAATAAATAAATATATTTTATGAGACACAATCTTTAGTTATATTATTTATTTATTTATTTTCTTACAGCATGACAAAATCAACGACAAATGGCAGTTTAACTGCCACCACGGGCCCAACGAGTGCTACGGGAACAAGGTACGCCCAAACACCACTTTTTTCTAACTATATCCGTTGTTAGTAATGGAGACTGAGAATCCTATTGCTAGCAATATACCCAACCAGATCGATCTTCTCGCGGTTCCCCCTGGAAACTATCATGGTTAATTCCTGATGAATTCATCATGATGGGCTAACTGGCCTGTTTTCGTTCTCACCTATCACCCTTCACTGGTGCTCCGCCAGCGTATCCCGTTAGCGCAGCCCATACCATTTTCACCCATCAAAAAAAAAACTATATCCGTTGTACAGCTATATACATAGTGTGATCCCGGCATAGAATAGGCCACCCCTTCCTTTCTCGTGGGTGTTGTAACAAGCGACTAAGGGAGGGCGAGGGATGGGCAGCAACGTCCCTCTTAAAACATCTCCAAAGCTTAATTGCGTTTGCTAGCCCGCCTGACAAGCGTGACAACTACTGGCAAAACTCCCCTTATGTTATGGGGAAGGCTTATGTCCAGCAGTGGACAGTTAAAAGCTGAAATAATAATATTAATATGTATTTATTTGTTCTGGTAAATATAAAAAAAAATCCGCCTGCGCTAACGGTATACACTGGCGAGGCACTAGTGAAGAATTCTTAGGTGAGAATGGAAAGATAGGTCAGTTAGCCCGTCGTGATGAACACACCTGGAATTCAGCACGATGGTGTCCAGGGGGGACCACGTGAAGGTCGAACTGATAGCGTATATTGCTAGCAATAGGACTGGTAGTCCGCATTACTAATAATCCCTTCCCCCCCCCCCCACCTAAATAGCCAAATGGCGGCACTAAATCGAGCCCACTGTAATTCAATGCCCCGTTTTTACCCCGCGCTACGTATTCAGGTACAGTCATGCATCCTGAAGGACCGCAGCCTCGCCGACACCGACAAGATGGAGCTGGTCATCTGCCTCATGAGCCAGGCCAGCCCCGACAAGTCCCTGGACACGGTGAGTCCTGGATAACGTTCGTAGGTAGATAGATTTGTTTACACAATGACACAACTAAACTTAAATAATATCATTAATTCAATACAATCTCTTTTTAAGAAAAGAAGCTTAAAAATGGAGTACCTTCTCCCGTTTTCCCAACATTTCCCTTCACTGCTCTGCTCCTATTGATCGTAGCGTGGTGAAAAGTATACTATAACCTGCCCAGGAGTATGAAGAATAATTGTACCAAGTTTCGTTAAAATCCGTCGAGTAATTTTTGTTTCTATAACGAACATACAGACGGGCAGACAAAAATTTTACTGATTGCATTTTTGGCATCAGTATCGATCACTAATCACCGCCTGATAGTTATTTTTATAATTATAGTTATTTCATGTACAGAATTGACCTCTCTACAGATTTAGTACAAGTGCAATATATTTATATATATATATATATATATATATATATATATATATATATATATATATATATATATATATATATATATATGCACTTGTATGTTACATATAAAATAATCTATTTAAAAATGTTGCGAGCAAGGGTGGACTTATCTCTGATGGAGATCTCTTCCAGTCAACCCCATACAGTTGGAAAGTATTTCGTATACCATATATTTCTTTCTGTCTTTACAATTTTAATTTAATATCTCTCATTGAACACAGTGCTTGAACCAAATCAACAAGCAGTCGGAGAGCGAGAAGTTGACGCGATGCGCGAACGGTGAGCAGGGCGACGGGCTGCTGGCCACCTACGGGGACAAGACGGACGCAGTGCAGCGCCCTCTGGCGTTCGTGCCCACCGTCATCATCAATGAGGTCCGTAATGCATTCTATATATGTATATATATATTTTTTACATATGTTCAAGTAATATCAACTATCCGAGTCCTCAGGAATGGCAACGCATGGGGGGTATCATGGGCGAAACAGTATACTCTGTTATGTCCATGGTACTGCTCATGTCTATAGGCGACGGTTACCACTTTACATCAGGCGGGCCGTCAACTGGTTTACCATTGTAAGAAATAGAATAGGCCACCCCTTTCTTTCTTGTGGGTGTCGTAAGAGCCGACTGAGGGAGGGCGAAGGATGGACAGCAGTGTCCCTCTTAAAACATCTCCAAAGCCTAATTACGGTTGCCAATCCACTTGCCAAGCGTGGCAACTACTGGCAAACTCCCCAAGGGGAAGGTTTATGTTCAACAATGGACTGTTAACTACTGCTATTGTAGGAAGTTAGAGCGATTCGCTGGTATAATATGACCAGTGTTTAGATTAAACAGTATCTCCATACAAATGCTTCGAGAAAAGCGGCTCAACTTTTTCATACAATTTTGCGTGACAAATAGTTATGAGTGATTCATTTATAACTTCTATATTTATTTTGTCTTACGATTTCTACATCTTTTTAATGCGTAAACACTTATTTTATTTATTAAATAATTAAATATAGATACGTCAAGATACATTATATACAAGATAAGTATATAGCACACTGATAAAAAGACGAGTCAGCTAATTTGACATTTAGCTGTCAAAAAGTTGACACTGACGTTGACGTTTTTGACATTCGATCTGTATAATCTAAAGACCAGTGACGTTTATAATTTTTACTTTATATTTCTTTTTTTTTTTTAATTGTTCCAGAAATTCGACCAAGCCATACAAGACGAAGCGTTCAAGGATCTGAAAGCGGTGGTGTGCCGCGTCGCGCCCATCAAGCCGTCCGTCTGTTGATTTAATATATAAGCTTTCTCTCCATTATTTGTACACATTATTTAATTAGAATTAAGCTATTGTCTTTTGTACGATACAGGAATTGTTAATATTAAGAATTCCCGCCAAAAATATTTTTCGTTTTATTTTTTTTTCCCCCGCCCAAAAAGTCAACTGTTTTTAATTTTTTTTTTTTATATCACCTAGTTGGCAAATGATCAGTTCTATAGGTAAAATTCAAAATTCAAAAATCATTTATTCATGTAGGACATTTTAGCCGCTTATGAACGTCAAATTTTTATATTATAATTTTATTTTTTTCCCTACCGTCCAGTTCGGTATATAGATCCAATTGAGAAGAACTGGCAAGAAACTCAATTGAATTACTTTTTTTTTTTTAAAGCCAGTTTATTTACAATGTATATTTATATAGGTGTCTATGTCTAACATTAAATGAAAATTCAGTGCATGAACAACTATTGCCATGCACACTCGTCATTCAAGTAATCGTTTAGTGAGTAATAGGCTTTGCTCAGTAAATATACTTACTTATTTTATTGTATTTAACCGATAGCTAACTACGAAAATTATAGATTAAGAACTACTGAAGGTAGGGGGTCGCAAAATCGTCAAAAGATAAGATAAAGATATATTTATTTTACCAGATTTATACTTTGTATAAAAGTTGATTGCTTGACCACCTCTGTCCCATTCGTGTTTCAACCGTGAAGCAGTTGTGTTTGCATGGCTGTGTTTCGATTTGAAGGGTGGGATATGGCGTGAATTTACTGGGTACAGAGGAATAACACCTGAGTCCTCAGGAATGACAACGTATGGAAGGTATTATAGGCGAAACAGTATACCCTGTTATGTCCACGGTACTGCTCGTGTATATAGGCGACGGTTGCCAATTTCCATCAGGTGGGCCGTCAGCTTGTTTGCCATTCTAAGTTGTATAAAAAAGACCGGATTCATGAAGTGTTCCAATGGAAATGATATACGGGAACTACTCTATGTATGTATGTAGCGGGCAACGCCGCGGGAAACGGGTAGTGAGTAATAAAACTGCATTGTTGGTACATATATATATATAATATATTTACAAATGTACGATTCACAACATTTCGCCGTATACAGGCTATTTTATATACACCTTGTAATGTCTGGCATTATTGATGCTTTAATCGATTATTCGAATCAATCAAGAATAATAATTTCAATTGATTCAAACCAAAATTGACGACAATTTATATAAAAAAAAAAAGAAAAATTTAATTTAATTCACAATTAAAGATGGTTGGTTGATAAACAGATTTGCACACGTAATACTAGGTGGCGCTAGTATCGACACTTGTGGTTTTTGTTGATTATTTTGTAATTAAACATAATTTGGGGCAAAATTTCCGAATTGGCGGATGGTTTTATTTATTTTTAACCGATGTACTGATCATTTATTATATTTTTTGTCTTTATACTCTTGTATTGTACAACTTTGTAAAAAACACACACACACACACTAGCAAGAGACATTGCGATTGTGTGCGTTATAATTCGTTTATTAAAAGATCGGGTATCATCTGTCACTTCACATTCATACATACATAATAAAAACCACTCGTCGATTTAGAAATTTTACTTTTAAATTACCTTTAAATAAAAAATGATCGACAGAAACTACAAGTCTCGATTCTAGCGCCATCTAGTATTACTTGTCTAATTGAGTTCAGTGACCAACCATTTTAAGTAGTGTTATCCGCCATATTGTCCACGCAACTTGGGCAATGATAGCTCTTGTTCATTTTAAATATTTTAATGTAATAACTGCCTTAAACATGTAACACATGTAATTTAGTTGAAAAAGCTCGACTACTTTCGGGTCCATTCGCGACGTCTAACCTTGAGCAGCTGTGGAGTCTGGCTCGCGCTCACGCCACAGCTGCTCAAGATTAAGGGTCCTGAATGTTCCCGAAACTAGTCGAGCTTCTTCAATCTAGTTATATGTTAGTTAAACCGGCAGTTATTACATTAAAATAGATTTCTGTACTTGATATTATAAATGTGCAACAGAGTTTGTTTGTTTGTCACGTCATATCGCCTTAACAGCTTAACCAATCTCTATGAAATTTGGTATTCGCATACTACATGATGAGATGGGGAAGGCTACTTTATGGTTGCCTGGAAGAGATCGCTCTTAGTGATAAGGCCGTCCATTGTTGTCTCACTGTGATCATTTCTTGTAATTGTTTGTATCTATAATAAGTTTACTATTGTAATCTTATGGAGGGAACAATAGAGAGTATCTGTCTATCTTTATGTCCCGATTTACATAGTGATTGGGGGGAAGGGATTGTTAGTAATGCGGACTACCAATTCCATTGCTAGCAAAATACCCTATTAAGTCGACCTCTACGTGGTCCCTCCTGGAAACCATCATGCTGAATTCCAGGTGTATTCATCGCGATGGGCTAACTGACCTGCCTTTTCATCCTCACCTATCACCCTTCACTGGTGCCCCGCGTATACCGATAGCGCAGGCAGGGTTACCATTCCATTATTATGAAATAAAAAAAATTCATGGTGATTGATTAAGCAGTTAAAACACTAAGAGGACAACAAACAAACTTACACATTTATTATATTGGTAAGTATTTTATATGCTTACAAAACCTCCTCAAAGACTTTACAGCATCACACGGTTAGTTCTGTAGACTGGTATGAGAGAAGGGAAAAGATCCCATAAGGTGGGTAGCGGTAATTGTTAGAAACATGTGGTAATGGAGACTGAGAATTCCATTGCTAGCAATATACCCAACCAGGTCGACCTCCTCGCGGTTCTCACTGGAAACTATCATGGTTAATTCCTGTTGAATTCATCATGACGGGCTAACTGGCCTGTTTTCATTCTCATCTATCATCCTTCACTGGTGCTCCGCCAGCATATTCCGTTAGTGCAGGTGGGGTTACCATACAATTTTCATCCACCAAAAAAATGTCGACTAAGAAAGAGCAAGGGATGGACAGCAGTGCCCATCTCCAAAGTCGCCAATCTGCCTGCCAAATGTGGCAACAACTGGCAAAACCGCCCAAGGGTTGGCTTATGTTCAGCAGTTCTATGCCGGGACCACACGACCAATGTTGCTTGTTACAATTGTTTATGCTTACTCGAAACATCTTCACTGGTCCTTCACTGGTGCTCACCAGCACATACCGTTAGCACAGACAAGACTACCATCCCACTATGATTCCACTGTAAAAGTCCTGTATATGGAACACAGAACACACTATTCACAACGCACACCACACACTATGGTACGTATTCATCGTCCAAGCCCTCCTTGTGCTTTCTCATCGTATGCCGTTTCAAATCGGACTGGCGTTTCGTTTTGTAGCTGCACTTGTTGCATTGCTTCATCGCACTCGTCGTGCACCACCTTATGTGCTTCAGCACTGTGTGCTTAACGTCCGATTTGAACCCGCACTTGTCACATTTGTACCCTGTCTTCGCACGGCTGATGTTGCCAATGTCGTGCGACTTCAAATGGTATATCAAGCTCATGTTATGCCGCGCCTTGTAATCGCATATGTGACATTTGAACTTCTTCTCCTCCTTGTGTTTTCTTTTGTGTCTCGCAAACTGGAGTTTACTGGCCGTTGTGTAACTGCACAGAGGGCATATGTGTAGCACAGTGGAGTGGCTGGCCGTATGCCTCTTGTACTCCGCTCGATTTGTGGTCGTGTAGTGGCATTGCATGCAGAAGTATTCGTAAACGCCCCACATTATTTGGCTTATATTGTTCTCCATTCTGTTTTTGGGGTCCGAGGCCCGTTTCTTGGTCATCTTCTTCTCCCTCTTGGTGGGCTTGACCAGTTTCACGAGCGGCACGTCGTCCTCGTCGGTCTCGTCGGGCACCACGATGGTGTCGATGTGGGGCTCCTGGATGATCACTTCGTCCTCGTCGCTTGACGTCAGCAGACTGATGGGCTCGGTTTTTCTAAAATTAATTAATAAATAATTTAAGAATAGTTCATTTTATACTTTCGGGTTGTTTACACATATTTAAATACACAATCGGGACTTGAATGTAAAGCTTTTACAGGTAAATAGTAGCTACATACCTTTTTATTTTTTACAAAACAGGGGGCAAACGAGCGTGCGGCTTACCGGATGGTAAGTGACTACCGCGGCCCATGATCACCCACAACACCAGCGGCATTGCAGGTGTGCTGCCGGCCTTTTAAAAAGGAATATACTCTTTTCTTGAAGGTTACGTTGTCGTATCGGTTCGGAAATACTGCTGCTGGAAGTTGATTCCAAAGAGTGGTTGTGCGTGGAAGAAAGTGCCTTGAAAAACGCACGGTGGAGGACCGCCACTCGCTTCTTTATTGCCGACGTGGATTGCACCACGTCGCGGTAACGACAGGGCTGAAGTGAGCGGCACCTTTGGCTAACATTTTCCGCGTCAACCGCGTTAATTCCCAATTGTGTATTTAAAATAATTTAAGATTTATCATTATTTGTGTTTTATCTAGCTAATTTATCACATCAGACCTTAACTGTCCACTGCTGAACATAGGTTTCCCCCTCAGGATATTGTCCCAGTAGTTGCTACACTTGACAGTTGAATTGGCAACCGCAGTTATAGATAGATAGATAGATAATTTACTTGCATTACTTACAGCACACAAACAGCAATAGACACAAATGCAAAGGAAAAAAGATAAAAAAAAAAGATACTTGTACAAAAAATAAAAATAAAAAAAAAAAACAAAATCAGAATGCATAAAATTAGTAACAATTTTTTTTTCTTCATCCGTGTGCCACAGTAATACAAAATGGCCACAACTCAGCTTTTTGCTTTGCCCTGAAAAGAGCAAAACACTGATATTCTGTTGTGGCCAAAAGTGAGCCGCGAAATACCGCTGCAAAAGAAAAAGAAAGAAATACAGATCAAATCAGGTTTGAAGGGTGGGATATGGCGTGAATTTACTGGGTACAGAGGAATAACACCTGAGTCCTCAGGAATGGCAACGCATGGGGGGTATCATGGGCGAAACAGTATACTCTATTATGTCCATGGTACTGCTCATGTCTATAGGCGACGGTTACCACTTTCCATCAGGTGGGCCGTCAGCTTGTTTGCCATTCTAAGTTGTATAAAAAAAAAAAAAATACATAGTGTGCGTTCGTTATACTCGCTATTTAGAAGAAGGCTAGTCAGAAGTCAATTTCTATCGGTTTCAAGCACTCAAAACATAATGAACACCTGATTTATACAAATACAATTTAGTACATAAAAGCATATTGAAGAGGCAACAGCAGGCGTGCCCATCGCCAAACAGCGATCCCTCCCAGACAACCCAAGGATGGAGAGAATTAAATTGTGTCTGTTAAAGGTGTGACAGAAAAGTAATAAGACAAAAATATGAGAAAAAATGGGTAAGTATCAATTTAAAGACAGTATAAAAAATATAAATAAAATATACTTACATATAATAAAACTATTGAGGACAGAAGGGGAGAAATGTTGGGACACTTGATACGACACGACGAACTTATGTACATTATAATAGAAGGTGAGATAGAAGGAAGAAGGGGGAGAGGGAGACTGAGGCATAGTTACATCGGGCAGATCAAGGAAGCAGTTGGTGTCGTGTCGTATCAAGAGGTGAGGAGGCTCGCTGACAGTCGTAGTGAGTGGCAAGAGCTCCACCGACAAGAGAGCAGCTCTTAAATAGGATAGATAGATAGATAATAATAATAATTAAATACTTATACTAAAAAGATTAGCCTTTTGCTGATATTTTAAGAGGGATGTTGCTGCCCGTCTCTCTGCCTAAGTTCCCTCCTCTTACGACACCCACGGGAAAGACAGAGGTGGTCCATACTACGCCGGGACCATAAGGCAATAGCCAATGTAAAATACTGATTAATCTCTCTATCCACCCTAAGGGAACTCAACAGTTAATGAATGTGCAACAGCGTCCTTCTTAACACATCATAACAGCCTAATTGCAGTTGCCAACCCGCCTGCCAAGCGTGGCGATTACTGGTAAACCCCCCCTTATGGTGGGAGACCTATGTTCAACAGTGGACAGTTAACAGCTGGTGTGATGATGGCACTGAAATCACAAGGTACAGAGGCATAACACCTTTGTCCTCAGGAATGGCAAAGAGTGGTATCTTGGACGACACGGCATTATTTTTTTATACAACTTAGAATGGCAAACAATCTGACGGCCCACTTGATGGTAAGTGGTAACCGTCGCCTATAGACATGAGCAGTACCGTGGACATAACAGAGTATACTGTTTCGCCCAAGATACCTTCCGTGCGCTGCCATTCCCAAGGACTCAGGTGTTATTCCTCTGTACCCAGTAAATTCACGCCATATCTCACCCTTCAAACCGAAACAGCCATGCAAACACAACTGCTACACGATTGAAACACGAATGGGACAGAGGTATCCAAGCAATCGACTTTTGTACAAAGTCTCCCTCTGGTAAGTCTCTATTATGTCCATGGTACTATTCATGTCTATAGGTAACAGCTGCCACTTTCCACCAGGTGGGCCGTCAGCTTGTTTGCCATTCTAAGTTGCATAAAAAATGAGGGATGACAGGTGAACATTGGTAAGAAATAAATCAAATACTCACTTGGCAGGCTCGACATCTTTGACCTCGACGTCTGAGTCTTCAGACTCCCTGTCGGGCAGCATCAGAGCACTGGGGTCCAATTCTACTTGTACACTCTCCAGCACCATCAGGCAGTCGTTGCCGTCCGCCTCGCCCGCCGCCGACTGGGTCGCCTCTGGAATGGTAGCAAGCAAATATACCTTACCAGAACTACAAGAAAAAAAAAAAACCTTAAAATAATGATAGGGATAATAACGGGCCATTTTCCATTAAACAAACATTTATACACAATAGGAGCCGCAGACAGCCCTCTATGTCGAGGCTGTTTCGACGCCGAAGAAACGGCTGCTCACGTAATCCTGGAATGTGAGGCTGTGGCCCATCAACGTTTTGAAATCCTCAGAACGGTGAGGTCGCTCCGTGAGGCCTGTGAAGAACCCAGGAAGCTTCTGTGCTTTTGTACGGAGCTGGGTTGGCTGTACTAGCCACGACTAGCGCGGAAAATAGAGTCCTATTCACATTACATGACATCACATACACTACCAGGACTACCCTACAAGAAGTCATGTCTTCTTGTAGGGTAGGGCAGTACCATGGACATAACAGAATATACTGTGTCACCCATGATACCCCCCATGCGTTGCTATTCCTGAGGACTCAGTAGTTTCTCCTCTGTACCCTGTAAATTCACTGCTACAACCCACCCTTCAAACCGAAACACAGCCATGCAAACACAACTGCTTCACGGTAGAAACACGAATGGGACAGAGGTGGCCAAGCAGACGACTTTTGTACAAAGTCTGTCCGTCTGGTAAATAAATGACCAATGTTGGTAACACTCACGGTCGCCCTTCACTGCCACCTCGATGAACACGGGCGCCCTGTCCTCCGTCTCGCTGATCTCTATGACGGCCGCGTGCCCCCCGCTCGCTCGTTCCGACTCCGCGAACATCCTGTGCAGCGGCTTCGTTTGCTTTATGTGATAATTCGTCAATATGTCCTCAATGTCGTCTTTGTTGATATCTATTGACGGCGTATTGTTTATGATTCTGAAAGAAAACACCATTATTAATACACGGTTTTTTTTTTTGATGGGTGAAAATGGAAAGGTAACCCCGCCTGCGCTAACGGTATACGCTGGCGGAGCACCAGTGAAGGGTGATAGATGAGAATGAAAACAGACCAGTTAGCCCATCATGATGAATTCATCAGGAATTAACCATGATAGTTTCCCGGGGGAACAGCGAGGAGTTCGAGCTGGTTGGGTATATTGCTAGCAATGGGATTCTCAGTCTCCATTACTAACAATCCATTTCTTCCCTACTTTGCATGGATAGGTAGAAAGATAAACTATATTGATAGAGCCATGCGGTTTACCATGCGGTCCCGGCATAGAATGGGCCACCCCTTCTTTTCCCGTGGGTGTCGTAAGAGGCAACTAAGAGAGGAGGAATGGGCAGTAACGTCTTGAAACATCTCCAAAGCCTAACTGCAATTGCCGGGGTGAAAGGGATTGTTAGTAAAGGGACTAGAGGCCCCTTAACAATATACCTTATCAGGTCAACCTCCACGCGGTTCCCCATGGAAACCATCTTGATTGTTTTTTTGCGAATTCATCACTATGGACTAACTGACCTGCTTCATCCTCACCTATCATCCCTCACTGATGCCCCGTTAGTGTACACCGTTAGCACAGGCGGGGTTACCATTCCATGATCATCCATTAAAAAACCCTTTCCGGTGGATATCGTGAGTGAACTAAGTGAATGTAGGATGGACAGCAGCGTCCATCTTAAAACATCACCAAAGCTTAACTGCAATTGCCAATCCGCCTGCCAAATGTGACAACTACTGGCAAAACTCCCTTTCTGGGGGAGGCCTATTCAGCAGTGGACAGTTAACGGCTGATAGGTGTACCAGAGGGAGACTTTGTACAAAAGTCGTTTGCTTGGCCACCTCTGTCCCATTCGTGTTTCTAGCGTGAAGCAGTTGTGTTTGCATGGCTGTGTTTTGGTTTGAAGGGTGGGATATGGCGTCAATTTACAGGGTACAGAGGAATAACACCTGAGTCCTCAGGAATGGCAACGCATGGGGGGTATCATGGGCGAAACAGTATACTCTGTTATATCCATGGTACTGCTCATGTCTATAGGCGACGGTTACCACTTCCCATCAGGTGGGCCGTCAGCTTGTTTGCCATTCTAAGTTGTATAAAAAAAATATGGTGATGATATTAGTAAGAATTACATCATCAATCACACTATTCATTCATCATCACTCCACAAAAAAAATACAGGATTCATAATTACCTATCTACATTGTAAGTACTTCTATTACTTGGTTCCCTCATTAATTTATTTGGACTATTTATAACTATAGTATTTTCTTGAGTGACTGCTTTGCTAGTAGCAGTACAGTGAGTCAATTTTAAACTATTTTCTTTACTGACTTCTTTTGTTGCACCTTCGACGACTTTGTTCGCATCTGTCATCACTATTGGTGGCTCAGCAACTTTTGTGGCATCTTTACTCTTATTTTGTATAGTTTTACTTATTTTCTGTACATTATCTTCTGTGACCGCTTTAGAAGTATCTTCAGAGACTGCTTTAGAAGTATTTTGAGGTAACACCTCAGAAGTCTCTTGAGTTACTTTAGCAGTATGTTGAGCAACTCCCACAGTATCAGGTGTAACTTCTGTGGTCGTTTCTGTAGTCTCCTTGCAGACCTGTTTACCATTATTCTGAATGACTTCTTCAGTCTCTTGTGCCACTTTAGCGGTTCCTTCAGCAACTGTCACAGTTTTATCCGGGTCATCTGTCTTAGGTGTGGAATCGGGTAAATTCTGTTCAGGTGACGTTTGTGTAATGATCTGTGAACGATAAGAAGAAACATTTGAAACATGAAGTACGTGTTTTGTTTGTTTAAAACATATAAAATGACTGTATTTTATAAAAAATGTAATATAAGTGAATATATAAATGATACATAGAATTTCAATGTGCACTAAAGCTTTAATAAATAAATAAATTTATATTTGCAGGTGTCTGTGACCAACGACATTCATCAGCACTTCGGCTGCCCGCGGTTCCTGCTATGCCCAACAGAGTACAATGTGATAATATTGTACTATGTTGGGCCTGGTATATAGCTGGTATATAGCCTGTGGGTTGACTATACACAGCGGAGGGGAAAGGGATTGTTAGTAATAGAGTCTAATTGACCCATTGCCATAAATACACCCTATCAGGTCGATCTCCATCTGAAAACCATCATGGTTAATTCTAGTGGAATTCGGCTAACTGACCTACTTTCATCGTCACCTATCATCGCTTACTGGTGCCCCAACAGCGTATACCGATAGCGCAGATGGGGTTACCATTCCATTGTCATCCATTACAGACTATATACGGCGAAGATACAGCGCTCTGCATGTTCAATACAATAACGTGTTCAGGGTATTATTACGGTTGCCACGTTTTTGCAATGGTTTCACAATGTTTGCAGCAGCATCGACAGATGACTTCCATGCCATCAGACGCAAACGGATCGCATCTCTTTTATACCGACTGCGTGACAGCAGTGACGGCATTTTGAGGGCATTATGTAGTAAATACGACAGCCCGATCCTCTCATTGTGGGTCAAAATTATTATAGGGGCCATAAAATGATTTCTTTTTTTTCTAACATAGTTTAAATCAACTGTTACTAACAAAAATGGATCTAAGTCTATAATAATAGTACATTACTGCAGCGGCCAACAACTGAGGCATTGATGGACGAACGTGCAAATGTGGGCCGAGGCGTAACCGAGGCACACATACGTGAGTCGATCAATGCCTAGTTGTGGCCAAGGCTTGTAGAGTACTTTTCTACAACTTAAAACCTTTTATTAGTTACCTCCTTGGTAGCCATGTTTCCAAGGAAAAGGTCATTCCATTTTTAAATTACAGGACAGATATGAGTTTACATAGTAATTTATCTGGCCGCAAAACACGACAGATATGGATTTTCATACAACTTTTGCCGGCCGCTGCCCGCATGTATCTGGCCAGTACGGCAATTTTGATTTATCTCGAAGAAGATTGTCAAAATAATGCTCACATTTCCAAGCATGTTTGAGAAAAACTTATTATTATTATTTTAGCCATTAACTGTCCACTGCTGAACACAAGCCTTCCCTATAAGGGTAGTAGCCAGTAGTTGCCACGCTTGGCAAGCGGGTTGGCAACCGCAGTTAGGATTCTACAGACGTTTTAAGAGGGACGCTGCTGCCCATCCCTCCACCATAAGCTCCCTTAGTCGCCTCTTACGATACCCACGGTCAAGGAAGGGATGGTCCATTCTACGCCGGGACCTACACAGCGGAAAAATTATTATTAATACTAAATAAAAAAAAATTAACTCACGTGGTTGAAAATAGAGGGCACCACCTTCCCTTTGAGCCTGACCTTTCCGCGGACCCTCTCGTAGTCATGCTTCCCGAAATGAGCGCTGCATACCTTGGAGTTCGTATCTATTTTACTGGTCGGCTTTATTGCGTCTAGCCATCGCCTCTTCAGCAGGCGGCTCGTTGGAAACCTGAAAATTTTTAATACATTCATTTTTATTAGTGAAAATTCCTTTTATGATAAAATCGGATTTTAGATTTGCACAAGTTTTTTACCAGAGGGAGACTTTGTACAAAAGTCGTTTGCTTGGGTGTCTCTGTCCCATTCGTGTTTCAACCGTGAAGCAGTTGTGTTTGCATGGCTGTGTTTCGGTTTGAAGGGTGGGATATGGCAGTGAGTTTACTGGGTACAGAGGAATAACACCCAAGTCCTCAAGAATGGCAACGCATGGGGGGTATCATGGACGAAACAATATACTCTGTTATGTCCATCTGCTAGGATTCTTATTAAATCAGGGTTGCATAAAAAATTCAATTCAATTTAGTTGTATTCTCTTTATGGTTTTACTTCATAACTCCATTTACAAGCAAACAAAGGGTGAGGTAAGAAACATTGTACTTCTTTTTTTAGGTTGGTTGGAAAATATATATACCAGATGTGACCATAAAGTCGAATGAACTCACTCAAAATATATGACATCCTCCTGAGCTGTGGTGTCGCAGCCGGTGACGCAGCAGCCCACCATAGTTCCAGCTGCGCATCAATACCTGGAACATTCACTTCATTTTCATTTCAACCGTTAACTGTCCGCTGCTGAACATAAGCCTTCCCCATAAGGGGAGGACCCCACAAGGACCTACAGCATGGGGTTCTTCAAAAGGGGGGTAAAGAGGTTTCTTCAGGGTCGGCAACGCGCGCGTAATACCCCTGGTATTGCAGGCGTTCATAGGCTACGGTAACCACTTACCATCAGGTGGGCCGTATGCTTGTTTGCCACCTCAGTGGTATAAAAAAAGAGGATTCTTGCCAGTAGTTGCCATTAACTAAGGTATATTTAAGTGAAGTATAGGAGAGAAAGATGATTAGTAATGGGGTTGTTACTCCCTATTGCTAGCAATGTACCCTGTCAGGTCGACTTCCACGCGGTTCCCCCTGGAAACCATCGTGGTTAATTCTAGTGGAATTAATAATAATAATAACTTTATTTCCTTGAACAAAATTAGCCTGTAGTACAATATAACTATGACCCCACATTAGGCAAAGCCTGTCTCGTGGAAGTCAAAGCTAGAAATTTAACAGTTATAGTGATTATTTAGTTATAGTATTAGTGTTTACTATAGTTATATTCTTCCCGATGGGCTATCTGACCTGCTTTCATCCTCACCTATCATCTCTCACTGGTGCCCCGCCAGCGTATAATGATAGTGCGGGTGGGGTTACCGTTCCATTATCACCCATTAAAAAAAATTTAAGTTAACATCCCATTTTTATATTTATATTTATACAAAAAAAGAAGCATTATTTATCATCTAAGATCTAAAAGATTGATTAGACATTACAATACATTTCACATTTAGTGCTAGCACATATACATCTATTTAAGATTATCTATCTATCTATCTTAATACTACTGCTAGAATGGTGAGAGAAGTGATGAGTCGGGAATTTTTCATTTTTTTTTATACAACTTAGAATAGCAAACCTCCATGATACCCCTCCATGCGTTGCTATTCCTGAGGACTCAGGTTTTATTCCTCTGTACCCAGTAAATTCACGCTAATTAAATTTATTATATATAATTCTTGTTATATATATTTCTAATGTTAGCTTTTAAGCATAATATAATCATTTTTTTATCATTAATTTATATATGTATGTGTATTTGACTTTCCTGTTGCCCATTTCATACATTTTTTTATATTCTGTAACTATATGTAGTCTATGAAGCTGGCATAGTCAGCCCAGTGTACTGAAGCCGCAACAAAAATTTGAATAAAAAAAAACTATGTGTGGACATGTGTGGAGACCTATTATTGGCTGTTTCTTATTATAATTTATATTTACTGTTAGAAATGCTGTTGGTTTTCCAAATACATAAATAAATAATTTAATTTGACTTACTGTGAATTTATTTTTTGTTTAAAGTATATAATAAATTAAGTTATATTTTATATATAGACATAACTTTAAGATGAATGGACACTAAATAATATTGTAAAATAAATTTAAAAGTTAATATAATAATAAAAAAAAAAATATATAGAGGAAAAATAAATAATCACTTGCCATATTACTTTTCAGAATAAGTTAGCAAAAAATTATTCTAGCATTAAATATGCTCTGTATTTAGTTATTATGTGTCAAAATTTAAATAAAGAACCAAATAATTAATCTATGAATCAATAGAATATTAAAAAAAAAAAAAATATTTCGGCAAAGGTAGCTTAGTATGTACACATCCCAAACTTGTTCTCGCGTCCTTATTCTGATGTGCCAATACCGCATTCACTACAAAAGCCTTTATGACTCTTATACACAAGGATTTAAAATTCAATTTACATTAGCAAACATCGAAAACACGTCGCAGCTGTACGAAGCGATTTCCAGAATAACACCGCATCAATATCTGATTTTTGGGGAAAAATCTGCATTATGTTGAACATAAAATTATACTAAAATACATCAAATATAATAATAAAAGGATTCGAAAACATATAACCCGCGAAAATTCTAATTTAAAGGTTAGAAAAGCGCAAACAAAAAATATATTTACCTAATGTTTAACGATGATTTTAACCGCCTTATGTCGTTTGAACACTATATATATGATTCCCATTATTTATTTTACATGCCAGTGATAAAATAACAGTTTAATTAACAATAATATTATGAATAATTCGATTGGAAAATATTTACTTGTTTCTTTTTTTTTTTTAACAACTTTGACATTTAAAATAGTGTTGCTACATACCGGTATAATTGAAGAACACTTTTTGAGCGTATTTATAATCAATCGACTGAACAACAAAGACTTGACATTTTGAATTCGCGTTAGATGACTAGAAAAGTAAATAACTATTGATTTCGTACTTTTCAAGTTGAATTTTCTCTTATCCTCTACTACCACCACAGTATATGTATTTATTTCCTAGGAAGCTATATTATCTCGCATATTTATTATGAATAGTCCCATAGGATTAACACCATTATTAACAAATTTTATATAAAAAATTATCTGCACAGATAGATACAAATGGGATAGTATCATGATTCACACATAAACCATATTGCTAGCAATGAAATTTTTAGAAATCGATTAGTAGTGGTCTCTTTCCCACAAGTGCAGTAATTAGTATTTAAAATAATATCTATTAGTACATACAGAAAAACAGTCTTTCCGATAGAAGAAAACTGTTGTCGATAGGACCCTGTTTTTTTTCTTTAATGCATGAAAATGGAATGGTAACCCCGTCTACACTATCAATATACCCTGGTGGGGTACCAGTGATAAATGATAATTGAGGTTGAAGTCGGGTCATTTGGCTTGTCGTAAAAAATTTGACAAGAATTAACCATGGTGATTTCCAAGGGAAACCGCGTATAGGTCGATCTTATAGAGTATATTGTTAACAATAGGGCTATAAAAACTCATTACTAACAAAGGGTTCCCTCTCTGGGGACCCTGTTTTTAGCAATATATCCTATTAAGTTGACCTCTAAACAGTTCCTTCTGGAAACTATTTTCGATTTGAGAATTCGTCACGGTAGGCAAACTCGCTTCACTTCTTTCTCATCTAACTTCACTCACTAGTATCCCGCCAGCATGTAGTAATAACACAGGCGGAAATACCATTCCTTTTCATACAGAAAAAATATGAATACATATCTATATGTTGTGCTCCGGTTTGAAAGATGAACGAAATGCAGTGAAGGCACATCATCATCATCACAAACCCAGACAAACAAACAGACTCAAATACGGAGCGGGACAGATACGTTCATCGTTTATTTCAGGATTTGTAGGGATTTACAGCGGAAATATAATAAAAATAAAAGTAAATCTATTTAATTAGTCATTTATTGGATTAATGCTATTGAAATTTATCAGAAAGAGAAATTAACAACAAATTATTAAAAGATCATCTTATAAATCTACACTAGAATCATATCATCATCATATTAGCCTTTAACTGTCCACTGCTGAACATAAGCCTCCCCTTAGGGGGTTTTGACAGTAGTTGCCGCGTTTGGCAGGCGGTTTTCAACCGCAATCAGGCTTTAGAGATGTTTTCAGAGGGATACTGCTGCTAATCCCTCGCCCTTCCTTAGTCACCTCTTAAGACACTCATGGAAAAAGGAAGTGGCCTATACTATGTCGGAACCACACGGTGGATTCTATTTCAAGACATACGGCGGTACACTAGAATATAACTTAATTATTACAAAAAATAGTTCTTTTTTTAAATAACAAAAATTAAATTTAAAAAAAATATATAATTAACTATAAACAAAATTCATATCGCAACAAATGTTTGCAAAATCTGAAGGTACAGTCTATAGGTAGAGTTGCCATTACAAAATCTTGTCAGTTCTGATAAAATTGGACATTTTAGTAAAAAAAAAAGTTATAATAAGTTTTTAGACTTCGAATACTCAATATGATTTTTTTATTTAAATAACAAATCCGCAATGTTCCGAAATTTTGAATCGATGAAGACACCAATCGGTAAAGAATATTTTTGAAGAAGAATATTTTTATTTTTGACCTTGGCTGCTACAAAAAATTGTTTTATATAATATAAAACTATTTTTAAAACATTTATAAAAAATACTGCCCGCTAGTAATTAATGCTCCTCTCCACTCAGGGTTTGCTGGAAGAGAACTCTTACAGAGTTAAGCTCGCCTGTTGTACATCTTATTTTTTATATATATTGTTTTGTAATTTTTTGTGTACAATAAAGAATAAATAAATAAAACTATTTTTGTAGTTCATAGGCATATTTATAGAGGGGCTGAGTGAGCCGTGTCTACCCCAGGATTCAAATAAAAGTTCATAAAGAGATGAGAGTACATATTGACCTTTTTTAAGGGGTTAGACCCCCCTGGAGAATAATTTAATAGATACCAATGTTTATATAAATGCAAACAAGATCACTATTGGTTTTTCAATTATTTATTGTGATTTATTTAAGTTAGCATACTCATTATTTTTATGGTTCTTAGACGTATTATGCCTTTTGAGTGCTAAATGTGTTTTGAAGGACATGTTGCATAATTTACACTTATAATCTCTATCTTTTATATGTGCATAAACCATGTGAGAACGGAGACCAGTCCGTGTTGTGCATGTTCGCTTACAAAGGGTACATTTGAAAACTCTGGTCCCTGTATGCAGGCGAATATGAGGCAGCAGACTTTGCTTGTTGAAGAACTTCCTCGAGCAGTAGTCACATTCATACTTCTTAACGTTTCCATGTGTAGCTATATGCGCGTTCATATCCCCTTGTTGAATCTTTCGAATGTGACAGATAGGACATTCGTAGGGCTTCTCCTCTGTGTGTATACGTGTGTGTATTCTTTTAGCTGCTTTACTTGCAAACCCCTTGCCACAGTACAAGCATTGGAACGGCTTCACACCTGTATGCTTTCGCATGTGATAATCATAGTAGGACCGGTTGGGACACTTCTGGCCACACTCCACACACTCGATCCTACGACTGTGTAAATTTATAAAGTGAGATTTCAAATTCTTGTCACAGTTGAACGTCTTGTCACAAATGTCACATTTCACCTCTATGTTGTAATGTACCCTGATATGAGTTGCAATATAACTCGGCTTGTAACAATTGCCACATTCAAAACACTTGTAAGATCCTCTTTTTTTATGCGATATCTCATGCACCATATAGTCATAGTGATTTGTGAACGCGAATTCGCAAGTATTGCAGAAAAATACTGTGTCATCATTTTTATGGGTCTCCTTGTGGGCTAAAAGCTCATTGTTGCTTTTAAATGTTTCCTGGCAGATGGCGCACGTGTAAACAGATCGTTTTTGGTGCATACGCATGTGGTTCAAGAGACTCGTTTTGCTTTGAAAGGACTGGCTACATTTATCGCAGTCATATATTTTGTCATCTGCGTCATACATGTCAATGCCGTTGACCTCATCAGTGTATGAGCCGAGTTTTACATGTCTGAAAGTAAATAGTTATATATATTAGAATCAATAAAATTTACCATAATACATTTAAAATAAATTTATAAAACTCCATCAACGGTCATTAAGTACTTAGGGTTTTTTTTATATATATTTAAGTAATATAACTAAATACGTCACCCATATAATAACAAGAATCTAATACTATAATTTTTCTTTATGATTTTATTTTATTTAGGATTATTTAAAAAAGTTCCTATACTTTTTATTTACTTACGTTATATTTTAAGTACTCACTTTCTTCTTTTCCTAAAGATATATTTTTTAAGAGTCGATATATCCTCATCAGAATCTTCAACATCACTTTTTATACTTTTCTCATCTACGATGCTAACATGGTCAATTATGAAATCTGCCATTTTCACTAAAAATAAAGAATTGTAAATAAATATATAATCTATAGATTTTAGTTTTCACTTCTCGTTTTATATTGAATAGTACATCTCTAGTCATTACACAGAATAACCAACCACGATTAAAAAAATCACAGAGTACGAGATTTACTCTGTCTGATGTTAAAATAAAATTAAATAGTTTACTTTAAATATTTTCATAAAGATGATAATTTTACATTAAATTATTATTCAAGATTACTCACCAATTCCGTTATGTTTTAAACGTTTAATATAGTATTAAAATTCTACAACAAAACAGTATAATAATTTACAATAACTAAAATAAGCAATTTATTATTGTTCGTAAACAAAATTCAAAGATTACAGATTAATAACAGTCTTAAGAGAAATTGAAATGGTTTGTCACCGTAGATTAAGGATGGCTTGCTAATGAAACTTTGTAGGCGATATAGACAGAACATCGAGCCTTAAAAACAGTATATCTTGCGCTTTAAAAAGTTGCAAAAATTAATAGAGAAAAATAATAATAAGAAGAACTAATAAGAAGTCACTTATCATCGGTAGTGTTTTAAATTTTAAGTATAAATACAATTATAAATATCATTATTTATTTTAATAAAATTTACTCCATTTTTAGTGTTGCAAGTATTCGAAAAGATCCTCATAATTAAATTAACATTTCCGAAATGATATGAATGTTATTTTCGTACATAAGATAATTATAATATTAATGTCGATATGTATATAGAATTATTCAGTATTATATAGACCATGAACAAACCCTTACTTTACATCCACAAGTATAGGTACGTTTTAATTTAGGTTTCAATAAATAAGTACACCCTTGAACTGTTGCTGCTGAGATTTTATTGTTATTGTTCAATATATTCCTGCTTGACGTCATCCCTCGGGGAATAATATAACAATAATAATAATTTATGGACACTATTAGTACTTTATTAACTAAGACGAATCTAATGACATGTTATTTATAAAAACCCAACAAGTCGTTTAGGTTACGCAGTTGAGTAAAAAATAACACATTATTAATTAAAATACCTAATACAAGTATCAAAACTCTTTTAAATGTAATCCATACCCAATTCGGCTACACTTTTATTTGCCTTCTAAGATACAATGTTTGCTTCGACCTAATCATAGAGACACTGTATAGATCGTAATGTGGCCCTGAAAAGGGCCGTTTTTATCTTTTCTAGGGACGTTAGGGACTTGCCCACCTGTGTCATCTTCCTGTGGCCGCTGGTAACAGGGGTGGTGCTTGATCTCTTAATAGTTTTCCTTAGGTCCTTATCCCGGAGCTCTTCGGCGTGCCTCACACATTTGGCCCAGTCTTCTTTCATCAGTGTTAACCGTTCGTAAAATAAGATCTTACAAAAATGTAATTAATCGTCCGGCAACGGTTATTAGTGGACTGTATGAAGTTATTAGGATGATGGTAGTTAAATAATTAACAGAGAATAATGAAGGTGGAGACCACTGACCTGAAGCTTTGTAGTTAGCAGGATTCGGTCCTGGCTTTAGGCTTCCCAGTACTTCTGGCTCGTTCGAACTTACCCTCAGATCCGGGTTACCTATCCACCGCCTTGAACCGACCAGCAGTGCATTGTCCTCCTCTCAATCAGCCTCTTGGTTACGTGTGATATGATTAAAAAAGCGATACGAAAAAAAAACGATATTCGCGGCAATATATGCACGCGCGCGGTAATATTTTAAAACGAGAACGACGACAACGAACGCGCGTTCTACTGACACATTCGATAACAATAGACAAGACTTTTTTTTTCTTTTTTACGACATTGTCGCCAGGCGGAATTTATTTAAGCTACAATTCTTAACAATCAGCAATGTTAAGTGTATGATGTTTTGCAGCAACTTCTGCTTACGATGACGCATCGACTTGTAGTGCGCAGTATGCGTAGGTAGCCGAGTATCGATAACGGGTTGCATAGTAAACCCGCCCGCGCTATCGGTATACACCGGCAGGGCACCAGTGAGGGATGATAGGTGAGGATGAAAAGGCAGGTCAGATAGCCCATCGTGACGAATTCCACAAGAATTGTCCACAATGGTTTCCACGGAGAACCATGTGGAGGTCGACCTGATAAAATGTATTGCTAGCAATGGGTCCATTAGACCCCATTACTAACAATCCCTTTCACACCTTTACATTCGTACTGTCAGTGACATTTATTGCCTGACGACTCAGTTCAAAATGTAACATTTGCAAATGCGTTGACTATAGTGTATAAAAAAACGTGATCAAGGAATTACATAGAAGGAGTGATATAATTGTCAATTCATAGCAGGATAGTGTATAGACAATGTTATACGGCCGTATAACCCTACATAGATACAACCTACTTGCATACTTTCTACATAAACTGTGTCCAATATATAATCTAGTAATGTAAAATTTGTCATTGACAAATAATTGACATATCAAACATTTTCTATACACTAGCCTGCTATGAATTGAGAAGAATAGCAACTGATGGTGTATCTTTCGTCCTCTTTTTACTAATTATATTTGCATAAGAAGAAACGAGACAACCATATGATTCACAGTTTTTATTTTATCATTGCTTCTATGTAATTCCTTGTTATTAGTTACCTAAACACTAACAACAATTACTGCAACAACAACAATTTTATTATAATAATTATTTTATTCAGTATCACTTACAATCACTGTAGGAACTAGGTATTGAGTTGTACACATATATACAAATTATCTTCAGTCTTTATACAAATTTTAAAATAGGTAGTAAATGTTCCAGCAGAAGTGAACATTTCTCTCAAAGGGTTGAAAAACAATAAAAAATCAGAGCAGGAGGTTCGACATGTTCTGCTGTTTCTTCTACTGAACTCACTTTGACAAAACTGTTCAGTTACACTGGCACAACTGTACAACATTCTGTAAACACTATTCTAATTAATTCAAGTTAACTCTGTACAATAAGTACCTACATAACATTCTAAGTTTATCACAAAAGTACAAATTGATAATGAAATGTACATTTTCTTATATACTAAAGTTCTAGAACATTTCACTGTCTTAATATACCTTATAGGCTAGTGTCCTGCCTGCTGGGCTACCAGTCCATAATCACATATTAAAAAATGTAGCACATAGCACGAGCTCTGCTTAGTTTGGAACTGGATGGCGTGTATTACTTGTATACAATTTTTATTCAATAAATGACTTTTTAAAAAATTAAATGTATGCAAATGTGTAATTCATTTGTATTTTATGACATTTGTTATATTATTGACTTGTTATGTATTTGTTTTTGTTTAGTTTGTATTTGTTTAGTTCTGCTACCACTAGTATGTGTGCGGCTGCCAATATTTATGGATTGATCCTTGTAGGCTATTAATATACGTAAGCCACTAAATTATAATACTAAATTTGCATGCCTTTAGATAAGGCGAAATGTGTAGATCTATTATATTTAAGACCATTATTATAACCACATTTCTAGCAAATAAATAAATAAATTATTATTATACTAAGTGGCATTAATTGGCTTTGTTTTACATGAACCATAGAGGTTTGTTATTTAGTACACTCTGTCCTGATAGCCGGAGTACTGCGTCAACTGGGTCGGCTTTAGCTGAGCGGCTGCAACGCGGTGAGGATGTTGGAGGTGCTCCGGCCGCCGCGACGGTATTAGGTACTCGAACATACCCTGCGAGTGTTGAGCGAGCATGTTCGCCAGCTCGCACGGCATCGGGTCCGTCCAGAAGAAGTCGTGGTTAAGCGCTGTGTCCGCGTCCAATCTGATCGGAATTAACACCGATCAATAATGTGATCATAGGAATATAACAAGTGAATTATGTTCATCGAAAAACAAAAATTGATTCGAATGTATCACTTCAAGATTTAGTGCGGTAGTTTCCAAACGTACAGACAGATAAAGCTTTTTAAAAATATGCATTTGGTTCGTAATGCTCTTATTTAAGATTCCTGAGGTTTGTCAACTTTGTTTGTTAAGGCATGAAAATTTTGAAAATGAAAGGTTTGATAAGAACGACAAAAGTGCTTAGGTGGCATTTACGGATGGAAATACTAGAGAATATATACTAGTTAGTTTTTTTTTTTATATACAACTTAGAATGTCAAACAAGCTGACGGCCCACCTGATAGAAAGTGGTAACCGTCGCCTATAGACATGAGCAGTACCGTGGACATAACAGAGATTACATGCATTTACTGTGTCTGACTAGCGCCATCTACCGTTCTCTCTGTACTTATCCATTCTTTATGCCAGGTTGTCTGTAAGAGATCGCTTGTAGCGATAAGGCCGCCTCTTGTATATGCACATTCTGTATAAATACTCCTTGTATACATCTCTACTGTGCGCAATAGAGAGTTTATTATTATTATTTTTTAAATTTTACTAAAATTCACACCTCCCCTCTTAAGGAGAGGAGATGGCAACTTACCCCCGGCAGAAGCACAGTCGGCCGAGGTTCAGGGCCCCAGGGAGAGAAACCGGCGTACAATGCGGGCAGAATCTAAGAGCACCGCTCACTGCATCTTTCCCGGGAGTGAGCCGCCTCAGAATGCCAACCGTCTGAGATGTTGTTCCAGACTGTTATTATTATTATTAGATATCCAAGAAATAGAAAAAAAATAACCGACAACTATCGACTATATTTAGTAAGTTTTACTGAATAAACAAAAAAAAAAAAAAAACAGTACGGCGCGGTACTGCTGCTATTGTAATTTTTATTTTTCAAATTTATTTATGAAATAGAATTTTAATGGCAGGTAACAATTCTAATCAAAACAAAAGCCGTGACGGTTTCTCCGCAGAGTTTTTTTTTTTTTTATAACACACGGGTGTAGTGATACGCAAGCGAGTTGGTTAAACACTGGTTTATTCATTGAAAGGAATAAATAGAACAAATTATTACCGGCCAGTATTTACAAAATTATTAGTGGCCAGTACGTGAACATAATATAGGTACTACAACGGGCAAACGAGCACGCCGCTCAGCCGATGGTGAGTGACCACAAAAATGTACAGGTTGTAGGATAGAGCTCTGTCTCTGTGCAGCGAACCTTAAGCGAATAATATTAACTAATTAATTTTTAATTAAACGTTCATAACATCATCATATCAGTCTCTAATCGTCCACTGCTGAACTTAAGCCTCCCCCTCGGAGGCTGCCTGTCAGTAGTTGCCACGCTTTGCAGACGGATTGGCAACCGCAGTCAGGCTTAAGAGATGTTTAAGAGGAACGCTGCTGCCCAACCCTCGTTCTCCAATAGTCGCCTCTTACGACACCGACAGGAAAAGAAGGGGTAGTATATATATATATATATATATATATATATATATATATATATATATATATATATATATATATATATATATATATATATATATATATATATATATATATATATATATATATATATATATATATATATATATATATATATAAGGTAACCCTTAGCCCCGGTCCCCAACTGATGTAGCTGGGTCCACTCCGGTCTCCTCCTCCGGCACGACTACACCAGGGATTATGCACAGGCGGCGGCGGAGATTAGGTAATCCTTAGGTTCGGGAACCCTACAACCTGCGGGTGGCCAACGAGCGACCGTTTCTCCAGGTCTCTCTGAACGCCGCGACCGCACCTCGCGCTTGCCCAGCACGAAGACAATATTAAAAACATGCTGGTCCCTCTAATATCGCCACAACCCCTCCCCTAGATAGAACTGGAAACCTTACTCCCCGCAGGAACACAACGCTATTAAAACAGCATTGTTTGGCTGCGAATTTCTGCAAGGTGGAGGTCCTTCCCCAAGCGGGAGGTTTAGTGCCCTACCTCTCTTAAGTCTACATCTACGTCTACACTAATATTATAAAGAGGAAAGATTTGTATTTTCGCGTGTATGTATGTTTGTAATGAATAAACTCAAAAACTACTTTGCCGATTTCAAAAACTCTTTCACCATTAGAAAGCTACATTCACCCTGAGTAACATAGGCTATATTTATAGCTAGAAAAGATTAGGGATCCTCACTAAAACTTTAGTAACGTAACTCAAGGAGTAAAAAAATGCTATAAAATATCTTTGGTCGCGTGCGCTGCGGAAACTATCGGTGATAGAACAAAAGTATGTTTTTTTTTTTTTTTTTTTATTTTATTAAAGTTAACAAACAGTAATACAATATATAATTATAATAAGATTACATTTAAATGTAATTAATAGTACTACCAACAACGTTCACTACAGATTGCTATATAAAGAGAGAAAGTATATAAACATGCAAATATTGGCGAGAAGTCGAGCCGACCATTATATCTATTCATTAAGTTAAATTATAAATAACATTGACACAACCACATCACCGGTACAAATTATGCAAAACAACCAACAAAAAAAAAAACAAAGTTATTTAACTATACACATGTATTTTATAATTTACTAATTATGTGCACGCATTACTAAATTCCTGAGAGAGGGAGCAGGTTACTAATTGTTTGGCTACCATTTTTTTTGAAAGTTAACGGTTTAGTAGCAAATATATCAATATTATAAAATTTGTCATTATATATTTTCAAAATTCTATTTATGGGTGAACGAATACCGGAATTGGTACGGTATCTGTTGATTGCAAACAATTCTTGTCTTCGTGAATTTCTCATTTGTGTACGCACTGGAACTTTATAATTTATCTGATTTGTTAATGAAATACAGTCATATTTACCCTGAACAATATCATACAGAATCAGAATCTCTAGTTGTATGCGCCTTGATTTTAAGTCTTGCAAATTATACAATAATTGGTCATATGAACGACGGTTATGAGAAAATTTATATATTGTAAACGTCGCAAAAATTTTTTCTGTACCATTTCAATTTTATCACAATAAAACTTATAAATAGGATTCCATATAGTTACAGCATATTCCAATTGAGATCGAATAAGGTTTTTATATAAATATAAATAAGTAGTGGGTTTCTTAAAGTTATTCGTACATCTCATTACAAAACCATACATTCTGTATGCCTTAGCAACAATATTATCAACATGTGTATCAAGCACAAGTCTAGTATCCAATGTAAGACCTAAATGTTCTACAATATTAAAGAAAATATCAATAACTACAAAAAACTTCGCGATACTATATGTCCAACTATTATCGTTATATCACAATAACCACTTTGTACATTTCAAAAGTTGATAGAAATACCGACTAAAATTACACCATGTTATTCATACTTCTGTTTAAATCCTTATCCAAATAAATCATATTGTTTTCAAAACTGTTTCAATTTATGTAGATTACTTTTTGAATTGTTCAATTCGACTATTCCATTCGATAGATATTACGATTTTAATAAGTCATAGAAATAGAAAATATAACGCTATCGCATTGTACTAGTACATGTTATTCATACCTATTTATTAATTTATATCCAAATAAACTATTTTGTATTCAAAATTGTTTCAATATCTATAGATTACTTTTTGAATTTTCCAAATCGTAGGTATATTTCATTCGAAACATATTATGTTAAAAAGTCAGATATAGAAAAGGCACCGCCCGCCGCCCGCGCCGTGTCTGCCGCGTGGCTAGCTAGCCAGGCGTTGTAGCGGTGCGGGAGAGGGGCATGGGGAGCAGTCACATCTATGAAATAAGTAGATAGGTAGGATCAGATAAATATGAAAAATGTCCACCCGTGCGAAGCCAGGACAGGCCGCTAGTTATATAATATAATAATAATAAAATTTTATTTTTGGATGTAAATTATGTGAAACGAGCTATCAATAAAAAGCGATATAATTTGCCTTTGCGTGGGACTGGTCTCTATACTAAGTTAATATACTAGTTGTGCTAAATAATACCTGTGTTACACAGTCACCAAGCCTTCACCCAAGTTGCCTAAACATAAACAATGAATGCAATAATAATTATGACAAATGGTGATTTATGAAAAAAAATATATATATGCCAATTTTTTACTTCAACATACTGTCGTATATTTGTTAAAGTTACTTCTTTTGAACAAATTAAGTTGTTCAAAAGCCTCTAATATCAACTTTTTCTAGTTTGTTTACTAATAGAGGAATGGAAATAGTATCGAAGGCTTTCGTTAAATCAAGAAATATGCCAACATAATATTTTATTTATTGTTCAAATTTGTAACAATACCATTTGTTAAATTGTGTACTGCATCATTGGTCAATTTACCCTGGTAAAAACCATACTGTGTGGATCGGATAATATTGTATTACGTTCCAAGTGATTAATACGTCGTGATTTTAATCATTTTGCCAAAATGTTTGAGAGTGTAGCAGAATAGAATTGGGTCTATAATTATTTATATTGGTTCGATATCCACTTTTATGTATGTATGGAATGAATTTGTGCCAATTTGAAAGTATCCATGTAGGAGAAAGAAGTAAATAAAATAAATAATTAAACTTTATTATCATTATTATATTTTATTAATTTAAAAATTACAATGTTAAAATTTACTTGCCATTATGTGGCGAAAACTGTTATATTTGTTAATAAAGAAATATATAATATAAATATAATAATATTTAGAAAAATTCCTGTTGAAAATGCCAGATTGCAGATTTGCATTTATTTACAAGTGGAGCGACTAAGATGTTTTTCTTGACTTCACCATGTCCTGAGGCGCAGTTTGTTCGAAGCTTATTAATAATATGTTTAGTTTCACTTTCGTCACTAGGAAGTAATGTAGAAGAAGAATATGAAGGAGTGTATTTGTACAAGAGAGGTGTAGGGTTAATACAGCGATTTTCAGTTATTGTTTGTTCGAATTTAGCAAAATCTGAATTTACTTTATTAACAGAGGCTAAACAGTCGTTGGGGATGCAATGTTCATTACACAATGGCGGGCTTCTTGTTGTATTTGTGATTGTTTGAACTTTACGTGTATATTGTCTCCAATCTTGATACATTTTAAAAGTCCTTGGGTGATCTCTGGACCTTCATTTAGCATTCATATATTTTTACGATTACAGATAGTTCTGATAACTTTATAATAAATAGTACTATTTAAAGTGTCTATAAAACAATTTGTTGCCAAATTAACATCATTCGTTTTGTATTATATATTATAATAAAGTCTAACTTATTCACGTCTATTGTAAGTGAGTCATTGTTAATATATTTTATATTTCTACTATTAGGGAAATGTACCAAACATTTCCCTAATTTGAGACTGTATGCAAATAGAGCACTTTCACTTTCACTTTTGTGATTAGTAAGAGAACTTTGGACTACGTGACAGGAAGCTGGGTTCCAAGTCTTTAACAAAACGTGATCTAGACATGAGAACTTTCGTATCGGGATCGTATGTGCAGGCGTCTCTAAGTCTCCAGAGGTTGTCATATTTAGATAGTTATCTGACCAGTTGTCTTGATTGTTGTGAGATTTATCGATGTTCATATCTCCCACCGATATTATGTCTTTATATGCATACCCAAAAAACCTGTGACATTACGCTCTGTAGGGAGACAATAGACAAATAATTGACTATGATGTAGTTATAGATAATTAAGGTAAGGCAATTAGCATTATTATACTATTATACCTTACATTTGTAAAATCGATAACTTTTGCAACAAACAACAATAATAACAAGTAACGCCGATCTCGTGTCTTACTCACAATCAAGGCACAAAATGAGATAGAAAACATATTAGGTACATTACCGTGCCCGTCGCCGACGCTCGAAGGTGTGCACGCGCAGGCGAGCTTATTCATTATGGCAGTGCACTTCAGGCCGTCTCAGTGACCGGACCAGTGTTTTGTGTTAATCACTGTTCTATGAAGTATAAGTGTATGTTAAAAGATCAGTTTATGACATTATATTTATTTATTTGAAATCAAAATTAATATTATTCCAATACATATCATATCCCATAACTAGGTTTTAAATTTCCCTAACTGAAGTGATCAACTGAAGTTTTGCTTCCGATATGCAAAACATCAAAGCTCCTCGCGAGTCCGATTCGCCAGTTACCAGCTCCAGTTCCACCACCCGGAACATGAACAAAAAGAAATACCTGGAGCAATTTAAATTCCCCTTTTGCGACGAATCGTCTAAATACGAGATAGTCGCAAAAATTGGTCAAGGCACGTTCGGGGAGGTGTTCAAAGCGCGAGTACGTAACACGAACAATAAAAAGTTCGTCGCAATGAAGAAAGTGTCGATGATCAATGCGAATGAAGGCTTCCCGATCACGGCACTACGAGAGATAAAGTTGCTACAACAGCTCAAACACGAGAACGTAGTGAATTTAATAGAAATATGCCAGACCAAAGCGACGCTTCGCAACAAGTACCGGTCGTCTTTATATTTAGTTTTTGAGTTTTGCGAGCACGACCTAGCCGGTCTACTATCGAATGTTAATGTACAATTTAGCTTGGGAGAAATCAAGAAGGTGATGAAACAGCTTATTAACGGTCTGTTCTACATTCATGTGAACAACATACTGCACAGAGATTTGAAGCCGGCAAATGTGTTGGTCGCAAAGAATGAACTACTGAAGTTGGCAGACTTCGGTCTGGCGAGGGCATTCAAAGTGGCGAAGTCGGGACAAGCGAACAAATATACTAACAGGGTCGTGACGCTGTGGTATAGGCCTCCGGAGTTATTGTTAGGTGAGTTTTTTCTTTTATATCTCATATTTTTCAATCAGTCCCAGAACTATGAGACGATTTTGTATTTATATCGCTTCTCTTTATGTGCTTAGATTAATTATGTGATTTCGTGAATAATTCCAAAATTCATAGTTTCCCACTTTTCCTGAGATGTAATAAATATTTTTTTAAATAGATGAAAAGAGAACGGTTAATGCATTGCACTTTTTTGTTGGTAGGTAACCGCAATTATGGTCCACCGGTGGACATGTGGAGCGCCGACTGCATCATGGCTGAGATGTGGACACGTTCACCTATAATGAAGGTGAGTTTTTTAAATCTTTTCTATCAAACCGGAGTACGAGGACATTATTTATATATTTTATATTAATTTATTCTAATTTCTCGCTCAGGCGACTAATCTTGAACATGACTTTGAGGGTTATTTGAAGGTCGACTTGAAATTTTTAAATAAAAGCACTCTTTTTGATTTCATCGATCCAAATATGCAACCATTACAGTGGTCATTCCGACCTATCTCATAGATGATAAGCTGAATGTAAAGTTTTGCGGTCTACATTGATCCTGGTTAAAAAATTCGAGTTTCCAATTGAAAATCTCAATTAACCTTTAAGGTCATCGTCATGGTGGTGCGGGTAACTGCAAAACAAATAGACGTGCTTATATGTACTCTTACTAATTTAATTATTTAAAATTTCTTACATGTGTTCACTGTGAGATGTATGATGTGTACCTTTTGGCGTACCTCAAGGCAGCATTCTCGGCCTTCTATTATTCATTATCTATATAAATGATATAATGAATTTGTTTAATTTAAATGACGATACAGAAATAATTTGTTATGCTGACGATATTGTGATTGTCTTTCGGGATTGTTCTTGGACAGAAGTCTTTAAAAAAGCAGTATGGGGCATAGCGAGGCTCGGACAATGGTTGAATCATAATCTATTGACTCTTAACACGACAAAGACCAGTTATATGTGTTTCCATAAAACAAAGCCTTCCAGTGCACCAGCCTTTTTAGCAATTAAGCTACACTCTTGCTCAGGGGATTTCATCTGTTCTTGTGAAACTCTAAAGAGATCGTTTTCACTAAAGTATTTGGGTATTATTCTCGATGAGAGGCTCACGTTCAGGCATCATATTTGTAGATTGTCAAATCGCGTTTGAAAAATCGTACATATCATGAAACTTTTTCGAAACGGATTAAATAGTAAAACACTGTTACTTGTTTATAAAGCCATCTGTCAACCTATAATTTTTGCATGCGGTGCATGTCAGTTTTTGCAGACAAAAACTGACATGCTCCGTCTTGAGCGTGCTCAAAGATCTGTTCTTTCTGTTCATAATCCTTAGGAAAAAATTTCAATATCCCACTCGTTTTTTTTTATATTCTGAGGCCAATGTACTCACAGTTCGACAGTTATTTATTTTAAAAGCAGTCACTTTATATCACAAAACTCTTGATCACTCTTCCTTGTTACATTTCAGGAGGCTCAAGCTAAACATTCCTACCATCAGATCTTCCTTTGCCCGTCGTTTTGGTGCATTTGCATTTCCGTCAATGTACTATAAAATTAACAAAGTGTGTCCACTGATAGGTCATGGCTCACATATTATGAAACACAAATTAAATAATTATCTTTTATCACTATGTTATGAAGCAACTGAAAAACTGTGGTCTGGAAAGTGATAACAACCAGTACACACACATCTTTCACATGGATTACACAACACACATTCATACATACTCACGAACATTCCCACATTCATTTACTCAACTTCGTTTCTCTTGAGGGCATATATTATTAGTGTTCTATAATTGCTTCTGCATCTATATTGTTGATTTTATTACTTTTTTAACTATTTCAATTTTATACTCCTTTTTTTATTAATACCCGCCCACTATGTACTTTTTATTATAACACATTTGTGATTTGTTAATCTTTGTCGGGTGCCTACGACACAGGTTCGTCTAGTGTGGGTACCATTGTATCTTGTTTGTAACTTTGTGTTTTTCGTCAAATAAAATAATAATAATAATTGAGTCTCTTGATATCTAATAACTTTTGTAGAAGTCATTTAATTTATTCTCAGTCTTTACTTTGAGAAAATTAGGTGATCCAGTACTGGTACTTTTGTACTTCTCCCTACCTTATTTCTTTGCCATACGACATCCCCCGTTTTAAGATATATATTCTCCTGGAGCCGAATAAGCCTTTTCCAGTAGACTCACACTGGCACTGGCACTGCTTTACTGCATGCTTTCTAATATGCCCGAAGGCAGACCCATTTTATATAGTGCAAGCCTTACCGGCTCGTATCCAGTTAAGTCATTGTATGTTTAGTTCAAGTTTAGTCCATTCTTCAGCGATATTACTTAAAAAACATTCTAGAATGCGTAACACCTTACAGTTCTCTTCATTCCTACTGCTGTTTTATTCTCGCAGATATATAATGTATATTATTATTGGCTGTCGACGCAGGGTTCGACTGAGCAGCAGCAGCTGGTTGAGATCTCGCAGCTGTGTGGCTCGTGCACGCCCGACGTGTGGCCGGGCGTCGAGAGCCTTGAGCTTTACAACAAAATGGCGCTGCCCAAGGGACACAAGAGAATAATCAAGGTACTGTTAGTACTGCATTCGTCATCATTACAGGCTTACAAAAGAAAGAGATGTGCTCTAACAGTCCCATTGCCAGCAAATGAACAAAAACCATACCCCATTCTTGCAAATATAAAATCCTTGCTATAACATAAATAAATACATTTTAGGCCAACCACAAATTAGTGAAGAAAGATGATGCAAGTATGCGACTTCCAAGTAGAGAATACACTAACAAAATATTTCCTTTCAGGAAAGGCTACAACGCTACATCAAAGATCCCTACGGCTGTGACCTGTTAGATAAATTGTTACAACTGGACCCAGCGAAGAGGTAAATAGGATTTTTTTTTTTGAAGAACATAATTCTGTCCTTGTATTCCTATAATCACATTATTGATTGGTGTTAATTCCCCTCAGATTGGACGCGGACACAGCGCTTAACCACGACTTCTTCTGGACGGACCCGATGCCGTGCGAGCTGGCGAACATGCTCGCTCAACACTCGCAGGGTATGTTCGAGTACCTAATACCGTCGCGGCGGCCGGAGCACCTCCAACATCCTCACCGCGTTGCAGCCGCTCAGCTAAAGCCGACCCAGTTGACGCAGTACTCCGGCTATCAGGACAGAGTATACTAAATAACAAACCTCTATGGTTCATGTAAAACAAAGCCAATTAATGCCACTTAGTATACAAGTAATACACGCCATCCAGTTCCAAACTAAGCAGAGCTCGTGCTATGTGCTACATTTTTTAATATGTGATTATGGACTGGTAGCCCAGCAGGCAGGACACTAGCCTATAAGGTATATTAAGACAGTGAAATGTTCTAGAACTTTAGTATATAAGAAAATGTACATTTCATTATCAATTTGTACTTTTGTGATAAACTTAGAATGTTATGTAGGTACTTATTGTACAGAGTTAACTTGAATTAATTAGAATAGTGTTTACAGAATGTTGTACAGTTGTGCCAGTGTAACTGAACAGTTTTGTCAAAGTGAGTTCAGTAGAAGAAACAGCAGAACATGTCGAACCTCCTGCTCTAATTTTTTATTGTTTTTCAACCCTTTGAGAGAAATGTTCACTTCTGCTGGAACATTTACTACCTATTTGAAAATTTGTATAAAGACTGAAGATAATTTGTATATATGTGTACAACTCAATACCTAGTTCCTACAGTGATTGTAAGTGATACTGAATAAAATAATTATTATAATAAAATTGTTCAGTCTTTTATTTTCTACTATCTATCCCCTCGACTTAGTCCGTGTGACTGGGATATGTTTACTAACTGGGATTACATTCCTATATCATTCTCCAATCTGTTATAAACTCTTTGCTACTGTTTTCTAAATGTATGTTTTTATGACGTGCATTGTCATTGTATTATTAAAGATTACGTATCTTATGTCTAATGGTTTAATTTATAAAATGTGGCGACGAGAGTAGCAAAAAAATGGACGCAGAACAATTTCAACAGTTCCTGCAGTTGCAGCGCATGCAACATGAACAATTAACACAAGTAATTCAATTACTTGCAACATCAACACAACATGAACGTGGCCCCGCGGAGACGCCCGTGATGGCCGGGAATAATCAGGATACACCCTGCACACCCGTTTCTAGCACATTAGGTATCAACAAACTATCCATAATGAACAATTTCAAATGTGAAAAATTTAACCCTACAACGACAACAGTAGAAAATTTTTTTGACTACTTTGAAATCAAGTGCCAAATTTTGGATAATAACATAAACATAGACATTAAAAAAGATTTGCTCATCAATTGTTTATCACCAGAAGTTTTTCATGAGATTAAAATTGGACTTGTACCTAACTTTGAATCGAGTACTTATGATACTATAAAATCAAAATTAATGGATTTGTACCGCACAAAGAAAACCAGGTATCGTGCACTTTCTGAATTCTGGAATTGTATTAGACAGGATGGAGAAACAATGGAGCACTACGCGAATAGATTAAAAGAATTGAGTAAAGACTGTGGCTATAATGACATGTTATTAAGAACGACAACTTCGAGACTGCTTTGCAACGGGTCTTAACCACACGCAACTTTTAATTAACCTTAAACAAAAATGGCCGGACCTAGTAGAAAGTTATCATGACGGCACTACTGAGGTAACCTTTTCCCAAATTTTTGCAGTTGCTCAATCACGTGAGCTGGCGGAAGGTGATGAAAATACAGCAAACATAGCAAGTAGTGTTTATAAGGTTAAACAAAATAAATCAGGTCATCGTAATCAGAAACAAAGACGTATAACCCCTGATCAATGCCGCCGTTGTGGAAAACGAGGGAAGCATGGATTAATGTCCAGCTAAAGACAATGTTTGCAAAGAATGCAATAATAAAGGACATTTTGATAACTGTTGTTTGAAAACTGACAGAGCATATTTATCCTTCGAAAACAAACAAATACATAAAGGTAGTAAAAAATTACATAAAGTTAATAGATACTACTCTTCCGGAAGCAGCGATTATACGGCGAGGAGCTCAAGCCCTAGTGAAGACGATACTGAAGATGAATTAACTACTGTTCACAAGATCAACAATAAAAAAAGCAAGGACAGCAAGAAAATTTACGTCATTATCAATGACAAACCATGTACTATGGATTGGAACTCAGGATCTCTTTATTCTATCATAGATGTCCGTTTTTGGAAACAAATAGGAGCTCCCCAGTTGACTGACGCACCACGTCTACGTGCTTATGGAAATTCAAAACTTAAGTCATTAGGTTTGACGGACGTGACGGTACAAGTGCAAGATCAGGAACGAATTGTACCAGTAATAGTTATGAAAAATGCAGATCCAATGCTATTTGGTCTACAATGGAGCGAAGTATTCGATATGGAATTTCCTAAACCAGTCTACACTATTCGTACTTTACAACAACCTACAACGCTTAAGCAGGTTTTAAATACATACAATTCTCTTTTTGATGATCAACTGGGTAAAGTCAAGAACTATGAAGTGAATATTCATATTAAACCTGGTACACAACCTAAACACCTTCCTCCTAGACCTGTCAAGTTCTCTTTGAAAAAGAATATCGAAATAGAATTGAAGCGGCTCGTGGATACTGGTATAGTAACTGAAATAGATCCTAATATAACTCCTGTCGAATGGGCAACGCCTACTGTCAATGTGATAAAGACTAATGGCCAAGTGAGGATTTGTGGAGACTATCGCAGCACTTTAAACCCTGTTCTTATTACGCATGCACATCCAGTTCCTTTGTTTGATCAATTACGTCAAAAATTAGCAGAGGGAGAGAAATTTACCAAAATAGATTTGAAAGACGCCTACTTACAGTTTCCAATTGCTGCTGACTCAAAAAAATATCTTACTATTACTACACATAAAGGTTATTTTCAATATAATAGAATGCCTTTTGGAATCTCCACAGCCCCATCTATTTTCCAACATTTTCTAGACAAACTACTTGAAGATATTCCAAATGTCGCAGTATATTTTGATGATATTGCCATAACTGGTAAAAATGACTTAGATCATCTTAGAACTCTATCCATAGTACTTGAAAAACTAGAAAAAGCTGGTCTTAAGGTAAATTTAAAGAAATGTTCTTTCTTTCAAGAAGAAATTGAATATGTTGGGCACACTATTAATAAAGATGGCGTTCGTCCAACAAAGTCAAAACTGGAAGCCATTCAGAAAGCAGCCCCACCTAGCAAGCACACCCAAGAGCTCAGGTCATTTCTTGGTTTAGTTAATTTTTATGAACGTTTTATTCCACATTTACATAGTTTATGCGCAGATCTACATACCTTAACGGGAAATCGCCGCAAATGGCAATAGTCGGAAACAGAAGATAAAATATTTAATAAGGCAAAAAAAATAATTTTGCGTTCTAAACCCCTAATTGCTTTTAACGAAAGTCAACCAGTTTTTTGTTGTCATCAACCGCTTGTGATGCGTCTGAAAAAGAGGTTGGTGCTGTCCTCTACCATAAAAATAATTATATTGTGCAACTAATTTCTTTTGCTTCGCGGAAATTAAAACCAGCAGAGGCTAAATATTCCGTTATCGATCGTGAGGCGCTTGTCATTTTCTTCGGAATTAAGAAATTTGACCAATATTTACGTGGTGGAAAATTTACCTTGGTGACTGATCACAAACCTTTAATGCATTTATTAGGGACTCGACGGAATCTGCCTAAGTTATGTAACAACCGTCTAGTACGTTGGGCCCTTCTGATTGGCAGCTATAACTACGATGTTGTATTTACAAAAGGCAAACTTAACGTCATGGCCGACTATCTCTCACGAATGCCCAACCCTCACGAAAAACCCTCATTATCAGAAGTTTTGAATCATAAAATAGACACACGTCACCAAATGGGTAAGCTACATGACCTACCTATATCTGAAGACATTCTGAGAAACGAAGTTAAGAAAGATTCTTAAAAAAGTCAATGAATTTTTAAAAACTGGTTGGCGCCTAGATTATTTATTTATTTATTCATTAGTACAAATATGTGTACATGGCGGACTTAATGCTAAAAGCATTCTCTCCCAGTCACCCATAGGCAAGTGTCAGAATACTCGAATGCGGTACTACTAATTATTGATATACATACATACTAATATTACATATATAAACGAATAAATATATATGAATAACAAATATACTTACACATATATGATATATACTATATTATACACGAATTTGGGAATACTATAAAGCACTTATTGTTAGAATTTGTCAGAAGAATTGAGACCATATTTACGAAAACGTTGTGAGTTATCATTAGAAGACAAAATTCTGATGTGGCATGGTCGTATTGTTGTTCCCTATTCATTAAGGAACTCTGTAATGAAATTTCTTCACAAAGGGCATCCAGGAATATCTGCCATGAAAGCTCTGGCTCGTTATTATATTTGGTGGCCTTCAATCGATGAGGATATTGACATGTGGGTTAAAAGATGCAGCAATTGTCAAGAAAACCGCCCTAACATAACAGAGTTACCGGTTTACTCGTGGTCTATCCCTGATGATCCATGGAAGAGGGTTCACGTAATTTTTTCGGGTCCTTTTGAAGGCAAATTTTGGTTAGTGCTCTGTGACGCACTATCTAAATGGATGAAATTAAACCAATGTCTACGATTACTACAACTAAGCTATGCAATGAACTAGATACAATTTTCACTTCTTTTGGTCTCCCACAAATTATAGTCTCGGACAATGGCCCTCAATTTACATCTCAACAATTTCAGGAATACTGCAAATGCAACGGTATTAGACACGTTATGTCATCGCCTTATCATCCTAGGACGAATGGTTTAGCAGAAAGACTAGTTCGCACTTTTAAAACCAGAATGTCAGCTAGTACATGTGATGAGTTAAGTTCAAAAAAACGTTTGGAAAACATTCTATTTACCTATAGAATTACGCCTAGAACTGATACCGGTAAATCACCAGCAGAAATTCTATTAGGGCGGCAACTACGTTGTCTTTTAGACAACATTAAACCTAATCCTAGAAGATCATTGGGGGGAAAGGGATTGTTAGTAATGGAGACTGAGAATCCCATTGCTAGCAAAATACCCAACCAGGTCGACCTCCTCGCGGTTACCCTTGGAAACTATCATGGTTAATTTCTGATGAATTCATCATGATGGGCTAACTGGCCTGTTTTCATTCTCATCGATCACCCTTCACTGGTGCCCCGCCAGCGTATCCCGTTAGCGCAGGCGGAGTTACCATACCATTTTCAACCATAAAAAAAAAAAACAAAAAAATCATAGAAGATCCCTTCGCTACAGACAATTTCAAGCTAACATAGAACACGACAAGGAAATGTAGCCCGACGCACACACCGTTATTCTTACTTAATTAATACCCCTGTTGGAATGAAAAAGTTCCATGCTGACCAGATAAGGAAGCGAATCATTGAAGAACATTTATCTCCACTTAATAATACTCAAGATAGCGAAGGCATGCAACAAAATATACTAACATGTTCAAAAGAAAGAAATTTACCCTTAGTTTCAACACAGCCAGTTGTTTAAGATCAATTTGAAATAATACCCATGAGGTGCAACGACAAAACGCCGAAGTACTCGACTAAGATGGTATTTAAACCTAACGTTCTTGAAAGGAACAGTTCGCCACCTACAGTCGAAGGGTTAATACGTAGTAGTGGTACATCCGCAATTGACGTAAGACGTAGTAGGCGAGTTGTCAAACCACCCCGACGTCTTATCGCAGAGATGTCCTAGTCTTGTTAGGAGTGGACGAATGTTATAAACTCTTTGCTACTGTTTTCTAAATGTATGTTTTTATGACGTGCATTGTCATTCTATTATTAAAGATTACGTATCTTATGTCTAATGGTTTAATTTAAAAAACAATCCATACCAAAATTTCGCAGTGATCGGTTAAGCTGTTAAGGCGTTATAACATAACAAACAAACAAACCAATAAATGTAGTGGGGGGAAAGGGATTGTTAGCAATGGAGTTTGACAGCCCCATTGCTAGCAATATGCCCTATTAGGTCGACGGTTCCCCCTGGAAACCATTGTGAACAATTCTTGTTAATTTGTCACAATGGGCTAACTGGCCTGCTTCATCCTCACCTATCATCCTTCACTGGTGCCCCGGCGGTGTATACCAATAGCGCGGGTGGGGCTACCATTCCATTATTACCCATTATAAAAATTAAAAACTATTATTATTATTATAGCTTTTTATCCACTTCAGTAGTCCCCAAGGGTAAAAGCCTCCTCCATCTTTTTCCACTTCTCCTTATCTATAGCAATACTTGTCCAGTTTTTTTCCCGCTGTCTTTATTATGTCATCTGCCCATCTCTTTCTTTGCCTTCCAACATTTCTTTTTCCTGCTGGACCTCGCCATTTTGTTGTTTGGAGAGTCCACCTTTTATCTTTGTACCTCCCTACATGACCTGCCCATCTCCACTTCTGTTTCATACTATACTGAAGAGCATCTGTTATTTTGGTTTTCTTCCTAATATCAGTGTTTCTTATTTTCTGTATTTTTCTTAACTTTAAGATACTTCTTTCCATCGCATGCTGACATGATAGGATTTTGTTCTTTATTTTTTCAGTATAGGTCCATGTTTGGCATGCATATGTCAGGCTTGGCAGGATGCAGGAATCCATAATTATCTTTTTTAAGTTGAGACTGTAGTTCCCTTTAAGGATTTCTTTTTGAGCCCAATATTTCTTCCATGTTGTGTTTATTCTTCTATCAACTTCATTTTCATTTATTTTGATTAATTTTTTGCTGTGATTTGTCATGATCTTTGTTTTGGTTGCATTCATATTTAGGCCAATTTTCTTACTTTCCAAATCTAGTTCTTGTAGCATTTTTTCTAGGTTGCTAGCCGATTCGCTAAAAAGTACTATATCATCTGCGAAACATAAGTGTGTTAGTCTTTTATTCAGTATCCATATACCCTCATGGCTCCAATCGATACTTTTAAAGATGTTGTTAAGTACTGCTATGAAAAGTTTTGGAGAAAGTGGATCTCCCTGTCTTGCACCTCTTCCAATTGTGAACTTTTCACCCTGCCTCTCCAGTTTAACTCTGCTTATACTTTTAGAGTAAATATTTTTTATAATATTTATGTAGGTGCTGTTTATATTATTGTCAGCCAAAGCATGCCATATGGATGAATCTGTAATGCTATCGAAGGCTTTGGAGTAGTCCACAAATGCTATGTAGTGATTTATGAAAAATTTAAAACTAATAAATATATAAATAAATAAAATTATGTCATTAACCTTCTATCAAAAACTTCGAGTAATATAGAAAAAGTTTTATGAAGATTTTTTTTTTTGTAGATGAAAATGGAATGGTAACCCCGCCTGCTCTAATGGGATACGCTGGTGGAGCATCAGTGAAGGGTGATAGATGAGAATGAAAACAGGCCAGTTAGCCCATCATGATGAATTCAACAGGAATTACCATGATAGTTTCCAGGGGGAACCGCGAGGAGGTTGACCAGGTTGTGTATATTGCTAGCAATGGGATTTTTAGTCTCCATTACTAACAATCCCTTTCCCCTCTTTGTAGAAGATTGAAATAAGAATAAGATAAAAATCTTGTAGTACAATTGAGTAAAGATGTTTTATTTTTCTATCTTATTTTTTTGGGCAGTAGCTCTAGCAGTAGTCTGTAATCTATTTAAATTATTAATGATCAAACCAAAGTAACAGTGTGATTAACTTACAGTATTGTATGTTAAGTTTTTCATCCATTGTTTGCATCCAGTTACATGCACAAATAGACACAAGAGAATTATCTGCAAATCCCTGCCGCCCACTGTCAAGCCTAAATATCGACTTAACTCCATAGTCGATGATTGACCTGTGTGTGTGATGACCCCTTAATATTATTCCCGATTACCTCCTCACCGAGATATTTAACTGTCATTTCCAATGTTTGTCCTTTCTATAAATATCGTATTTTGTTTTTTTTCTTTTCTCCAATGGCAATCGGTATTTCTTTTGTACGACGGCGTCAAGTATTTTAATTTTAGCTTCATTCATCACAATATCGGCAAGTTGAACGTTTCCCGCCTTTTCAATCGCCATGTTATAAATTCAAAGATCACTGTTTTTTTTAATGGGTGATAATGGAATGGTAACCCCCGCGACCTAATAGGGCATATTGCTAGCAATAGGGCTGTCAAACTCCATTGCTAACAATCCCTTTCCTAAGATCACTATGTTGAATCAACGAATACCTTTTAAACCAATGTCAATCACAATTACAGTAATAGTATTATATATTTAGGATTTTATGTGATGTTAACTAGTATAACATTATATAAAATGCAATGACTAAAACAGTAATTAATTTTTTAAAACAGATTACAGAGAATATTCTTAACTGAATTAAAATGTCACACTTTCTCTTTTCTAATTTTATTTTTTTTTTACTTCCATCAGTTTGAGAACTGTCATTCAATAAGTGAATACGTTATTCAAAAGTCGACACTATCCTCATAATTATGGATTGTGGGATATATCTATGAAACCAGCTAAAACTGTCATAACAATTGTGCGAGAATATAAGTGGACTGTATGTACGACAAGTACAGATGGGCAAAGCACCGGGTTTAAACCCGGTGCTTTGGTAAAAACCCAATAAACACCCATAAACTCCCATAATCACCCAAAAAAATAGGTTTTTACGTATTTTTTTGAAAATATGTAAGTAATACCAATAAATTATTTTTATAAATTGTATTGATCAATTCTACAATATTAAATAAAACGTTAACTAATAATATTTCAGGAAATTTTAAAAATCTATATATAATAAAATGAAAGTAATTAATTTTCAGTGTTTTCATGTTGCAGTTGATTAACATGTTGGCCTTTTGCTTCCCGTAGATACTTTAAAATTTCTTCATAACACCTCGTTCGCACACATGGCCGTATATATTTAAATTCTTGAGCCACTAACAGTCCGAAATACTCATTTCTTTTATCCTCTTCTCCATAAATTAAGCATTTAGAACAGTTTGTTTCTTCTTTCAGTAAATTTTCTTTTACTTTATCCTCGTTTTTTTTGTTTGTTGCGACGACGCTGGGTAAATCATCTGGACACTGGGTCTCACTATCGCCAAATATATTTGGAGATCGGCTTCGGCTACGGCTTGGCAGACATTTTTTTCTTTCTACAATTTTAAATTAAATTTATTAGAATAAATGCTTCGAACACACGCGATCTAAGTACCTTTTGTGTTTATTATACCTTACCTACCTAGGTATAAAAAGAGTACTTACGTAGATTTTCTTTTATTAACTGTTTTATACGAAGATCTTGATCTCTCAAATTAGCATCCATTTTACTTCCAGTGATTATCAACTAAATTAATAATCCACAAAGTATTAAATAACGTTTTTATGAAATATTTAGCACAAAAACAATACCCTTTAAATATCGATCGTCAGTAACTGTGGCTGACTTACCTATATTCTAGCAAGCAGGACTGCCAGATGTGAAGGGGAAATCCCCAATAAATTGTTGCATGTGACTGATGATGTGAGCATGTTCGTTTCATAATAAAAATGTTGCCAGGTAACCAAAAAGTCGTATGTTTTTGTGCGAATTACGATCATAATCTTTACGATCGTACATTAAAAAATAGACAAATAATAGTATGAGTACGATTTAAATCGTATATCTGTCAACCCTGCTAGCAAGACAGCGACAAAATCACGTTGCATAACAATGTAGCCCAAGCTTATATCTTATGAAATATACGGAAGAGATACGGACTTAGAAAAAACAGAAATGTTGTTCTTTGTGGAAGTCATTGATGAAATTCTATGTATTTTAGCCCGCAAACTTTCTTCAAACAAAAACAGCGCCATCTAGTATCGAGTTCTGTAATTATCTCTTTGTTTATGGATTTGAAGTAAGACCGCCACGCATGCAATACATTATGACTGGGGATTCCCCTATTCGTCGACGCTGAATATGAGGCGACGACAATCACTGTCAAACGTGTTCACTATTACTCTGACTCTGGTAACGTGACTTCCTGGTAACGTGTTAGGTAGGAAAAGCAGTAAAAAAGTGCATATTAAGGGAGCAGATTTGAAATAATATTTATACTTAACAAGAAATAATTAAAGGTAAGTGGATTTTTGAATGATACAATTATATCATGATCACTTAACAATTTTAACTTAAAATTAGATGTATTATTACAAGCTTTTATTTAGCTTGCGTTATGTAAATAAAAGTATGTAGGTATGTTCGTATGTTGATGCAATTATCCTCAATCCTCAACCGACTGGGATAAAATTTTCCATACACGTTTATTTTGGATGATAGTGCATAGTTAGCTGAGAGTCGTCATTGGATAATAATGGTGGATAGCCTAAGATGTGTACTAGATATTTATTTTTAACATAATATGCGTAAGTACCTAATCGAATTAAAGAAGTTGCTGAGAAAAATACAGAACAATACGATAATAAACTAGCGTCTGCGTTTAATCCTCCGAGGAGATGTAATTTTACAAAGGTTTTTTGTATTTATTTTATTATTTTTTTAATAAATTTATTGTAAATAACAAGAAATAATCATTGTAAAAAAATAGGCACTCTATTGTTGAATTTTCGTCAGACCAACTAATCATCGTTCATTTTTTTAGGTTCAATGGGGAGACCTAAAGATTTACGCATATGGGAGCACTACCGTACTTTACCAAACAAGTCTGTTTCTTGCAAGCTTTGTAATAAGGTCTACAAATTCAGTAATGCTGCCAAAATGCTTCAACATCTTATCACTTGTCCAAAATCTCCAGAAACATTAAAAGACTCTATGAAACTTATAAAAGATAGCTCGTCCAAAACCAAAATGTCTGGACTGTCAGAAATAGAGACAAATGATTCTTTTATAAGCCCCTCGTCGTCTGCTAACACTACAATAAATGCTGAGTTTCAAGACACCGATGATCATATAAAAACAGAATTAGCGAGAGCTATATTTGTAACAGGGACGCCATTATCGATGGTGCAACATCCTTTATGGATACAATTTTTCGAAAAATTGCAACCAAAATTTAAAATACCTTCACGTAAAGCTTTAGCGACAAAATACTTAGATAAAATATATAGAGAAATGCGTTTTGAGTTAAATGAGGAACTAAATGCTTGTAGTTACTTACACCTTCAGTGCGATGGCTGGTCTAATTTCAGAAATGAAGGAATAATAAACTTTCTTATATCAAAACCTCAACCTGCATACGTTAAAAGTTTGAATACAGAAAGTAATCCTCACACTAGTGAATACCTTAGCCAAGAAGTTGAAAAAGTAATGAAAGTGTATGGAGCAAATAAGTTTCTTGTACTTATTATTCTGCATATCAATGATATGTTACAGATAAGTAATATTCATTGCTATGCAGACGACAGTACAGGAGATACATTATATACCGGTCATGCAAAGATCTCGCGGGCACATACCGATGAGTGCCGGAATAGACTTGTGTCTGAAATCGAAACTTCACTCCATCAAGTTTCGATCTGGGGTGAACAAAATCTTGTCCAATTTAACCCCAAAAAGACACAAGTCTGCGCGTTTACCGCAAAAAAGACGCCGTTTGTCGTATCTCCTCACTTTCAGGGCACTTCCCTTGATAAAAAGTCGAGTCTAGGAATTCTGGGCGTTGATATATCTTGCGACGTCCAGTTTTGCGGTCATCTGGAGGAGAAGGCTAAGATAGCTTCCAAAAAGTTAGGAGTACTCAATAGGGTGAGACGATATTTCATGCCAGAACACCGCCTGAAATTATATAAAGCCCAAGTCAGGCCGCATATGGAATACTGTTCTCACCTGTGGGCAGGAGCGCCACAGTACCAACTCCTTCCGTTAGACCGCATTCAAAGTCGGGCGGCTCGAATTATCGATAGTCAACGCCTTACTGTCCGACTCGACCCACTGAAACTGCGCAGAGATGTTGCATCTCTGTGCATCTTCTACCGAATTTATCATGGGGAGTGTTCTGAGGAATTGTTCGGATTGATACCTGCTGCTGATTTTCACCACCGTACAACCCGCCACAAACTAAAGTTTCATCCCAATCATCTGGACGAGTGGCGGTCTTCCACCGTGCGTTTTTCAAGGCACTTTCTTCCACGCACAACCATTCTTTGGAATCAACTTCCAGCAGCAGTATTTCCGAACCGATACGACAACATAACCTTCAAGAAAAGAGTATATTCCTTTTTAAAAGGCCGGCAGCACACCTGCAATGCCGCTGGTGTTGTGGGTGATCATGGGCGGCGGTAGTCACTTACCATCAGGTGAGCCGCATGCTCGTTTGCCCCCTGTGTTGTAAAAAAAAAAAAAAAAAAAAAAAATTATTGGCGATAACGCTAGAAATATACAAAAGGCATTCGAATTAACAAAACTCAAATATCCACATGTTGTTCCTCTCGGTTGCTGTGCACATATCCTTAACTTGTTGTGCCAAGATATTGTAAAGATACAAGAAGTAACTGTGTTTATTATGCAAGCCATAAATATAATAAAAACTGTTAAAAGGAGTCAACGATTAAGTTCCTTGTTGATAAAATCAAGGCAGGGTGAAGATTCTACACAAACACTAAAATTGCTTTGTGCTACAAGATGGGGAAGTCATGTTACTTCGTTAAAAAGTTTGAAAGCAAATAAGATAGCTTTGCAAATATTAACAGTTAGAGAAGATGTGGTAATTTCAAGAGATATTAAAGATTTAATTCTAAGTGATGATTTCTGGACGAAGACAGGGGAATGTATAAGTATTTTGGAACCAGTCACTGAAAGCATATTTTACTTAGAGAGCGACCAGAATCGTTTGCATCGCACATACATTACATTTAGAGATGTACAAGCTAAGATACGTTTTGCATTAAATGAGATTTCGACATTGAGCGAAGAAAGCAAACAGCAGATTCTAACATCAGTATCTTCAAGATGCAATATGGCAATGAGGCCAATACATTTTGCAGCATATATTCTAGACCCCAGGACTCTAGGAGTCGAACTTACTCAAGAGGAAGAACTTAAGGGTATGGAGTTTATCTACAATTTAAGCCAACACTTAAGTTTGTCAAATGTAATGGCAGATTTGGCGTGTTATAAAGCTAAAGAAAACTTTTGGGCCAGAGGATTTGTATGGAGCTCATTAGATAGCATTGAGCCCCTAATATGGTGGAAAGGTATTTGTGGTTCCACTGAGTTAAGCAAAGTAGCGATTCGTATTCTATCAGCTCCCTGTACTTCGGCAGCCACTGAGCGTTCCTTTAGTATCCAAGGCTACATACATAATAACAAAAGAAATCGACTTACAACTGAAAGAACTGAAAAAATTTCATTCATTTGTTATAACTGGAATCTTAAACATAAAGCTGAATGCGAGGACATTCAGTTTAATGAAGAAAATACCTTAGAAGCTTTCATTGAGCAAGTAAATGAACATAACAGTTTAGACGAAATAGAGCCTATCGAACCTATACAATTCATCGCTTGTAATAACTCTGAATCTGACAGTGATTGACTGTAGTTTTACATTTTACTTTCATCTCTTTCTTAATAAACTCAAAATCAAATTAAAAGTTTTTTATTCTGTAGGCTGCATAATAATATTGTCTATGTCCAGTATAGTGGACGTCTTGCGGCTGAGATGACGATGATGAAGTACAAAATCATAAACACCCAAAAATTTGGGTGTTTATGGGGTTTAAACCCAATAAACCCAAAACACCCGGTTTTTACCCACCAGACTTTAAACCCACCCAGGTGGATTGCCCATCTCTAACGACAAGGTTTAGAAAATAGATCCGAGAATGCGAAAACGATTTTTTTTTATACCACTGAGGTGGCAAACAAGCATACGCCCACTTGATGGTAAGCGGTTACCGTAGCCTATGAACGCCTGCAATACCAGAGGTATTATGCGCGCGTTGCCGACCCTGAAAAAACCTCTTTACCCCCCTTTTGAAGAACCCCATACTGTAGTCTCTTGGAAAAACCTGGATTCAAACTATGTTCAAATGATTTACCCTTGGATTTGTGAAAATTCTTTTAATTACATACTCAGATCACTCAGTTCCCTAAAGCGTGCTAAAGTTACCTGAGATTACTTCGTAAATGTTATACTTACACAGGGTTTCGATATTGAATCCTCCGATAAACGTTTCAATCTTGAAATGTCTTTTTAGCGACACACCTTTTGCGTTTAGTTTATTTAATAATACAGAAGTATTAAATTCTAAAATTAAATTCTCACGATTGTGAAATTAAATCTTTTACTTATTAAATATTTTAAGAGCGACAACGACAAAACTGTTCTATTTCTGTTTTTTTTTTTAAGAGCAGACATCAACAACCTTTTTTATCTTTTTACCTCCAATGAAAATTATTCATTGTCACAATACGCGCGCGCGCGTACACACCCATGCACACACACGCACGCGCACTGGAAGTTGTGTGTGTGTGTACACACACACACACACACACATACAACCTCCAGATTAAATTATAATTAAATATCTCTTTCTATAAATTATATTTATTACTTTGATTTCTTTTATTGTATTACAAGTGCTTAGTAAGTTCAGGTCACCAGGGCCTCACTCAGCAGGGTTACTGCGGAGTGAGGCCCTGGTGAGCTGTAATACAGGCATTCTTATACCTATCTCAGGCACCAGTCTCTCACAATTATATTTATAATTTGTTTAATATAAACATTGTATTTCACTGTAATGAATTGTGAAGAGAAAATAAATCTATTTATTATTATTTTTGATATCGAATACTGACCCCCTGACAGAAATATACTTTTTTTTTTTTTTTTTTCTTCTTTTGTGGCGTTCACCCCGATATTGGGGTATTTTGCCAAGAACAAAACGGGGAAACGATAATAGTAATAAAAATACCTAACACAAACGAATTTAGAAAGGATAAGGATTAGGTCTAGGATATTTATAGGATATGAAGGATATACTTGTACATATGAGAATATACTTATAAATATATAGGAAAAGCAATTGATGCAACTATAAATGTATTCATGTAATATAACTAAATCTTAATATTGTTATCATATATATATGAAGATAGTATTTTATAGATAATAGGATCATTGGAAGAAAGTAGAGTAAGAATAGAAGTTGGGAATGGAACACGGATGGATCGGAGATGATTAAAAAGGAGGTGTGGTCAAATTTAGAACATGAGAAGAATATATGATTCAAGTCCGCCACTTCAGCACCGCAATTACACGACGAACTTTGTACAATACCAAGCTTGTATAAATGAGAAGGTGTGCATACGTGACCTAGACGCATACGAGTTATAATAGTTGTTGCGGTCTTTCCAAGCTTTAATTTACAAAACCATGGTTTGAAAGGAATATCGGGTTGTATAAGGCGATAAAATCTTCCTTTTATTGTACTTGTTTTTTCCCAATATTCCTTCCAGGCATACCTTAAATATATTTTTGGGAGACAAGCTAGGTCACTACAGTAATTATGATACGGATACATATCACCACAAGTTACAGCCTCTCTTGCAATAAGGTCAGCTTTGTCATTGCCGCTAATACCACTGTGTCCTGGTAACCAGGCAAAAGAAGCGGAATACCCTCTCAACATGCAAAGATAAAGACTTTGTCTTATGTCACAAATAATGGGATAAACTGGTTTTGATTTAAACGGATATTTGGCTAGAGCTTGCAAAGAGCTCATAGAGTCAGTGAAAACTATTGCCTTGTGTAATTTCATTAAAAGTATATATTCTACAGCTTTTAAAATACCATAGCATTCCCCGGTAAAAACTGAAGATTCCGGTGGAAGTTTAATTTTTTGAACGATATTAAATTGTGAATGAAACACACCCACACCTACACAACCGCTATTGTCTGGTTTTGATGCATCAGTAAAGATGTAGTGCCATTCATTCCATTCAATGTCAGTTATAAACATAAATTTGGCATTCAATTCTGAATCATTTTTTGATAACCCAAAATCATATTTAATATTAGGAGATAAAACTAAAGATTGATATGAGCATTTATAAATGGGAAAACAGGACGATGTAAAAGTGGGAGATTCTATGGATTTATATTTTTCATAACTTTGTATTAAACATGGAGGTTTTTTATGTTTCCAATAAGATGAAGACGAAATAAAGATATATAGTTGAGATAACTTTTGAATAAACGGATGATCAGATAATTGTAAACAACGAAAAAAGAAGCGATCAGATAAATATTGCCTTCTTAAAACCAAAGGTGGATCACCGACTTCGAGCTGTAAAGCATTGATTGGACTTGATTTCATTGCTCCAGAGATAATCCTCAAGGCCTTTGATTGAATTAAATCCAATTTCTTAAAAGCAAATGAACTTCCTGGAGCTAACAAAAAAGTTCCATAATCAATGACACTCCTTATAAGACCATTATAAGCAAGTTTTAGTGAAACGGGATGTGCTCCCCACCAAACTCCAGCAAGGCACCTAAGAATGTTGAGGTTACGCTCACATTTCGTGGAAATATAATTACAGTGGGACAGACCTGTTAATTTATTATCTAGCACGATACCTAAAAATTTAATTTCAGTCTTTATAGGAATGTATGAGTTATCATAAAGCACCTTAATTTGTTGCGGTGATCTCATTCTTGAAAACAAAACTACACTACTCTTGGTTACAGAAAGATTAAGACCATTTTCATCTAACCACGTTTTTAACAAATCTAATGAATCAGATAATTTGGCAGAAGCAGATTCTATGGACTTCGCAATAAAATATAATAAGAGATCATCAGCATATTGTAAAATTTTTACGGATTTATCAAGGAATGATTCTAGATCGTATGTGTATATGTTGAATAAAATTGGACTGAGAACAGATCCTTGTGGAAGGCCTTTCCATACTGTTCTAGATAATTTGGTATCTTCATCTAGATCCATATGTATTGTTCTTTCTGATAATATATTAATAATGAAATTAGAAAGCATTACCGGTACATTTAAAGCTTGTAATTTAGTTTTTAAAATAGAAATTATTACATTATCATAGGCAGAATTTATATCTAAAAAGGCTGAGAGGATTGACAAATTTTGTGAGAAAGCTATATGAATATCTGAAATAAGAATGCTCAAATTATCTAAGGTGCTCTTACCTTTCCTAAAACCAAACTGGTTCGGGAATAGTAAGTTATTACTTTCTAAAAACCATTCTAGACGGTTCTTCACTAAATGTTCAGCTAGCTTTAGTAAGACAGAGGAAAGTGCAACAGGACGGTATGAAGATGGTTCAGAAGGTGGTTTATGAGGCTTTAGAAATGGTATAATAATCTGAGACTTCCATGAAGTAGGTATATTTCCCGAAATAATTATGGAATTAATTATATTTAAAAAGTAAATTAATGTCGCATCGCTAGCATTTTTAAAAAAGGAATACGGTATACCGTCTTCTCCCGGTGCAGAGTCTTTAATACAAGCTAGAACACCTTTAAGTTCTACAAGAGTAAAAGGAGACTCAAGTTCAGATAATTCGTCAGAGACGGATAGAGAAATATTGTAAAGGCATTCCGGCACATAACTAGGAGCAAGGCGATCTAAAAATTTATTCGCTAAAGTTAAATCGAGTGCAGAACGTGATGTATGATCACTAAAGGCAGATCTGAATCTTTTAATATTATTCCAAACGACTGATGAATTAACTTCTGGACAGATAGAAGAACAAAATCTTCTCCAACCTTCCAATTTCTTTTTTTTCAGTAGTTTTCGAGTAGAACGTGAAACTGCGGTGTAAATTTCAAAATTTTCTGATGTCATGTAATTATTATAATTTTTTTCAGCCTCTTTACGATTTTTAATTGCTTCCGTACAATCTTTGTCCCACCAAGGTGGGGAGGGAATTTTCCCTGAAGCACTATTTTTAACAGGAAATAATAAATCAGCAACCTCCTTCATATTAATTATCAAGTCATTACAACATTGATGTTCATTTCCATGATAAACAATAGGTAACTCCGATATTTTATTATCTAAATATTGTTTGTAAATATTCCAGTCTACATTTGATAAATTATATTTAAGTCGAGGACCACTCTTTCGACTTGAGGGAATGGAAATTGGAAAAGAAAGAATGAGGGGAAAGTGATCGCTTCCGAAGGTAGAGGAATGAGGATACCACGACAGTGAAGAAGCTAAATCAGAAGAGCATATTGAAATATCAGGAGCACTAAACCCTTCATTCGGTGCAGTTCTACGTGTCGGTACATCTGAGTTAATAATACATAAGTTGTAAGTGTCAATTATCGTCAGGAGTTTTCCACCATAAAAATTAGAAGTAGAACTGCCCCACGATTGGTGCTGAGCATTAAAATCGCCCATTACGAGAAAAGGTTTAGGTAAAATTGAAAATAATTGTTCTAGTTGTGAATATATTTGGCATGTAGGATCAGGAATATATAAAGTAACAAAACAGATACCATTTATAATTATAGCAGCTGCATTAATGCCGCTATATACAGGAAGCGAAAAAGAAGAAAAAAGAAGGGAGTTTTTGACCAATATGGCAACACCGCCATATCCGTCAGCTCTATCATCACGGAGACTTGTAAAGCCTGAAATCCTAAAAGGATATCCTGGCTTTAACCAAGTCTCTTGAGAGCTATTATAAAAGGATTATATTTATTAATCAAATAAAATAAGTCTGATTTCTTATTTGTTATGCTACGACAGTTCCACTGAATTATTTGGACTTTGTAATCCATTGTGAGAAGTTAATAATTGAGAAAATACATTGTACATGGCATCGTTGGACGGTGGTAAAGTAGTTTGTATCATTTTTGATTGCGATAACACTTTAATAAGCATGAGAATAATATCAATGATGGATTGATTATTGTCAATATTATTTGATGATAATGCACAACCATTAGAAGGAGCAGGAATATTATATTCCTTAACTATGGCTTCATGGGCAGAACGATCATATCCTTGTTGTATTTTTTGAGGAGAGCGTGGTTCAAGTGTAACTGTTTTTTTATATGATGATTGTATATGTGGTAATGATGATTTCTCTTTAAGGAAAGAAGATTGAAAATGAGATTTATTGGAAGGAGATGATGATGTTAATACATCTGAATATAGTTTAGAAGTTGGAGGATGAAATTTTGATGCTTCAGCATAAGAAACACAACTATGGGCCATTGTTTCTTTAATGGCTTTCTGACGTGCATATTCAGGACATTTTTTACTAATTGCTGAATGAGAACCATTACACAAGATACAAGAAACATTTTCCTCATCTACTTCACATTTATCACCTGTATGATTTTGCCTGCATTTATAACACCGAGGATTTGAACGACATTGCATCTTGACATGTCCGAACCTACAGCAGTTATAGCATTGGATAGTAGGGTAAATGTACAAATCTACAGTTAATGATGTGTAAAACATAAATACTCTTTTTGGCAATATTTGTCCATCAAAAGTAATAACAATGGTTTCAGTATTAATAAAACTTGGTTGTCCTTCATTAATTGTCTTTTTCTTTATTCTTCTGGTTTTTAGAATTTTCCCACAACCTATTGGTACTGATATATTTTGGATTACTTCCTCTTCTGTCCAATCTTTAGGAATACCCCTCACAATTCCCATACGGGTTACATGGAAAGAAGGTATAAATGCCTTAAAATTATGTGTCTCTAAGTTACTATTATTTAAAAATGCATTTGCATTTTCAAAATTTGAGAAAGAAAGCGATAAACGGTTTCTTCCTATTCTTTTGAGGCTACCATTCACTATATTATTTATCTTATTAGTGTGTAAAAAGCGACCAAATGCAATAGGATGTAATGTAGTGTTATCATTAGGATGTGTTTCATTTTTTTGTACATGAACGACATAAGGAGCTATATCCTCGACATTGTACAAAGTTCTGCTTAAAGTACTGGGTGGAGAAGCAGGTTTAACAGACTCGGTATTGTTTACAACTGGTATTGATACTTGAGTTTGATTCTCATCTTCAATACATTGACAATCACTATCTTTAATTTTAGATTCAAGACCCTTGGTGTGCCTCCTTCGTTTTTTATTGCAATGTTTGCAAATGCGACATTCACCACGTACTCGCTTACGTTTAGAACTTGCAACGCTAGAACCATCTGTGTCCATACTAGATTCACCCAATATATCAAAACTATTATTGAATGGAATAGTTATATTTGCAGACACCTGGGGGGTTGTCCCCCCAGGGTCTATAGGTGGATCCATAATGTTAATATAGGTAATTTACTTACCAATATTTACAGCAACAAACACTATTACTACAAAATATACAATCTAATACACAATATATAAAAAAGACTAATCCTTATATAAATAAAAATAAAATTAATTTAAAGAAGATCAAAAAACACTCCCGCTTTTTTAAACGTTTCCCGCGCTTTTTTTCGACATTCCTTTTTATAATGACGTGATATATCATCGAAATATAAACATCTAAGTTATGTATTATCTAATTATGTACTTTCGTTTATTTTCTAGGGTCATATATTTTTTTTCAATATTTCAATTAATTCAATATATTTTTCTTAGTTTAAGTTCACCTAGAAGTTGGTGTTATGAATGTTAGTTCACGTTTTGAGCAATCTGAACCCTTATATCCCGTAATATCTATTTCCGTCTGGTCCCGCCATAGAATAGGCCACCCCTCCCTTTACCGTGGGTGTCGTAAGAGGCGACTAAGAGAGCAAAGGATGGGCAACAGCGTCTCTCTTAAAACATCTCAAAAGATTGAGTTTGCCAAACGTGGCAACTACTGGCAAAACCCCCTAAGGGGAGTATTATGTTCAATAGTAGATAGTGAAAGGCTGATATGAATTTCTAATACCAGAGTGGAATACGGGTGTAATTTTAATAGGTGTGAATCTTTATGATAAATAGAGTCCGTGTTATTTATTATGAAGATATTTAGAAAAAAATAAGATTACCAATTGTTCAAAGGAAAAAATAGGCAGAATTTTATTTAGATACAGAATGACATCTATCGTAGGTACAACTAGCCAGTAACAGAAGGGTAACCATAGTTTCATCTACATAGGTTGATATACTACAGTCTAACATGAATATACCAAAAATGGAGCCTAATAAGTTGTCTAAGGTCAAGTTTGTCTAAATAAGCTTCGACCTTTTTGTATTGCTGCAGATCACATGTAATAAGACAATTTTATAAATCTTATGTTGTTTTATGTATTATCTATTCTTATGTACATGTTGTGTGTGATTAGTAACAAACAAATAAACGATATATCTATCTATCTATAATAAATAAATAAATTTTATTTTACTTAAATTTATAATATTAATACAATTTTTTGCTCGAAAATTATTTATAATTATCACATCAGGGCATTTTTCGTACTTCTACCATTTTGTTGCACCGGCTGTAACTTCTAAATAAAAAGTTCTCTTGTAACAATGTAAAGAGAAGTGCCTCTCTCAAGGCAACACCGTGGGGGGAGAGGGCAGAGGCGGAGTTATTTTTTTTTGATGGGTGAAAATGGTATGGTAACCCCGCCTGCGCTTACGGGATACGCTGGCGGAGCACCAGTGAAGGGTGATAGGTGAGAATGAAAACAGGCCAGTTGCCCATCATGATGAATTCATCAGGAATTAACCATGATAGTTTCCAGGGGGAAACGCGAGGAGGTCGACCTAGTTGGGGGTATATTGCTAGCAATGGGATTCTCAGTCTCCATTACTAACAATCCCTTTCCCCCGCAGAAGCGGAGTTACTAGAAAATAAAAGACTGGACAACAATTTTACAATAATTCTCTTATTTAATATAATTAACAATCACTATAGGAACTAAATATTAAATCGTAGACGTATGTACAAATTATTTTCAGTCATTTTACATATTTTAAAATAGCTAATAAATGTTACAGCAGAACTGAACTGATTTCTCTCAAAAGATCTAGAAACAATAAAGGCTCGATATATTTTGCCGTTTCTTCTTGATGGAAACTTCACCTGATGGAAAGTGGTAAACGTCGCCTATAGACATGAGCGGTACCGTGGACATAACAGAGTATACTGTTTCGCCCATGATACACCCCATGCGTTGCCATTCCCGAGGACTCAGGTGTTATTCCTCTGTACCCTGTAAATTTACTGCCATATCCCACCCTTTGAACTGAAATACAGCTATGCAAACACAACTGCTTCACGGTAGAAACACGAATCGGACAGAGGTGTTCTAGCAAACGACTTTTGTACAAAGTCTCCCTCTGGTAGTGTTCTAATTAAATCACTTTAAAAAAATTGTTCAGTTACACTGACACAACCTTACAAAATTCTCTAAAAAGTATTCAGATTAATTCAAATTAACTCTGTACAATAACTATATAATGTTTTAAGTTTATCACAAATACCAATTGTTAAGGAAATATGCATTCCCTTACATACTGAAATCCCAATATATAACAAGTAGCATTTATTTACTTTTTCTCAAACATGCTTGGAAATGTGAGCATTATTTTGACAATCTTCTTCGAGATAAATCAAAATTGCCGTACTGGCCAGATACATGCGGGCAGCGGCCGGCAAGAGTTGTATGAAAATCCATATCTGTCGCGTTTTGCGGCCAGATAAATTACTATGTAAACTTATATCTGTCCTGTAATTTAAAAATAGAATGACCTTTTACTTCGAAACATGGCTACCAAGGAGGTAACTAATAAAAGGTTTTATTTAAATTTCGAACTGGCTTGCAAATAGAAAGCTGTTTATTGAAAAAAAAAAACAAAGGAACATTATGGCGCGTGAAAAATTATTATTGTTTGTTATTCGTCATCGAACTTAAAAAGTAAAATTGTGTTTTTGATTTCCGCGCATTGTTTGAGAAAAGTACTATACAAGCCTTGGCCACAATTAGGCATTGATGGACTCGCGTATGTGTGCCTCGGCTACGCCTCGGCCCACATTTGCACGTTTGTCCATCAATGCCTTAGTTGCTGGTCGCTGCAGTAATGTACTATTTATTCACATGAGTCATATTTAGAACACTCTATCTTGATAGCCGGAGTCCTGCACAGCCTGGGTCGGCTTCGGCTGAGCGCCTGCGACGTGGTGATGATGCCGGAGGTGCCCCGGCCGCCGCGGTGGCGCCAAATACTCGAACATGCTCTGTGTGTGTTGGGCCAGCATGTTTGCCAGCTCACAAGGCATCGGGTCCGTCCAGAAGAAGTCGTGGTTTAGAGCTGTGTCCGCATCGAATCTGAGAAAAGTAAACACCAGTCTATATGGTCCTCCCAAACAAAAGGAAAGTTAGGGTGGCCCTCTATCACCCAAGCTATTTATTACCCAGAAGAGGTTTTTAAAGAATGGAACAATGATAGTATTGAAATAGATAGAAAAAGTCTGAATCACTTGCGACATGCAGATAATTAGCTAGTAATAGCAAATAACTCGAAAACTGACAAAAGTCGTTTGCTTGGCCACTTCTGTCCCATTCGTGTTTCTACCGTGAAGCAGTTGTTTACATGTCTGTTTTTCGGTCTGAAAAATGGGATATGGCTGTGAATTTAGAGGTTACAGAGGCGTAACACATGAGTCCTTAGAAATGGCAACGCATGGGAGGTATTATTGGCGAAACAATATACTCTGTTAAGTTCGTGGTAGTGCTCATGTCTATAGGCGATCGTTACCGCTGTCCAGCAGGTGAACAGACAACTTATTTTCCATTCCAAGTTAAATCCATCCTGGATTGGACTGGACCATACAGACTGGAGATCCATACTGGGCTATTCACTGCCAAACATAGACCTCCCCCATAAGGGGGTGTATGCCAGCAATTGCCAAGCTTGGCAGGCGGGTTGCAACCGCAGTTAGGCTTTGGTGATGTTTCAAGAGGGATGCTGCTGCCCATCCTTCGACTTTAAGTTTCCTTAATCGCCTCTTACAACACCCACGGGAAAGAAAGGGGTGGCCTATTCTGTATCGGGACCATTAGGCTATTAGGAAACAATTGTATTTACCTCTTCGCTGGGTCCAGCTGTAACAGTTTGTCCAGTAGATCGCAGCCGTACGGATCTTTTACGTAGTGCTTTAGCCTTTCCTGAAAGAAAACATTTTGTCAGAGCACTGGCCATTCATCACCTATTTCGATATCGCTCACGCCTATTTTTATGATTTAACCGATATTTAATATATCCGATATTGGATCAACACATAGACATTCGGTCAACATGTACACATTGGATCAACACATAGACATTCGGTCAACATGTACACATTGGATCAACACATAGACATTCGGTCAACATGTACACATTGGATCAACACATAGACATTCGGTCAACATGTACACATTGGATCAACACATAGACATTGGATCCACATATATGTGTAAACCCCTTTCCTGAATATCCCTGTTATGATGACTTCAGTGCTGCCAGTAGTACCTTGACCTTCCTCTTCTGTCCCTTGGGCAGCTCCATTTTGTTGTAAAGCTCGAGGTTCTCGACGCCCGGCCACACGTCGGGCGTACACGAGCCGCACAGCTGCGAGATCAGTATCAGCTGCTGCTGCTCCGTCGGACCCTGCGCCGAAAGTCAACAATTATATACAGGGTGTCTAAATATAAAAATAACTGAACTGCCAATTGTCTCAGAACATAAATGGAGAATCAAAAACATGATCTCTACAATAAGTTATTGGATTTAATGATGTAAACTTAATAATGGCCTTATGAGAGTATTTGAAAACCCACCTGCATAATAGGTGAACGTGTCCACATCTCAGCCATGATACAGCCGGCGCCCCACATGTCCACCGGTGGGCCATAATTACGGTCACCTACAAATATAAATATATATGGTACTATTCTCATAAAATATACTATTAATTTTAAAAACTAAATATTCTTTAAAAGCAATATTACCAGCAAGTAATATGAGCTTTTGGCAGTGTGGTCCTGGCATGGAATAGGCCATCCCTTACATTCCCGTGGGTGTCTAAGGGAACTTAATAGTTGAGAGATTGGCAACAGCTCTCTCTTAAAACATCTCTAAAGGCTACCTGCTGTTGCCAAACCGCCTGTCAAACATGGCAACAGCTGGCGTAACCGTTCCTCCCCAAGGGAAGACTAGAAGTGCCTATGTTCAACAGTGGACAGCTAAAAGCTGATGTGATGATGAACACACAGAGATAGAATAAAGGACAATTCTAATTTTGAATGTTAGTTTTATAATGGTCATAGACAAAGTACATTTTGTTCTATAAGTTTTAAAAACCCAATTGCCTTTCTGAAAAACTATATTTAGGAAAAAGAAATTATTCTAGATATGATATAGAATAAGAGATAAAAGAGATTTTACCAGACCTCTCCCCTCAAACTTATTACTAATGGAATTTTTAAGGTGTGATAATTAAAGACTGTGTCCCACAAAAAAAAAAAAAAAAAAAACAACTTCAACTGTGACAAAAAGTTAATTTTATTTAAAAACCAAACTACTTTTATTTTAATTAAATTTCTATAGAACTTATCTGTAAATATATCCTTTCAGATAAAAAAAGATTTCTCCAGATAGATTTAAAACTGAGTTTTTTTTTTTATACAACTCAGAATGGCAAACAAGCTGACGGCCCACCTGATGGAAAGTGGTAACCGTCGCCTATAGACACGAGCAGTACCATGGACATAACAGAGTATACTGTTTCGTCCATGATATCCCCCGTGCGTTGCCATTCCTGAGGACTCAGGTGTTATTCCTCTGTACCCTGTAAATTCACGCCATATCACACCCTTCAGAAAAGTTTGAGTTATGAAGTAATAAATATAAAAAAAAAATAGGACTGAAATAAAAACCTCTTGCTGGAAATATAATGTTATCACCATCAGGACACCAGTGAGTGATGATAGGTGAGGATGAAAGCAGGTCAGTTGGCACATTATGATTAATTCTAGAAGACTTAACCACTATGGTTTCCAGTGAGATCTATGTGGAACTCAATCTGATGGGATATATTGCCAGTTATGGGGCAATTTGACTCCACTGCTGCCAATCCTTCCCTCTTTATTAATGTTCACTTGTTATTGGGGGAAAATGGACCAATGTGTAAGAGGACAGCCTAAAATAGGGTTATGTGATAGAGAAAGGGTTTCACTAAGGCTACGGAATGAGCTACCTGTTGAGTCTTTTCCAAGAAACTACAGTTCTTTGAACATTAGGTGAAGAGGTTTTTATTTTTATTTTTATGGTTAATTCCTGATGAATTCATCATGATGGGCTAACTGGCCTGTTTTCATTCTTATCTATCACCATTCACTGGTGCCCTGCCAGTATTTACCGTTAGCGCAGGTAGGGTTGCTGACCAGCAACCCTACCTACCTAAATGGACTCATTTATACTATAAACAAAACAGCCCCATGTTGTGGTGTGTGTGTGGTGTGGTGGAACTGGTGCTGATGACCGGTGGAGCGGTGGAGGATCGGTGGTCCAAATGGAGGTCAACATCAACATGGTGTTGAACTCCATTTGGTTTCCCCTGAGAACCAGTGGTTAATTCCTATGGAATTCGCCATGATATAATTGTCACCCCTGACTGGTGCCCTGCCAGGATATAGTGCTATCACTATAGACAGGACAGCAGACAGGGTTACCATACCATTATCATCCATTAAAATAAACATTATGCAAAAGGGCCCTTTGGCATAGGCCTTAGGCATTTGTTTTCCTATTTTTCCTCAGTGTTTTTCTTTTATATTTTTACTAAAATAACCACCATAATCTCTTATCATCATCTTCCTACCCTTATCCCAATCATTTGGGGTCGGCATAATATGATTTTATCCATATTAAAAAAAGATTTGATTTTTAGTTTTACGACCGGCCACCTGCCTGACGTCAACCATCTTTGGGACCAACCCATAATCTCTTATAAGGGACAATAAAGAGTATCTAATTAAATCTTTCTATAATTCTGGACCTGTTTTCAGTCAGCAGGTAGGTTATGATAAGACAAAGAAAAACTCACCTAACAATAACTCCGGAGGCCTATACCACAGCGTCACGACCCTGTTAGTATATTTGTTCGCTTGTCCCGACTTTGCCACACTGAATGCCCTCGCTAGACCGAAGTCTGCCAATTTTAATATACCATTCTTCGTAATCAATACATTTGCTGCTTTCATGTCTCTGTGCAGTATCTTATTACTGTGAATGTAGTACAAACCGTTCAACAACTGCTGCATCACCTTCTTGATCTCTCCCAAGCTGAATTTAACGTTTACATTCGACAGCAAGCCGGCTAAGTCGTGCTCGCAAAAATCAAATACAAGGTAGAAGGTAGAGCGATATTTATTATGAAGCGTCGCTTTAGTCCGGCATATTTCTATTAAATTGACCACGTTCTCGTGTTTGAGCAACTGTAATATCTTTATCTCTCGCAGCGCCGTGATCGGGAAGCCTTCTTTTTCATTGTCCATTAATACTTTCTTCATGGCGACGAATTTTTTATTACTATTACGAGCTCGCGCTTTGAACACCTCTCCGAATGTGCCTTGCCCTATTTTCGCCACTTTTTCGTATTTAGACGACTCATCGCAGAAGGGAAAGTCGAATTCCTCTATATACTTCTCTTTTTCCCTCATGTTCAAGATGGTGGAACTGGTGCTGATGACCGGTGGAGCGGACTCGCGAGGAGCGCTGACGCTTTGCATTTTGGAAGTAATTTTGGCGGTTTGTAGATGAATGTTGAAAATTCAATAGTTTGAAATGTGTGACATCCCAATTATATTGAAAAATTATGTTTTAAAACAGGAAATGAAAGCATACGCAATATAATACTAAATATTTTACGATTAGAAAAAAAAATAAAAGGTAATTAAATTGTGTGGGTAATAAACAAAATGTCTAACTAAAAAGAAAAGATGTAACGATCAAAAAACGCCACGGAACAGTTTGAAGATGATCAAGACAGACATTGCGAAATGTAGAAAAATATTTAAAAGCATAAATAAAACAGATAATAAATTTAAGACATACCACAGATCACGTAATAAGAAATGTAAACTTTACTAAAAACTAGATTAGAGAGACTAAAGAAAAGGGAAGACCTACCATAAACTGGGGTGAATAGGCACAAAATCAAATTATGTGTTCATTTCATTAAACAAATTGTCGATTTAAACCTTTAAACCAAGGTCTTAATTAATTTTCCAATCTACAATACATCTTTTATATATTGATTTAATTATCCATAAATTTATGTAAGTATGTGACGATTCTAATAAGGTTTCATCTCTAGTAGATACGGTAAGATAAGAATATAGAATTATCACAACAATTTTAAATCTCCTAATTTAATGTTTTATTTTAACCTACACATAGTTTTAAGGTGTTTTTTTCTTTTAACACGCACGCAAATAAATATTTCTTTATAATATAATCCCATCAAAATAATGTCAAGCTCGCAACTCAGTTCCTTCGCTAGAAAAAAATATTAGATTTCATGTAAAATCAAATTAGTTTCATTTATAGTGACTATATTAAAATGTAATATCTTTATTTTTATAATAATTACAATTACTTGGTCGCCACTCAAGAACTTTTCTACCTCTTCAGTTGTTGGTTTTTCGAGCTATGTGACCAGCCCATTGAAATTCAAAATTCAAAATTCAAAAATCATTTATTCATGTAGGACATTTTAGCCGCTTATGAATGTCAAATTTTTACATTATAATTTTATTTTTTTCCCTACCGTCCAGTTCGGTATATAGATCCAATTGAGAAGAACTGGCAAGAAACTCAATTGAATTACTTTTTTTTTTAAAGCCAGTTTATTTACAATGTATATTTATATAGGTGTTTATGTCTAACGTTAAATGAAAATTCAGTGCATGAACAACTATTGCCATGCACACTCGTCATTCAAGTAATCGTTTAGTGAGTAATAGGCTTTGCTCAGTAAATATGATTTAACAGATGTTTTGAATTTATTTAAGGGTAATTCCAACATATCCTTTGGTATCTTATTGTAAATTTTTATACCTATTCCCATAAAAGACCTATTAACTTTTTCTAAACGATACTTGGGGACAGCAAGTTTGTCTTTAAATCTAGTATTAATATTATGAATATTGCTGTTTTTTGGAAATAAGTCAAGATTCTTATGAACATATAGGATATTTGAATATATAAATTGAGAAGCAACGGTGAGAATATTTGCCTCTTTGAATTTCTCTCTTAATGAGTCACGACTCTTCATACAGTAGATCGCTCGAACGGCACGTTTTTGTAATATGAATATATTCTTAATATCTGCCGCTTTTCCCCATAGTAATATTCCATAAGAGAGTAAACTATGAAAATAACTAAAATAGACTAATCTAGCAGTATCAGTATCAGTGTACTGTCTAACCTTACGCACGGCAAAAGCTGCTGAACTTAGTTTCGCTGCAAGGCTTTGAATTTGTGCACCCCATTGTGTTTTATTATCTAGTGTGATTCCTAGAAAGACAGTAGATTCTATAAATTCGAGAGATTCGTCATTTAACTTAATATTGCAATTAGTATTAAAACTTTTAGACAGAGAGAAATTGACACATTTTGTTTTTTTAGCGTTTAACATAAGATTGTTAGTTGTAAACCAGTGCAGGAGACGCCGCAAAGCACTATTTACATCGTCATAATTATTAGTCATTCTATTAACTTTAAAAATCAATGAAGTATCGTCTGCAAACAATACTATGCCGCATCTATCCTGCATAATTGCTACTTCAGCTTGCTTATTCTTCGGGTTATGTCAGTTATTTTGGTTCTTTTGCGGATATCCTTGTTTCAGATTTTATCACGCAAACAGACTCCGAGCATAGCTCTCTCCATAACCAGCTGAATACCTTGTATCTTTTGCATACGAGCAATAGTGTAGGACCATGTTTCGGTTCCATAAGTCATCATTGGCAGCACATACTGGTTAAAAAACTTCGTCTTTAAATTCTGAGGTATTTTGGATGAAAAGATGTGGCGTAGTTTCTCGAACGCTGCCCCAGCTAGCTGATCTCTCGGTCGGAGTTGGACTTACCCATTCGGACAACTTGTTCCAGGTATACATACTCATCGACAACTTCGAGCGTAGTGTTCTCAATCGTAACCGGCATAGGTGTGACATGGACGTTAGATATAATCTTAGTCTTGTCCATGTTCATCTTAAGACCTACCTATTAAGAAACACCATTGAGGTCATTGAGCATAGTATCCAGATCCTCCAAGGATTCCGCCATAATTACTATGTCATCGGCAAATCGAAGGTGAGTGATGTGTACTAAGATAGGTACTTAGGTTCAAAGAATTTTATTTTCTAATAAAACTTTGTTTTACTTTTACTTAATATGAGATACAATACATGTAATGAAACTGTAGCGGTCGAATGTCTGTACATAGAAAAAACGCTAAACCTAAGTCAGGGGAATGTTAGAAGTAAAATAGAATCCAGATCTAGATTTTATCAAAATTTTTATTTTTCTGACTGTCTGTTTGTACGGGCTATAATCTTCGAAACTGTTGGACTGATTTAAATGAAATTTTCCATGGTGGTCCCTTATATCCCCGGTCAACATTTTGAATATTTTAATCACGAAAAATTAAAGAGTTCCTCTGGGCATCTGGTAGTAGTTATTAAATTTGGGATTGTATTATTTTGTCTATATTATTTGCTTACTTAAGTAAAATATTTAGAACAAGTAAATTTGTCAATAACGTTTTATATATTATATATATATTTAAAATATCTTGTATTTATCGTTTATATTTTTTGTGTGATATTTGTAATATTTAGTGCAATAAAGAACATTAATAAATAAATTTTAATCATTTCATCTTCCTGTCTTTATTCCAATTAATATTATTAATATGTTTTTACCCATGTTACCCAAGGTTTTGGCTTTCAATTTTACGACCGGCCGCCTGCTTGACGTCATCCCTCTGGGGATAATATAACAATAATACTAATTTATGAACACTATTAGTACTTTATTAACTAAGACGAATCTAATGACATGTTATTTATAAAGACCCAACAAGTCGTTAAAGTTACGCAGTTAAGTAAAAAATAACACATTATTAATTAAAATAATACAAGTATCAAAACTCTTTCAAATGTAATCCATACCCAATTTGGCTACACGTTTATTTGCCTTTGCGCATGTGTGTTACATACACATGTGCAAATCAATGCACCTTAGCCAAATTTGAGCGACAAGATTTTGTAATAGGACTCTTAATCATCATTTTATGCAGTAAGAACTGTATCGCATTGTAAAAAAAATATAGAATAGACAAAGCTGTTTTTGTTACTTTTAAAGTTCATACACAGTTAAACGCTTAACTTTATTTATTGGCTTAACTTATAAGCCAATAAGCAACACAAATTATGCATTTATTGACACTTATAAGACTATCTTTTATATAGGTAGGTATTGATTTTAAACATTATTAGTGATAACCGTTTATGACCTATAATAGTAGAATTACATAAATACACGAACAAAAATTGTCTTCCTGGCTGTCACCACTCTGTCATAGTCATTAATCTGGATTGTTTCTTCGTTGTTTTGCTATAATCTGTATGTCAGTATTGTCAATTTGTCATTTGGTGAATGTTTTCTAAATATTCCTTTTGTCCATAATATAAAAACAAGACAATTTACTCATCTGTAAGGTATTTATTTGTCATTTTATTATTATTACACTTTATCTCTCCTTTTGCAAAGGTAATTTTTTTTATTAAAAATCTAATTTTGTATCTGATGGTATCGATCGAAAATGTAGGGCATCGTTTTGTTTTAATCAGTGACTTTCTATAATTACACTGCATATTGTATTATAAAGTTGGTAAAAAACGAACCGAACTAATGTTACGCCCCCAACACATATCCGTTTTCATGTAAATAGAATTTACTCATTTGTTTATCAAATTTTGTTTTTGTTCCAATTTTGATTCATTATGATAACGGTAGTCGACTTGGATCTAATCTTTCTTACTGACCCACTAATATTATAAATGTAAATATTCTAAGCGCCTTCAAAAAAGCAGGTTTTCAATTCGTTTGATCTTTTTTATGTTTGTTAGCCTATAGCAGGGGTACCCAAACTTATTTTGTCTACTGTTCACTTTGAGAACAAATTATTTTTTAGCGCCCCCATTTTGTCACCTACTTAAAAACCAGTATTACTTCAAATTCAACAAATCATCCCCCATTTTTATCTCGGATCTCTTACTGTCCCCCTTTGGGTCTGCTGCGCCCACAAGGAGGTGTTATCACCCACTTTGGGAAGGAGAAAAAGGGATTATTAGTAATGCGAACTACTAGTCCCATTGCTAGCAATATAATCTATCAGGTTGACCTGCCTTTTCACTCTCACTTTTCACCTCTCACTGGTGCTCCGCCTTGTGTATACCGTTAGCGCAGGTGGTGTAACCATTCCATTATCATCAATTACAAAGAAAAATCCCTTGGAAGGAAGGGGGAGAGGATTATTAGTAATGATCCTCATCATCATATACCCTACCAGGTCATCATAATGACCCTATTGTTAGTAATATACCCTATCAGGTCTACCTGATGTAAACAGCAGGCTGCAGTATTTATAATATAAATTATTCAGTTTAGAAAAAAAAAACAACCACAAGACATTTTATATTTTAAAAACTTAATTCATTTATAATTAACAAAAATTATAATTTATATTCAAGAAATAAAATAATATTTTGTTTGTTTTTTTTTTATGTTTTTTAATGGTAACTAGAGCTTTTAGTAATATTTATTTATTTTTAATTCTTTATTGTACACACCAGTTATAAGAATATGACAGAGGTAATCAAATGTACAAAGGCGAGCTTAACTCTAATAGAGTTCTCTTCCGCAACAGCCAAAGTGGAAAGGAGCATCAATGTCAGCGGATACAGCGGTGTACAATATTGTGATAATTTTTAAACAAACTGGGCAAAATTAAATTATATTTAATCCTATAAATATACATGCATATACTTAAACATACATACACACACATACAATATACCTACATAATATAATGTTATTAAACCAAATTGTCATTTTACAATTGGGGGGAAAGGGATTGTTAGTAATGGGGTTTAATAGCCCCATTACTAGCAATATACCCTCTCAGGTTGACCTCCATGTGGTTCCCCATGGAAACCATTATGTTTAATTCTTGTCGAATTCATCATGGTGGGCCAACTGACCTGCATTCATTCTCACCTATCATCTTCTACTGGTGCCTCGTTGGTTTATACCGATAGCGCGGGCGGGGTGACCAATCCATTATCACTCATTATAAAAAAAAATTGTCATTTTAGGCTAGATTTCTGATCAGCAGATTTGTAAAAATTACAATAACAGTCAATGTGTGTGTGCAAAAGTATAAATAAATAAATACACCTATGGCTTATTTACAGAAAACATGGCAAGTGAGAGCAGTTCCGCCGTGCTGGACATGAACGACGCCGACGGCGCCGAAGACACGGAGGCGCCGAGCGTGACCGACGACGCCGTGGAGGGGATACCGCTCATCATGGAGCATGGATATGACATAGCTGTTAAGGTAATTGTATTTTTTTTTTATGTTATGGCGTGAATTTACACGGTACAGAGGAATAACACCCGAGTCCTCAGGAATGGCAATGCATGGGGGGTATCATGGGCGAAACAGTATAAAACAGAATGGCAAACAAGCTGACGGCCCACCTGATGGAAAGTGGTAACCGTCACCTATAGACATGAGCAGTACCATGGACATAACAGAGTATACTGTTTCGCCCATGATACCTCCCCATGCGTTGCCATACCTGAGGACTCAGGTGTTATTCCTCTGTACCCTGTAAATTCACGCCATATCCCACCCTTTAAAACGAAACACAGCCATGCAAACACAACTGCTTCACGGTTGAAACACGAGTGGGACAGAGGTACCCAAGCAAACGACTTTTGTACACTTTTTTTTATAGAACAATGGTCAAAATCAGTTTAATAATTTAGTATTAAAATCAAAGTATCTGGGATTTTATTCATTAAAATGATTATGCGGGTTTTTTTAATGGATGATAATGGAATGGTAACCCCGCCTACGCTATCGGTATAAACTAGCGAGGCACCAGTGAGGGATGACAGGTGAGGATGAAAGCAGGTCAGTTAGCCCATCGTGACGAATACACCTTGGAGAGGGGAAAGGGATTGTTAGTAATGAAGACTGAGAATCCCATTGCTAGCAATATACCCAACCAGGTCGACCTCCTCGCAGTTCCACCTGGAAACTATCATGGTTAATTCCTGGTGTATTCATCATGATGCGCTAACTGGCCTGTTTTCATTCTCATCTATCACCCTTCACTGGTGCTCCGCCAGCGTATCCCGTTAGCGCGGGCGGGGTTACCATACCATTTTCAGCCGTAAAAAAAATACACCTGGGATTCGGTATGATGGTTTCGACGACTGGTCGATGTCGCCCTGATATGATTAATTGCTAGCAATAGGACTTGTAGTCTGAATTATTAATCCCCCCCCCCCTCCTTCAATTAACATTGTCAACCAAACTGTTTATAATTACTCCTCTCCATCCAAAGGTTGTCTGCAAGAGATCGCTCTCAGCGATAAGGTCGCCCATTGTTGTCTCACTGTGATCATTTCTTGTAATTGTTTGTATCTATAATAAGTTTACTATTGTAATCTTATGGAGGAAACAATAAAGAGTATCTATCTAACTATTGTCCGCGTGGTGCACAGGTTGACGCGCCAATGAAGCAGCTGTCGACACTAGAGACGTTCGTGACTTACCGCGTGCGGTGCGTGTGTGCCCGCTGGAGGGCGCCACCGTACGTTCGCCGCCGGTACAACCACTTCAAGGTACGCACCGTACATATATCACGTATTGTACTTTGATTATGGAGACACTCTCCATACAAATGCTTCTAGAAAAGATGGGGCAATTTTTTCATACAGTTTTGCGTGATAAATAGTTTTTAATGGTTCCTTTATAACTTCTATATTTATTTTGTTTTATAATTTCTGCATCTTTTTGATGCGCAAACACTCATTTTATTCGTCTGTTGCTATGTACCAGAAGTGGCCGACTTGACCAGACCCAAGATCTACTGTTTACTGACGAAACCCTGTGCGATCCACCAAATACATACTTCTTGAGATCACAAATGAGACGACACAGTTCAGTACACGAGCGTGTAGTGTTGCAGTATTGTTTATTGTATTAAGAGGGAGAACATAAAACTGAAACTGCTTCTCGGCGACTACTTGTTTATATTAGTGCGAGCGTCGCGTCCGAGCGTCCTCCGCTACATTAGCGATATATTATATTGTTCGCCTTGACACCATCCACTGGACTAATAGTCGCGAGAGACCGGTTGGCTACCCCTGGTATACCTATATGAACAGTTCTAGCGAGATGCACCTATACCAATCATCATCATTTCAACTATTATGCGTCCACTGCTGGACATAGGCCTCACCCCCATAGACTGCTATAAGGAATGGTCCTGAGCCATCTATATCCACTGAGTCTCTGTAATGGATTTGAGGTTGTCACTCCATCTGTACCGTACCAGCCGCTGACTGTCCACTGCTGAACATATGCCTTCCCCATAAGGAAAGGTTTTGCCAGTAGTTGTCACGCTTAGCAACTGTAGTTAGGTGGGGGGTAGGGATTGTTAGTAATGGGGACTACCAGTCCCATTGCTAGCAATATAACCTGTCAGGTCGACCTCCCTGTGATCCCCCCCTGGAAACCATCGTGCTGAATGCTAGGTGTATCCATCACGATGGGCTAACTGACCTGCCTTTTCATTCTCACCTATCATCTATTACTGATGCCCCGCCAGCGTATACCGTTAACGCAGGCGAGGTTATTCCATTCCATTGTCATCCACTAAAAAAACTGCAGTTAGGTTTTTTTTTTGATGGGTGAAAATGGTATGGTAACCCCGCCTGCGCTAACGGGATACCCTGGCGGGGCACCAGTGAAGGGTGATAGATGAGAATGAAAACAGGCCAATTAGCCCATCATGATGAATTCATCAGGAATTAACCATGATAGTTTCCAGAGAGAACCGCGAGGAGGTCGACCTGGTTGGGTATATTGCTAGCAATGGGATTCTCAGTCTCAGTCTCCATTACTAACAATCCCTTTCCCCCCCATTCTGCAGTTAGGTTTTGGTGATGTTTTAAAAGAGACACTGCTGCTCGTCCCTTAACCATTATATTTCCTTAGTTGCCTCTTAGGACACCCACGGGAAAGTAATAGACGGTCCATTCTATGCCGGGACCACACGGCTCTATATTTATTTTAGAAAGTGCCGCAATTTGTCGCAGGTACTCCACAAGAGGCTGTCGGCGGCGCACCCGTTCATCGCCCCTCCAGCGCTGCCGCCGCTGCACTCGGCGCGGCAGCAGCTCGATAGGTACTCGCCCTCCTTCGTCGCTGTGCGCACTATAGCGCTGGACGCGTTCCTGAGTGAGTACTGTCATTTATTTATTAGGGGGGGGGGAGATTGTTAGTATATGGTATATTTATGGCTGTGAGCAGAAGTAGATGGTGACACATTGCGAGTACCTCAGTCGCGAGGGAGGGCCTCATCGACGTTCCACTATCATTATAAAAACCACGGCTGCTCTGTCAAGAGTATACGGCTGAGGAGATGTATCTATGTCCGTTATGTGTACCTTTGTTTACAACACAGGGGGCAAACGAGCATGGGACTCACCTGATGGTAAGTGACTACCGCCGGCCATGATCACCCGCAACACTAACAGCATTGCAAGTGTAAATGCAATGTAAATAGGACTCTATTTTCCGCGCTTAGCCTCTCATTTGGACCGTTGTGCGTATGAGTCGTGGCTAGTGCAGCCAGCCCAGCTCCGTACAGAAGCGCAGAAGCTTCCTGGGATCTTCACAGGCCTCACGGAGCGACCTCACCGTTCCGAGGATTTCTAAACGTTGATGGGCCACAGCTTCACTTTAAAGAAATAAAGAAATATATATATTTTGTAATGGATGATAATGGTATGGTAACCCCGTCTGTGCCATCGGTATATGCTGGCGGAGCACCAGTGAGGGATAATAGGTGGGGATGAAAGCAGGTCATTTAGCCCATCGTGACGAATTCAACGATAAATTAGTCAGGATGTTTTCCTGGGGGAACTGCGTGGAGGCTAACCTGACAGGGTATATTGATAGCAAAGGGAACTAACCTCCTAATTACTAACAATCCCTTCCCTTTGGGGGGAAAGGGATTGTTAGTAACGAAGACTGAGAATTCCATTGCTAGCAATATACCCAACCAGGTCGACCTCCTCGCGGTTTCCCCTGGAAACTATCATGGTTAATTCCTGATGAATTCATCGTGATAGGCTAATTGGCCTGTTTTCATTCTCATCTATCACCCTTCACTGGTGCTACGTCAGCGTATCCCGTTAGCGCAGGCGGGGTTACCATACCATTTTCACCCAACAAAAAAAAAACAATCCCTTCCTTCCCTAATGGGGACGTTAATCTCCATTGCTAGCAATGTACCCTGGTAGGACGTCGTCCACACATCAGCAAACATATCCAGGGTCACGCGAAGTCGCGGGCACAAGCTAGTAAATTTAAAACAATATTTATTTTCAGATAGAGTTGCAAAGCATCCCATCTTCACACACAGCGAGGACTTCAAGCTGTTCCTGACGACGCCTGACGAAGAGTTGGATAAGGTCAGTTATATATACATATGAATAAAGATGACTGAGTGGCGACCCTGTACCGACAAACGTAGTGAAGCCGACCTCCCACCTACTAGATGGAGTGACGCTTGTAAGCGTATTGTAGGCAATCAGTGGATGCAGGTGGCTCAGGACCGTTCTTCATGGCGGTCTATGGGGAAGGCTTATGTCCAGCAGTGGACAAGTCGTGTGGTCCCAGCATAGAATAGGCCACCCCTTCCTTTCCCGTAGGTGTCGTAAGAGACGACTAAGGGAGGGCGAGGGATGAGCAGCAGCGTCCCTCTTAAAACATCTCTAAAGCCTAACTGCGGTTAAATCCGCCTGTCAAATTTAGTAACTACAGATAAACCCACCCAAGGGAGGGGGAAAGGGATTGTTAGCAATGGAGTTTGACAGCCCCATTGCTAGCAATTTGCCCTATAAGGTCGACCTCCACGTGGTTCTCCCTGAAACCATCGTGAACAATTCTTGTTGAATTCGTCACGATGGGCTAACTGACCTGCTTCATCCTCACCTATCATCCTTCACTGGTGCCCCGCCGGTGTATACCGATAGCGCGGGTGGGGTTACCATTCCATTAACACTCACAAAAAAAAACCCACAAGGGGGAAGTCTATGTCCAGCAATGGACAGTTAACGGCTGATGTCATTAAACAACGGCTGTGTTTCGGTATAGGCTCTTAATAACAGAGGGGGACTTTGTACAATAGTCGATTGCTTGGCCACCTCTGTCCCATTCGTGTTTCAACCGTGAAGCAGTTGTGGCTGTGTTTCGGTTTGAAGGGTGGGACATGGCAGTGAATTTACTGGGTACAGAGGAATAACACCTGAGTCCTCAGGAATGGCAACGCATGGGGGGGGGGGTATCATGGGCGAAACAGTATACTCTGTTATATTCACGGTACTGCTCATGTCTATAGGCGACGGTTACCACTGTCCATCTGGTGGGCCGTCAGCTTGTTTGCCATTCTAAGTAGCATAAAAAAAATAAAAAAATAAATAAACATATCAAATATATGTATAAGTATATATTGTTTTTATTATTCCTAAATAAAGAGTTGGAATTACATATTGTTCTCAGATATTCAAGAGCGATCACAGCGCCCTCAGCCTGTGGGGGTTGAGCAGCGCACTGTACGGCAGCGCGGACACCAAGCCAGCGAACGGCGCCAGGTGACTGCCACCACATCACCAGCTTCGTCCCACTGCGGGAGGAATTTTCTTTATACCAAGTGGTAAAGCATGCAGCCCGTCTGATGGTAAACGGTCACTGTAGCCTATGGTTGCTAGCAATGGGTTAAGGAGAAGGGATTATTAATAGTGAAGATTAAGAGTCGTGCAGACGGAGTCGCAGGTAAAAGTCAGTTAAATGCTGTTTTTTTTTATACCACTGAGATGGCAAACAAGCATACGGCCCACCTGGTGGTAAGCGGTTACCGTAGCCTACGAATGCCTGCAATACCAGAGGTATTACGCGCGCGTTGCCGACCCTGAAGAAACCTCTTTACTTGCCCTTTTGAAGAACCCCATGCTGTAGTCCCTTGGGAAAACCTCGGCAGGGAGCTCATTCCATAACCTGAGTGTTCGTGGGAGGAAACATCTCTGAAACCACGTTGTACGCGACCATTTAGGCTGTAGGGTATGAGGGTGAACTCCCTGTCGATGGCGAGCCGTACGATGGTTGAAAGTTTTGTCTATTTACTTGCAGAGTGAAAGACCCAGAGTTCATAGCGGCGGCGGACTACTTGTTAGCGTTACAGCAGAAACTTACCACCCTGTGCGCGCTCACCAACAAACTGCACAAAGGATGCGCAGGCGTCGCCACTGAGCTCATGGGGTGAGTACTCTATTCGAATCATCGTCGCCATGCCAGCCCTTGACCAGCCCACTGATGGACATAGGCCTCACCCATAAGGGGAGTTTTGCCAGCAGTTGCCACGCTTGGCTGGCGGATTGGCAGTTGCTGACTGGTTTTAATGATGTTTTAAAAGGGACGTTGTTGCCTGTTCCTCGATGATTAAACTGCTTTACTCGTCTCTTACGACACCCATGGGAAAGGAAGGGGTGACCCATTGTACGCCGGGACCCCACATTCTATGTTTTAGTGGACGATAATGGAATGGTAACCCTACCCGAGCTAACAGTATCTACACTAATATTATAAAGAGGAAAGATTTGTATTTTCGTGTGTATGTACGATATGGTGTAAATTTACTGGGTACAGAGGAATAACACCTGAGTCCTCAGGAATAGCAACGCATGGGGGGTATCATGGGCGAAACAGTATACTCTGTTATGTCCACGGTACTGCTCATGTCTATAGGCGACAGATACCACTTTCCATCAGGTGGGCCGTCAGCTTGTTTGACATTCTAAGTTGTATAAAAAAAAAATGCTTTTGGGTAAATTTGTTATGACAAGTAATTTAATTTGCTTTGGTGGTAAAGCCCTATAACACAATGGTGTTTTACTATTTTCTATAAATGGATGCCAATGGAATGGTAACCCCGTTTTTGCTGTCGGTATATACTGGTGGGGTATTATTGAGAGGGGACAGGTAGGGTTGCCAACTGTACTGTTAAAAACAGTATTACATTGTTTTTTTTTTTTTTTTCAAATAAAAAAGTGAGTTTCTCATTTATTTTTCGTTATAATTGTGGTGAGGCATATATATGTATCTAAAACGTTAAATCGAGAAATTATTTTTTTATTTTTCTAAAATACTGTTCAAATTTCGACTCAGATCTATATATATTTTATTTCTTGTAAAGTAAAAGTGGGCAACCCTAGTGATGGGTGAGGATGAAATGTCAGGGCGGTTCCATCGCGACGGATGTATGCGATGGTGTCCAGGGAGACGGCGCTTAGATGCTCACTATGTGTTGTGTGGCGCGGCGCAGGCTGCGGCGGGCGTGCGAGGCGTGGTGTGCGGCGGGCGGGGCGGGGGCGGGGGCGGGGGTGGCGGGGCGCGCGGCGGCCGCGCTGGCGGCGGGCGCGGCCTCCGCCAGCGCGGCGGCGGCCGCGGGGGGCCGGCCGCGCGCGCCGCTGCACGCGCTGCTGCCGCCGCTCGCCGCCACCGCCGCCGCGCACGCGCACAAGATCCGCCAGCGGGACGCCATGCACGGTTCTCCTGTTGTTCCTTTATACTCACACATCATCATTCACGCATACATCACTCATTGTGGGCGACACCACGAGGGACGATCTGCGGGTCTACAATGAAATGAAATTCCAAAATTTCGGACTCGATTTCGTGTTTTTGTTTTTTGTTTATACCAAAATCGGACCAATAAATGGGGTTTAACATTTCGTTCGTCATACATCCTATCATAAAAGTCCAAAGGAGCGATATTTTAACATTTTGTAATATTTCCAAACGGCATGTATTATGTAATTTTGACATCAAATTTCTGAAATGAAATGAAATGAAATGAAATGAAATATTTATTTGCTTTAAAAAGACATTTGACATTATAAGGGCCATGTGACAAAACTTTTTCGCATCTGTTTAATTGCCTTAAAATTGTAGGCATGCAATTCTGTTTCGTTTGGCTCCGAAATTTCGGAAAACATTTCATGGTAGGCCCTCAGCTGTGTTCCTCGCACGTTCCTCTCGGCTGAAATTGCATTCAGAGCTAGGCGATAGATACATAAATAAATTATTTGAATTTGAGTTAACTTGAATTTGTTTTGTTATTTCAACCACTAACTGTCCACTGTTGGACATAAGCCTTCCCCATAACATAAGGGGAGTTTTACCAGTAATTGCCACGCTTGGTAGACGGGTTGGCAACCGCAGTTAGGCTTTTGGAGATGTTTTAAGAGGGACGCTGCTGCCCATCCCTCGCTCTCCAATAGTCGCCTCTTGCGACATCCACGGGAAAGGAAGGAGTGGCCTATTTTATGCCGGGACCACGCAAGGCGATTTATTATATATTATTAAAAAAATCAAGGTACGAAGAGAACAACGTCATAGCTCAAACCAGAGGGAGACTGTACAAAAGTCGATTGCTTGGGTACCTCTGTCCCGTTCGTGTTTCAACCGTGAAGCGGTTGTGTTTGCATGGCTGCGTTTCGGTTTGAAGGGTGGGATATGGCGTGAATTTACTGGGTACAGAGGAATAACACCCGAGTCCTCAGGAACGGCACCGCATGCGGGGTATCATGGGCGAAACAGTATACTCTGTTTTGTCCACGGTACTGCTCATGTCTATAGGCGACGGTTATCACTTTCCATCAGGTGGGCCGTCAGCTTGTTTGCCATTCTAAGTTGTATAAAAAAAACATACAATACATCTGCGCGTGCCAACCCTAACTACACACGCACACACTGTCACGTGTACAGACGCCACTTGCGTCTGTGGTTGTGACAGGCACGGATCGTGGTGTTTACAACCGACTTCAAAAAAAATGAGTATCTAAATTTGGTTGATTTTTTTCAATTTCGTCACCTTATGACTTCGTCAGTTGTGGACCGATTTGGAAAATTCTCTTTTTATCTGAAAATATATACTTACAGATTGGTTTCATGGGAGTTTTATCAAAATCGATCCAGCAGTTTAATTTATAAATTAAAATAACTGGTGTTGCTACGATTGGCGAGTTGGCAACCGCTGTTAGGCTTTGACGGTGTCTTAAGAGGGACGCTGCCGCCCATCCCTTGACTGTTAAGTTCCCTTAGTCGCCTCCTACGACTCCCACGGGAAAGGAACGGGTGGTCCATTCTATGCCGGGACCACATGCTTATCCATCAGCATTGTTTACAATTTTTGAAAGTATATTCAGAGTTTTTGAAAGTTTTTTTTTTATTACAGCGTCCTACGTTGCGGGCAATAATACGGACGAATTGCATAACAGGTATGTTTATATACAAGTGTATGGCACAGGTCGGGCAAAACGAGAACAGCTGATTCAGATGAATGTTCTGAATCAGATGGCATATTGTTCTCCCGCCGGTAATGCACCGCAGCCGTATAATTAGCGATACTCAGTGTCGACGCGGCGCAATGTATTTGCAATATTACGATGGCCGCGAGGCGCGATACTCGTGCGTACAGCGCGCGGTCAGCGGTCAGCGGTCAGCGGTCAGCGGTCAGTGCCGCCTCCTAGTACGTAGCGTCGTACGCTCGCGGCGTTCACCTCGCACGGCTGACTGCGCGCGTCGCGGCAGCATTTTAATGCGTGTATTGCATTGTTGTTTTTTGGTATTTAATAGTGTTACACTGTAAAATATTTTGTTCTTTTTATACTATGACATAATATCGTAAATTATATGATTTTTTTTATACCACTGAGGTGGCGAACAAGCATACGGCCCACCTGATGGTAAGCGGTTACCGTAGCCTATGAACGCCTGCAATACCAGAGGTATTACGCGCGCGTTGCCGACCCTGAAGAAACCTCTTTACCCCGGGGGGAAAGGGATTGTTAATAATGGAGACTGAGAATCCCATTGCTAGCAATATACCCAACCAGGTCGACCTCCTCGCGGTTCCACCTGGAAACTATCATGGTTAATTCCTGATGAATTCATCATGATGGGCTAACTGGCCTGTTTTCATTCTCACCTATCACCCTTCACTGGTGCTCCGCCAGCGTATCCCGTTAGCGCAGGCGGGGTTACCATACTATTTTCACCCATCAAAAAAAACTTACTTTTAAATGAAAAAAAAGAATTTCCACTGGTTTTTAGTTCACAATAAGGGTCTGGAATCACTGTTTCAGTTTTTACCAACCTGACCTAATCTATAATTATTTTTATGCAGGGTGTACCTGTATAAAAACGATTTTTGAATGATTCTTAGTGAATGATAATGGAATGGTAACCCCGCCTGCGCTATCAGTCAGTATACGCTGGCGGGGCACCAGTGAGGGATGATAGGCGAGGATGAAAGCAGGTCAGTTAACTGATAGTGACGAATTCCACAAGAATTAACCAAGACTGTGCAAGCAAATGGTGCTGTTAGACCCCATTACTAACAAACCTCCACCTCTATGGTAACCGCCTACCATCAGGTGGTCCGTATTTTTGTTTACCATCTTATTGGTAACAAAATTCTCAATTTCTTCATTTCTTTTTGTTCCAGGCTAGAGCAAGCGTCCGAGGCGCTCCGTTCCGAACTATCAGACTGGATACCAAAGACGCACAGCGAAGTCAAGAAGCTATTACTCCAGTTGGCCGAGAGACAAGTCCTTATATACACACAGATGTCCCAAGCGTGGGAGAACGCGTTGAAACTGTCCACAGAGGCGAACTACGACGATATATTCAAAACTGTGACAAAGAACGCAGTCCAGAAATTGTCACCGTCGAAATGCGGCACTCCCACGGAGACCGAGAGGGATTTTGAGGATTTGGCCAGTACGGACACGGAGGACAGGCCAGAACTCAGCGACACGGAGCTGAGGAACGACAAGGACCCACTAAGGGACTTCTCGGATGTGGATCTCTCGTCATGATTCTGTGATACCGTGTTTTTAAGTATTATAAAAAAGTTTTGAGGTTATTTTAATTGGTGAGCAAGGAATGGTAAATTATGGTTTTTAATGCGTGATAATGGAATGATAACCCCGTCTGCGTTATCAGTATACGCTGGCGGGGCACCAGTGAGGGGTGATAGGGATAGATGAAACAGGGCAGTTGGCCCATCGTGATGAATTCATCAGGAATTAACCAGCAAGGGGAACCACGTGTAGGTCGTTGTGATAAACTATATTGCTAGCAAAACCCCATTATTAACAATCCCCCAAATCTTATGTTTCGCTGTACAGTATTTAAGGTATCCCGGTCTATTAGGTACGGATGACGGGATGTCTACAGAAAAGAGTACATGGTGTGTTGATGGGGCGTCCACCAGTTTTTAAATGGATGATAATGGAATGGTAACACCGCCTGTGCTATCGGTATACGCTGAAGGGGCACCAGTGAAGGGTGATAGGTGAGGATGAAAGCAGGTCAGTTGGCCCATATCATTGATGGCTTTGCATTGCTAGCAGTCCCCTTTCCCCATAATTTTTAAGTTGATTATGGTGATTTTGAGATTTATCAAAAGTTGGCACTCTTTATCTTATTGCTAACTCCCTAAATAGGAAGGCTGTCGAAATTTTGTTTGTGAAGTATCTACACATTGGAATCACCGAATTTAGCATTAAATCCGTTTGTCATTTGAAAATTTTAAACAACCTGACATTTGTTTGTTCGTAAAAAGAATACAGTTTGCGTGAAGAGAAACGCACAATTTTCGTCTAGTACTCGAGGCTTATTCTAAATGTGTGATCAATTATTTTCATAATAAAACCTCTGAAACTTGTGTCTCGTCACAAAACAGACTTCAGTTGTAACAATACTAGTTATTATGATGTAAAAATTAAACGATTGAATGGATTTCGATAAAATTCCTATGGGACCAATGTATAAGTGCACTCTCTTATCAGAAGAAAAAAAATTCCCAAATCGGTTTTATAACTGACCAGAGTTATGAGATGACGTACATAAAAAAATACCACAGAATTGAAACCTCCTCTTTGAAGTCGGTTGAAAAGTAATAATTCTTTATTTAAGAACCAGCGACAAAGATGTAGAACATGAATCATATCAAATTGGCTAGACTCCTAACCGAATTGGCGCCAATATTTTGAAAATGGAATGTGTTCAAATTGTAAAAAAAAAGTAAGTAAACGATGAATTAAAAATATATAAAGCAATAGTGATGTACACCTAATGTTATTATTAATTTAATCGATTCCATAATAAAAAAAAAATGTATTTAAAATGTATTAATTACAAGATGATCACATGCAATGTTTAAAAATAATAATCACATTAAAAAAAAAAAAAAAACGCTTCGCATGTCTTGTCCTGTTCGGGCTGCTTTAGTGAGGCACTAATTTAGTCGGTTGGCAAGTAATTTAGTAATAGAATACCCGATTCCGCTGAATTGCTTACCATTCGGCTACAATATTAAAGCAATCCGAACTAGATTTAAGTAGCGGGCAATAATGTAATAATGTTTCATGTAAATATGGCAATACTTCGATGTAAATTCTATTGTGTATAAATTATTTATTGAAATATAAAAATAGTGATTTTGTAATTTTGTACTTTCATTCCGTTGTACATATATTCATCCTCGTGTCCTACAGCCTCAATGGTCGCGTACTGCGCGGTTTCAGAGATATTTCCTCCCACGAACACTCAGGTTGTGGAATGAGCTCCCTGCCGACGTTTTCCCAAGAGACTACAGCATGGGGTTCTTCAAAAGGGGGGTAAAGAGGTTTCTCCAGAGTCGGCAACGCACGTGTAATACCTCTGGTATTGCAGGTGTTCATAGGCTACGGTAACCACTTACCAACAGGTGGGCCGTATGTTTATTTGCCACCACAGTGGTATTAAAAAAAAAATCTAATTAGATCTCTTGCCGGGTCGTCATTATGTCTGCTTTTAACTGTCCACTGGTGAACATAAGCCTCCCCCTTGTTGGGGAGTTTTGTTAGTAGATGCCACGCTTGACAGGTGGGTTGGCAACCGTAGATAGCCTTTTTTTATATAACTTAGAATAGCAAACAAGCTAACGGCCCACCTGATGGAAAGTGGTAACCGTCGCCTATAGACATGAGCAGTACCGTGGACATAACAGAGTATGCTGTTTCGCCCGTGATACCCCTCATGCGTGGCCATTCCTGAGAATTAAGGTGTTACGCCTCTGTACCCTGTAAATTGTTTAAAATCTCAAAATTTTACTCTAAATTGTCTTTAATTAGAAAATACTCAAATACCACAAGTCTCGAGTACAACGCCATCTAGTATTTCCTGTCCAAATTTTGTTTAGTGACCAACCATCTTCATTTTATTAAATTATTTTTTAAAATTGGCTGTCATTTCCCACATTGTATGACTTCGGTACTCTTTGGTATAAATGCTATTAAATATACTAAAAGAATAAAGAAAAAAAAAGGCAAGAATACGAAGGAATTAAATTTAATTTTGTGATCACAATACGGACTTTAAAAGTCCACAGCTTATATTATCAATTACTTTATGGACGCATAGCACTACAGAAGTACTAAAAAAAAAGTAAAAAATATAATACATTTTAGCAAATGATTTGTCATTTAAGATAAATGGAGTCAAATATAATAATTTATAAATACATTTTAAAAGTTTTATCACTATTATTATACAAAATGTTGTCTTAAATAAGTCACATGCAAAAGTATCAGAACTCGGTGCCACAAAAAAAAAAATCACAGGCTGTATGGCTCGTTTCCTAAGCTTTTGCATGTATAAATAAAATTAAGGATACGTGAAATTTATCTATGTCATTATCATTTTTCGCGGGTAAATATTTTGCGCCACAGACATCAAATCATATTTGACGTATTGTACTACCTTAATAAAATAATGTATTAAATTAATTAAAATAACACTAAAATAAGTACTTAGTTCTATTAACGACAATTGTCATATTAATAGCTATTTGTAATCGCAGCTGGAAAAGTTTAAACATTGACTAAAGAACCAAAAGGCATATTTTTATTTTTAATACTGGCAACTCATCAATCAAAAGCGTATCTTAGTGTTGCCAATTAAACACTATTGAATTCACTATAATATTAAAATGAAATCTTTGAATCTAGGCTAGAGAATGGTAGATAGGGCATCTTGCTATTCCTGATCGAACAATTAAGAAAATATATGTACCATACTATTGTTCGATATTTGAAATTGTATTAAGGGTTAATATGAACTCCGAATTTTAGCGCGCACTTTTTCCCGCGTAAATTGTTTTCCGCGTGCGCCATTTTATTACGTGTAAACCGTACGCAGTTAAATTTGCATTGATAAAAATCATAATTATAAACAATGTCTACACTTAATCAAGGTGAGTATGCGGAAAAAATTACAGTCCATATTAACCCTTATAAAAAAAGAAAATAAAGCACCTATTACACACATCGGCTGTATGTGCGTACGTTCTGCCATTCTCGTCGCAAAATAAAAAATAAAAAAAACCTTAAAATTAGTTATACCGGCACTGCGTTATTATTGAACTAGGCTTGTTATTAAGCTGGTATACTGGGTTTCTCGGGGAAGACCTCGTGCAGTATCGTGTAGCAGTCCTCCCAGGGTACAACCTTCGCCTTCACGTGTGGGTTCGGAGTGGCTAGGGTCTTCTTGGTAAGATCGTCTAGCGGGTACCCGCTGCGAGGAAACACTGTTGCCTGGGGACATTATAAAAAAAAAATATTAGTTACTCTTTTTAATGCCACAAATGTGACAAACAGGCATACAGCCCGTCTGATGGTAAACGGTCACTGTAGCCTATGGAAGCCTGCAACACGAGGTGTCACGTGCGCGTTGCCGGACCCTGAAGTAACCTTAATACGTCCATTTTGAAGAGGCCCATACTGTAGTCTATAGGTGAAACCTTAGCAAGGAGCTCATTCCACTGCCTCAATTTTTGATGGGAAGGAATTGTTAGCAATGCGAACTACTAGTCCCATTGCTAGCAAAATACCCTATTAAGTCGACCTCTACGTGGTCCCCCCTGGAAACCATCGTGCTGAATTCCAGCTGCATTAATCACGATGGGCTAGGGGGAAAAGGGATTGTTAGGAATGGAAACTGAGAATACCATTGCTAGCAATATAACCCAACCAGGTCGGTTCCCCCTGGAAACTATCATGGTTAATTCTTGATGAATTCATCATGATGGACTAACTGGCCTGTTTTCATTCTTATCTATCGCCCTTCACTGGTGCTCCGCCAGCGTATCCCGTTAGCGCAGGCGGGGTTACCATACCATTATCACCCATTAAAAAAAAATCACTGAAACTGAAGTACAATTCCATTATCATCCATTAAAAAACATACAGATACACGGTACTCTTCATGTCTATAGGCGACGGTTACCACTTACCATCAGGTGAGCTGTCAGCTCGTTCGCCATTTTAGGTTGCATAAAAAAAAACTTACATGAGCGGGCAAATTAGTGGCCGGGCAGTAGTCGTTCCTCCCGTCGCCGGCGTATATGACACGCGTGTACGGGGCCCTTTGCGACAGCCACTGGGCCAGTGCGATCGACTTGCACAAGTTGGACGGGCAGCGGGAACACGCCGTCTGGCGCATGCACGGCTCTATGTACAGCCTGCCCTGCTGCCAGAACGCTCGGTTCGTGATAACCGCCTTCACCGCGTCCTGCAACAAGTTGGCGCGTAAATTAGAAAAAAAAAATAATAAAAAAAAACAAATTACAAATAAATAGAGGCAGGACCGTGTCAACTGTGAAAAAAGAATGTTTGAAATCTATGTAACCATTGCAAACCAGGTCGTTAAATTTGGTATTTTATGATATTTATCAATATATATGAAAAATAAAAAATACATTAACAATTAACGTTATTAGTATATATATATATATATATATATATATATATATATATATGTGTATATATATATCTGTCACGCCTGTCTCCCATTACGGTAGACAAAAACAATGGAACGCCAAATGTTTCGATTCAAACAGCCCTCTCTCGCTTCCTCAATCCAACAATCTTTTCACATACACGGTACTGCTCATGTCTATAGGCGACGGTTACCACTTTCCATCAGGTGGGCCGTCAGTTTGTTTGCCATTCTAAGTTGTATAAAAAAAACACACGCTCGCCGGTTACGGACACCTGATGAAAATGGTAACACCGCCTGTGTTCTTGTTATACGCTGGCTGGTTACAATATGGCGTATGATAAATGACAAAAAAGTCAGACCAATTGGCCCATCATGACGAATTTTCCGTGAATTAACCACGATGGTTTCCAGGGGGAGGGGAGGTCGACCTGATTGGGTGAATTATTAGCAATGGGCCTTAGTTTTTTCTATACTTGTGACGCTATGGTTCTTGCTGAAAAACAGCGCTGTAGCGCTTCAAGCGCTGCAGCAATATGCTGAGCACGGACCTACATCACAGAACATTGCGACACGCACGCGCGCACGCGTACACATTTGTATATGTCGCTCTTGAAATAAATTCAAATAGATCGATATTGGAATTGAGAACTCACACTCTTGAATTGCGTCACTTGTCACTAGCGACATAATGGTTCCATACTGTTCTGATAGATAATGCGTGATAATGGAATGGTAACCCCACCCGCGCTATCAGTATACACCGGCGGGGCACCAGTGAAGGATGATAGGTGAGGATGAAGCAGGTCAGTTGGCCCATCGTGACGAATTCAACGAGAATTGTTCACGATGGTTTCCAGGGGGAACCTGATAGGGTGTATTGCTAGCAATGGGCCTGTTAGACCCCATTACTAACAATCCCTTTCCCCCTCGATAGATGCATATTGGTGCAACTTGCCAATGCAAACTACTCGTATTGTAAACCGATCCTAATTGTAGCTAATTCCGAACTGTTGTTACATGAGTGCAGATTTGGTTTGAGACCGATGTTGGATTCAAGAGTTATCCTACTGTTTGTTTGTTTGTTTGTTGATTATTATTATTGTTTCTTTTAAATTTAGACTTTAATTGACCTGAATTTAATTTAATTGCTTTCTATTTTTTTTTTAATACAATTTTCTTTTGTTTGTTTTGATTTCTTTTGTTCTCGTTTTGTGCGCTACTGTGTGGGCCGCATGCTTCTTCGATTAAATTATTTCTTCCTTGCCACAGAGGTGGCAAAGAAGCATGAAGTGTGAGCATTGAGTCCGAGCATCTTCCGCAATATATTACATTGTTCGCCTTGCCGCCATCCACTGGACTAGTAGTCGAGAGCGACCGGCTGGCCAGTGGCCACCCCTGATATCTGTGCCTCTAGTGAGAAAGGGTTCAATTCAAAATGGCCACTTTTCAGGAGAGCCAAAAAACTATTTTAAATAAAGAAAAAAAATTCTGCTGCTTTTATTATTTGCTAATTGAACAAGTCAGTGATTGCATTTATAGTAATTTTTTCTCCTCTTTCTTATGAAATTGTCGGTTTTTGTGTAAAACCTATAGTTTTAAAAATAATTCTATTATACCTAATCACACTTAACAAAAATATTAAAATTATGATGTGAAAATAGTTTTAAGTTGAATTAAAACTTTGAAGTATTGAAGAAAAACAATGTTGTGTATTTTACGCTATAAAAAATAATCGCTATTAAATGGTGTAAAAGGGTTCAAATCGAACTGATTCATTTTACAAAAATATTTTTTATAAAATATTGTAGTTTTATTTCTAATTATGACTTTTTTACCACAAATATTTTGTTAATTGTAGCCTTTTACATGTTTACTATCTCTATTGTTTTTAAAGATATCGTTACGATTCTTATACCATTCGAAAGAGAAAAATTTGCTTATTTAAAGTAGCCTAAAAAAGAAAAAGGCTATAACTTGAGTTATACCCTTTCTCACTAGAGGCACAGATATATGTACTTACAGCTTGATCCCATACAACTTTTACGACTTTAATACTTTGTTAATCGCAAATTTAGATGTTCTAGTATATATAATGGACATACAACGTACATACAACCTTGCATGGCCACGGGGCCGGTCACGCGACGTGACGTCGTACAAAAACAAAAGGAACAATCTAAACATGATAATTAGAGGGCACTCCGTCGACGCGAGTGTTAGAAGCGTTCATAACTAGGCATGGGTAAACGGATACCGATCCGATATCTATATATTGGGTGCCTCTGAACACTGATGGCGGATAAAAGGTCATCACCCATTCCGATATCGCCCATATCGGTCGGATATCTATTTTCGAATAATTTTTTTTTATACAACTTAGAATGGCAAACAAGCTGACGGCCTACCTGATGGGAAGTGGCAACCGTCGCCTATAGACATGAGCAGTACCATGGACATAACAGAGTATACTGTTTCGCCCATGATACCGCCCATGCGTTGCCATTCCTGAGAACTCAGGTATTATTCCTCTGTACCCAGTAAATTTACATCATATCCCACCCTTCAAACGGAAACACAGCCATGCAAACACGACTGCTTCACGGTTGAAACACGAATGGGACAGAGGTGGCCAAGCAATCGACTTTTGTACAAAGTCTCGCTGTGGTTGCTGATGACAAGCGAAGTCTATTTGGACAATGATTGCTTCTATTCTATTGTGTGTGTGTGTATATGTCGTCACGTGTCGTACACGACGTCAATGTAGTGAAACGTACAAAGACCGATAATTTATTTATTTATTTCTCTCCTTATTGCACCACTTAAAGAATAATACAGGTACAATGTTAAGTTAGTCACGAGTACAAAACGTGTAATAACTCCAGATACGGCTGGACGGATTCTGATGATCTATGACCTGTTAGAGATTTTTTTTTATACATATTAGAATGGCAAACAAGCTGACGGCCCACCTGATGGAAAGTTATAACCGTCGCCTATAGACACGAGCAGTACCATGGACATAACAGAGTATACTGTTTCGCCCATGATACCGCCCATGCGTTGCCATTCCTGAGGACTCAGGTGTTATTAATGTTGAAAATATGGATGGTGAATTTATGGTATCATTACAGTTTCGATGTAGACCGCAGATAATTGCGTTTTTGCATAGCTGTTTTTTATGCGGGCTACGTAGAAGGGCGAGGTATGTCTAGTTCTGGTATCTGAAGTATCTAATTTCACCATCATACACGTAGAATGAATACTATCCATGGTAGCGTTGGACAAAAATAACGAATTAACCCACTGCATCTAAATAATTTAGAGTTTACACGGTACAGAGGAATAACACCTGAGTCCTCAGGAATGGCAACGCATGGGAGGTATCATGGGCGAAACAGTATACTCTGTTATGTCCACGCTACTGCTCATGTCTATAGGCGACGGTTACCATTTTCCATTACGTGGGCCGTCAGCTTGTTTGCCATTCTAAGCTGTATAAAAAAAAAAAAGATAAAAGAGCTCCCTGCCGAGGTTTTACCAAGAGACTACAGCGTGGGGTTCTTCAAAAGGGGTGTAAAGAGGTTTCTTTAAGGTTGGCAACGCGCGCGTAATAACTATGGTATTGCAGGCGTTCATAGGCTACGGTAACCGCTTGCCATTTAAGGCCGATAGCTTGTTTGCTATTCTAAGTTGTTAAAAAAATAAGATAAACAATTGTGCTGTGTGTCCGAGAGCCTCCAAATAATTTACACGATATCTGCGAAGCCTTTGCGGCATGTAATTGGAAGCTAATGAAACCATATTTATACAAATAGATATGTGACGAACATACTCGTAGGTCGTGGAAGTTTTACGACTCATATGCGCCTTGTTTATCTTCCAACTAGCGGCCCGTCCCGGCTTCGCACGGGTGGACATTTTTACAACATTTTAAAAAGTGGTCATTATGACATAACGATAATAGTTGGACATGTAGTGTCGCGGAGTTTTTTGTAGTTATTGATATTTCCTTCAATATTGTAGAACATACTTTTGTTCTATCACCAATAGTTTCCGCAGCGCACGCGACCAAAGATATTTTATAGCATTTTTTTTACACCTTGAGTTACGTTACTAAAGTTTTAGTGAGGATCCCTAATCTTTTCTAGCAATAAATATAGCCTAGTAGCGGCCCGGTACGTGCTTCGCTACGTAAAAAGTAATTTTTAAAATCAAATTCATTTATTTAAACAAAAATCGCTTAAAACTGAGAAAAGCACACGCACACGTATACATTTGAACAATTCAAGACTCACCGTTTGTATGAATGGACTCAACAATATGTTTAAAAAGGGGGGAAAGGGATTCTTAGTAATGGAGATTGAGAATCCTATTGCTAGCAATATACCCAACCAGGTCGACCTCCTCGCGGTTCTCCCTGGAAACTATCATGGTTAATTCCTGATGAATTCATCATGATGCGCTAACTGGCCTGTTTTCATTCTCATCTATCACCCTTCACTGGTGCACCGCCAGCGTATCCCGTTAGCGCAGGCGGAGTTACCATACCATTATCACCCTTAAAAAAAAATATATGTTTAAAAATATAAACACAAAGCAATAATTATCGCTGACAATTTGCTTTAATCGAAGCACGTCCAAAATGAAATGACCGCATGAACGACATAACAACACGCTTGTACTGTCAACACTGAAAAACAGTTTCAATTTGGCGACGGTTACCACTTTCCATCAGGTGGACCGTCAGCTTGTTTGCCGTTCTAAATTGTATAAAAAAAAACCACCAAAGACTAACTGCGGTTTATTTTCAATAGATAGTGATAATGGACTGGTAACCCCGCCTGCGCTATCGGTATACACGGCGGGGCACCAGTGAAGGATGATAGGTGAGGATGAAGTAGGTCAGTTAGCCCATCGTGACGAATTCAACAAGAATTGTTCACGATGGTTTCCAGGGGAATCACGTGGAGGTCGACCTAATAAGGCATATTGCTAGCAATGGGGCTGTCAAACTCCATTGCTAACAATCCCTTTCCCCCCAAAGCAGGTTAGTTAGCCCATCGTGACGAATTCAACTAGAATTAAGCCACGATAGTTTCCAGGGTGGACCTGATAGGGCGTATTGTTACCAATGGGTCAGTTAGACCCCATTACTAACAATTCCTTTCCTCGCTGACTAACTGCGGTTGCCTACCCATCGAGCATTACCTTCCTAATGCTCCTCAAATATTGCGTCTAAACTGCGTCCATCACGTACCCTCTTGTATAGGCATTCCGTCACCCATATCCAATAGCGAGGACGGGATGCCTTAAATACTGTACCGCAAACCATACAAAAAAATACCCATCGAGCGTAGCAAATACTGGCGAAACCCAGGAAGGGTTTATGGGCAAGGATTAGGTTCAGCAGTGGACATCTGATAAGATGTATCTTCTTATCTAATATATAAAATTCTCGTGTCGCGGTGTTTGTTACCAAACTCCTCCGAAACGGAATAACCGATTTTTATGAAATTTTGTGTACATATTGGGTAGATCTGAGAATCGGCCAACATCTATTTTTCATACCCCTCAATGATAAGGGTGACCCACCCCGAAGATTTTTTTTTATTTTTTGACAATTTTTTATTTTTATTTTATTATGATTTAGCATTGAAAAATATATACAAATTTAAATTTTCACCCTTTTACGATCGAGCCCTGTTTTTTAATCAGGATTTTTATATGCCGCTATAGGGTTGCAAGATGGCAATCGAATATAATAGTAAGACGATAAATTTACATGTATAGTTCTCTAAATAATATATATGGTAAAACTACGTTTGCCGAGTCAGCTAGTAGTTTTATAAAAAATACAATAGAAGGTATAGTTTTTGCTTTGGCATTGGGCTTGTATTAATGGGTGAAAATGGTATGGTAACCCCGCCTGCGCTAACGGGATACGCTGGCGGAGCACCAGTGAAGGGTGATAGATGAGAATGAAAACAGGCCAGTTAGCGCATCATGATGAATTCATCAGGAATTAACCATGATAGTTTCCAGGGAGAACCGCGAGGAGGTCGACCTGGTTGGGTATATTGCTAGCAATGGGATTCTGTCTCCATTACTAACAATCCCTTTCCCCCCATTGGGCTTGTATTACTTACGCCCTTGCTTTGACATACATCACAATGAATTCCCATAGGAATACACATATATAAGTCCAATGTGAACTGATACCTATCTTAATTTATTCTAGAAAATTTATGCGTACTATTATTGTACACTAACAGTTATTGTATCAGATAATCCGCTCAGTTTGAAATGCAAAGAATTTCAGTAATAGTACATTACTGCAGCGGCCAGCAACTGAGGCATTGATGGACGAACGTACAAATGTGGGCCGAGGAGTAGACGAGGCACACATACGTGAGTCCATCGATGCCTAGTTGTGGCCAAGGTTTGTATAGTACTTTTCTCAAACAATGCGCGGAAATCAAAAACACAATTTTACTTTTTAAGTTCGATGACGAATAACGAACAATAATAATTTTTCACGCGCCATAATGTTCTTTTGTTTTTTTTTCAATAAACACCTTTCTATTTGCAAGTCAGTTCGAAATTTAAATAAAACTTTTTATTAGTTACCTCCTTGGTAGCCATGTTTCGAAGTAAAATGTCATTCCATTTTTAAATTACAGGACAGATATGAGTTTACATAGTAATTTATCTGGCCGCAAAACACGACAGATATGGATTTTCATACAACTTTTGCCGGCCGCTGCCCGCATGTATCTGGACAGTACGGCAATTTTGATTTATCTCGAGGAAAATTGTCAAAATAATGCTCACATTTCCAAGCATGTTTGAGAAAACATATTTTTTTAATACCACTGCGATGGCAAACAAATATACGGCCTAGGTGATGGTAAGCAGTTACCGTAAACTATGAAAACTACCGTAAACACAGAAGTAAACTCCCTACCGATGGCAAGCTATAAGATGGTAGAAGATAGATGTTTAATTTACAAATACTATACGGTTGGCCGTATGCAGAAATTGCAAGGTTCTCAGCGAGCTATGGAGAGGACTATCCTCGGAATTTCCTTGCGTGACAGGATTAGAAACGACAACCGATCCATTGACGGGAGTCAATGCAATGCATTTGAAGTTGTCATTCCATCTAGAGGGTTTACTTGTACACTGCCCATACGTGGTCGCCACTCCAGAACCTTTCTTCTCAATCGGTTGTCGGTTCTTCAAGCTATGTGAGCAGCCCATTGCCAATTCAGCTTGCTTATCCTTCGGGCTGTGTCGGTTACTTTGGTTCTTTTGCGGATATCCTCGTTTTGGATTTTATCACGCAAAGAGACTCCGTGCATAGCCCTCTCCATAGCCCGCTGAGTGACTTGAAACTTTAGCATACAAGCAATTGTGTAGGGTCATGTTTCGGTCCCATAAGTCATCACTGGTAACACGCACTGGTTAAAGATCTTCGTCTTTCATCAAATACATATTTTTTATTTAATACATTTACATCACCTGGATTACCTTACCTGGAGCCCGTGGACTTTGAGCCAATGGTTCACGAACACGGAGTTGGCGTCAGTGAGCAGCAAGACGTCCCAACCCTCGGCCGCGAGGGTTGTGATGAGCTGTTCCACGCCGGGCGTGGCCCGCATGGAGCCTATGCAGCCCAGGATGTCTTCCTGGTGCAGTCCGGCTGAGTATGCGTGCTCGAACACCTGCCGGAACGAGACGAGGCTTTTTTATGCAACTTAGAATGACCTGCAAGCTGACGATCCACCTTAATGGGGGGAGGGGATGGTTAGTAATGGAATCGTTGCTTCATTACCACTACTCCGAACCGATTTCAACGACTCTTTTGCAATAAATACTTCCTTTTTAATTTTGTAAAAATTAAACTACTTATTGATTGATGTGTCTAAGATTATGTTATACAACACTTTTTTCACTTTAGAAATAGTCTAAGGATCTGTTACAATGTTATCCAGACATTGAAATTGTATCAGTAGTTTTTGTTTCTATAACGAACATACAGACGGGCAGACAAAAATTTTACCGATTACATTTTTGGCATCAGTATCGATCACTAATCACCCGCTGCTAGTTATTTTGGAAATATATTTCATGTACAGAATTGACCTCTCTACAGATTTATTAGAAGCATAGATTTCCTTATTGCCTTTTCAATTCTGGATACATGAGCTGATGAGCTGATAACGTCATCTCACAGCGTCATCACAAGGAAAAATACATAGAATTTTAGTACAGAGGTGCTAATGATTGTTTATTAAAAACATATGTGATCTATATTTAACGTACTTCAAAGGAGACTGGGTGGGGAGTAAACCCGAATGGGTATTTTTACATACTTTAATTTTACATCCGGCGTTTCTAAATAGCTCTCTAACGCCACTGGCATATTTCGTTCATTTACGACTGGCCCAAAATTTATTCTGAAACTAGTTCGTTGAGCCGATTAAAAATATATGTATCTATGTTTTTTTTTTCTTTTATACAACTTAGAATGATAAACAAGCTGACGGCCCACCTAATGGAAAGTGGTAACCGTCGCCTATAGACATGAGCAGTACCGTGGACATAACAGAGTATACTGTTTCGCGCACGATACCCCCCCCCCCCATGCGTTGCCATTCCTGAGGACTCAGGTGTTATTCCTCTATACCCTGTAAATTCACGCCATATCCCACCCTTCAAACCGAAACACAGCCATGCAAACACAACTGCTTCACGGTAGAAACACGAATGGGACACAGATACCCAAGCAATCGACATTTGTACAAAGTTTCCCTCTAGTAATTATTTATTAGGTAATATTTAATTTGAATTCTATCGTTAGTTATACAGTTTTCCAGAGTCCTGGCCAAACGTCTTAAACGCAAACACGACTTCTAGTTCCTTATGGCAGTCTATAGAGGTCTATGCCCCAGCGTTGGACGGATAATGGCTGAAATTATGGTGAAGCTTATGGGAAGACATGGAGATATTATTTAATTGTTGTAACACTTTAATTTGACCTCTAATCCACAATAAAGACATTTGTATTTATCTATGCGCAGTATTCTTAATCTATGGTTGGTAAATGTGTGACAATGATTAATTTGTTTATGTGTGCACAAGGGCGCGGAGTTTGTAAACATAGGTGTCGACTCTGAAAAGCAATTCCTTATCTCTGACAAATTGGTTTGATACAATTCATCATGTATAAAGTTTAAAATACTACGTACTGATAGACTGGCATTTAAATAACAAAAACGAGACCAGAAAAAGTTTATAGTAGTGTGCGTGCAATGCTAAGAACAAGGAATTACACAGAAGGAATGATAAAATAAAAACTGTGAATCATATGGTTGCCTCCTTTCTTCTTATGCAAATATAATTAGTAAAAAGAGGACGAAAGATACACCCTCAGTTGCTATTTTTCTCATTTCATAGCAGGCTAGTGTATAGAAACGGTTTGATATTGTCAATTATTTATTAGTCAATGACAAATTTTACATTACTAAATTATATATTGGACACAGTTTATGTAGAAAGTATGCAAGCGGGTTGCATCTGAATTTGGTAGGGTTATACGGCCGTATAACATTTTCTATACACTAGCCTGCTATGAATTGACAATTTTATCACTCCTTCTATGTAATTCCTTGTTCTTAAGTCATATTCTCTCTCCATTTCATCGCCAATCTATATATTTCTCCTCGCGGTTCCCCCTGGAAACTATCATGGTTAATTCCTGATGAATTCATCATGATGGGCTAACTGGCCTGTTTTCATTCTCATCTATCACCCTTCACTGGTGTTCCGTCAGCGTATCCCGTTAGCGCAGACGGGATTACCATACCATTTTCACCCATAAAAAAGTATATATTTTGGGGAGAAAGGGATTGTTAGTAATGAGATCTAATAGCCCAATTGCTAGCAATATACCCTCTCAGGTCGACCTCCAAGCGGTTCCCCCTGGAAACCATCACGGTTAATTCTTGTCGAATTCATCATGGTGGGCCAACTGACCTGCATTCATTCTCACCTATCATCTTCCACTGGTGCCTCGTCGGTGTATACCGATAGCGCGGGCGGGGTTACCATTGCATTTTCACCCATAGAAAAAAAACTATATATTTTATAATCTATGTTAGTACCGCAGATACAATTCTTAATCTATGGTTGTTGAAAATGATCTATGGTTGTTTGTGTGCACAAAGGCATAGGGTTAGTATACATAGAAGTAAACTATGTCAAACAATTCTTTAACACTTTAGTTTGAAAATATTTAACTAAACTAGGCGATATTTGTGGAATTAGATATAAATTATTTTGTTTAATTCCGCCACCATTAGTATGCGTGCAACTGCCAACTGCTCAGGAATGGCAACGCATGGGGGGTATCATGGGCGAAACAGTATACTCTGTTATGTCCACGGTACTGCTCATGTCTATAGGTGACGGTTACCACTTTCCATTAGGTGGGCCGTCAGCTTGTTTGCCATTCTAAGTTGTATAAAAAAAAAACTCGAAGATTGATTACTATTTTTATTACTAAAATGGCGGTCAGAGAGTTATGGCTAATATGGAAGATTTTTTTTTAATAGGTCGTAATGTAATGACAATTCCGACTGCGTTAACGGGGTATACGCTGGCGGGGGACTAGTCAGAGGTGATTAATCTTATTTTTATATTTAGAATATTTTGCATTTTGTTTGATTCCTTTTATGTATTTACTGTATCTGACTAGCGCCATCTATCGTTCTCTCTGTACTTATCCATTCTTTATGCCAGGTTGTCTGTAAGAGATCGCTTGTAGCGATAAGGCCGCCTTTTGTATATGCACATTCTGTATAAATACTCCTTGTATACATCTCTACTGTGCGCAATAGAGAGTTTATTATTAAAATGGTGAAAAGGCAGATCAATTAGCCCATCGTGATGAATTTACCTGGAATTAAACATGGCTTCCAGGGGGATGGCGAGGATGGCGGATGGAGGACGACACCTGACAGGGTGTGTTGCTAGCAATGGGGAAGCTAGACCCCATTACTAACAATCCCTTCCCCTTCTAATATTTGTAGAATTTCAGGACAACAAATGTATTTGACTTCTAAATTGTGGAGGGAAAGGGATTGTTAGTAATGGGGTCAAATAGCCCCATTAGTAGCAATATACCCTGTCAGGTCGACCTGCACGTGGTACCCCCTGTAAACCATCGTGGCTAATTCTAGTCGAATTCGTCAGGATGGGCTAACTGTCCAGCTTTCATCCTCATCAGTCATCTATCACTGGTGCCCCGCCAGTGTATACCGATAGCGCAGGCGGGGTTACCATACCATTATCACCGATAAAAAAGAAAGCCTAAATTGTAGGGAATAACGAATGGCAGAAGTCTTTGGTGATTGGTCAAAAACAGAGGGACACGGACACCAGAGGGCGCCAACCTACCGCATTTAGTAAGTATTTAGTATTGATTTAAGAAGTTGTAAATAGACTATGATAAGAATGAGGTAATTTCAGCTATTGTTAACTGTTCCCACGGGCCGAGCCACACGCGGTAGCGATTAGCGATCACTTTCAATTTTAACTGTGGCACAAGTTATAAACTGGAACGATTGTTCTCAATTTTTTTTTTAATTTTAGCTTTTAATATTCGAACTTTATATATATATATATATATATATATATATATATATATATATATATATATATATATATATATATATATATATATATAATCTAGATATATAATTAACCGTGTGGTCCCAACATTGAATGGACCACCCGTACCTCTACAGTGGGTGTCGTAAAACGCGAGAAGGGAGGACGAGAGACGGGCGGCAGTCACTATTGAAACATCTCCAGAGCCTAATTGCGGTTGCCAACCCGCCTGCCAAGCGTGGCAACTACTGGCAAACCTCCCCAAGGGAGTGGCTTATGTTTAGCAATGATATGACGATACAAACTTAAACAGAACAAACCAGTCCCTAATAGAAGTACCCGTTCACGAGTATGACGGATGAGTCAGCCATCGTTGTGTTCAACCATATTATAGGGAGCCCAACGATCCGGTCTATCACGCCGCCATATACTACAAATAAATATAATACCTACCTATTTATGTGGGGGAAAGGGATTGTTAGTAATGGAAAATAAAGGCCCTATTGCTAGCAATATACCCAAGCAGGTCGACCTCCACGTGGTTCCCCCTGGAAACCATCGTGCTGAATTCCAAGTGTATTCATCACGATGGGCTAACTGACCTGCCTTTTTTTTCATACTCACCTATCATCTCTCACTGGTGCTCCGCCAGTGTATACCGTTAGCGCAGACGGGGTTACCATACCATTATTATCCATTAAAAAAAACCTATTTATGTGATAAATATTAAAATAAATTAATATATTATCGACATTAGAAATTTTGTCAAATAACATTAATGTATTTAGGATTTTCAATTAAAAAAAAATGTGTATATTTGTTCTTATTTAGATACTGTAAGGCGAATAAATTATACATTGATCTATCTATTTATTCATTCGGCAATGTTTTAGATAGACAGATACCCTTTATTGTTTCCTCCATAAGATTACAATAGTAAACTTATTATAGATACAAACAATTACAAGAAATGATCACAGTGAGACAACAATGGGCGGCCTTATCGCTAAGAGCGATCTCTTGCAGCCAACCTTTGGATGGAGAGGAGTAATTATAAACAGTTTGATCGGAGGCGCGATGAAATTCTATTATTTCTAAGATATGGAGATGTGATACATGTAATAATGTAAATATATATCCCTACTCATTATATATACTTATATACAATTTTTTTTTAGTGGGTAATAATGGAATGGTAACACCGCCTGTGCTATCGGTATACACCGGCGGGGCACCAGTGAGAGATGATAGGTGAGGATGAAGGCAGGTCAGTTGGCCCATCATGAAAAGTTCAACAAGAATTAACCATGATGGTTTCCAGGGGGAACCGCGTGGAGGTCGACCTAATATATATATATATATATATATATATATATATATATATTGCGGGGGGAAAGGGATTGTTAGTAATAGGGGTCAAATAGCCCCATTACCAGCAATATATCCTGTCAGGTCGACCTCCACGTGGTTCCCCTTGGAAACCATCGTGAACAATTCTTGTTAAATTCGTCACGATGGGCTAACTGACCTGCTTTATCCTCACCTATCATCCTTCACTGGTGCCCCGCCGTGTATACCGATAGCGCGGGTGGGATTACCATTCCATTATCATCCATTAAAAAAATGGGGTATATTGCTAGCAACAGGGTTATTAGAACCCATTACTAACAATCCCTTTCCCCCCATTTATATACTATTATATATATACACACATACATACAAACATGTTTTCTGCATAACTAGTTTTAATTCATGTAGCGTTTAGCCATCCTGGGTGAAGATTAATAATATATTTCAATGAAATCGCTAGAGCTGCCACCTTGCGCCGCGCCCGCAAGCAGCCAGCTATGCCAGCGAGTTCCTTGGCACTATACAAGGTCGCCCGATATTGATCGCTCGCCAAATTGGTATCACAACTATTTCGGTTTATGTCCACAAATATTCCGCATATCTATCTACCTGTCCCGGCGTGCCGTGTGGTCCCGGCGTAGAATGGGCCGCCCCTTCTTTTCCTTAGGTTTTTTTTTAATGGGTGATAATGGAATGGTAACCTACCCGCGCTATCTGTATACACCGGTGGGGCACCAGTGAAGGATGATAGGTGAGGATGAAGCAGGTCAGTTAGCCCACCGTGACGAATTCAACGAGAACTGTTCACGATGGTTTCCAGGGGGAACCACGTGAAGGTCGACCTAATAGGGCAAATTGCTAGCAATGGGGCTGTCAAACTCCATTGCTAACGATTCCTTTCTCTTCACCTTTGCCATAAGTGTCGTAAGAGGCAATTACGGGAGCTTAACGGCAGCAGCGTCTAGCTTAAAACATTATCAAAGTGCCCCCGCCCCCACTTGGAGGATTGTTTTTTTAATGGGTGAAAATGAAATAGTGACTCCGCCAGCGCTATCGGTATACACTGACGGGGCACCAGTGAAGGATGATAGGTGAGGCTGAAAAGGCAGGTCAGTTAGCCCATCGTGACGAATTCAACTACAAATTTGTCACAATGCTTTCCAGGGGGAACCGCGTGGAGGTCGACCTGACAGAGTATATTGCTAGGAATGGGACTGGTAGTCCGCATTACTAACAACCCCCTCCCCCCTCCTTCGGCTGACTTAGCTAATATATCGACACAACGGAATCAGCTGAATCTCGAATCTTGAAATAATGCATATAGGTTCTTTATTTAGTAAACAATAAGAAAGGCATTTTGAAAATTTTCCCTCTAAACGAGTTGAACTTCCAAATTTCACGCGTACAAAGTCGTGGGCACAAGCCAGTCTTATTATGTCAGTATGAATATTACAGTTAAGTACATAATCTGTACTGACGCGTTAAAAAAAGGTATGATACCTACTATATTTACAAACAGAGTGAATCACGTCACAAGATTATAGGAAATAACCACGAGTATAGCGCGCGAATTATTCATGGCACTCGACGACACCATGGTGATGTAATGTTATGGAACATGTACGTGACTTCAGTCATTCTTTGTGCAAGAAATCAAGATTTGAAGTCCTATAACTACGGTTCTAATAAACCGACTTCAAATACACACTTTTTTTATACAACTTAGAATGGCAAACAAGCTGACGGCCACCTGATGGAAAGTGGTAACCGTCGCCTATAGACATGAGCAGTACCGTGGACATAACGGAGTACATCTCAACACCGTCTACGGATATTTCATATAAAGTTTTTAAATTCTAAAAAAATACTGGCCGTTTTTTTTTTGTTTCAAAGATATGTTATTTTATAGGTCTTTTTTAACAATTCGAAATTTGAATTTGAAAAAAATAATTAAAAACAATCGATTTGCGCGGCATTATTCAGGTGAGACTCGGAGGAGTTAGATAGACACTCTTTATTGTTTCCTCCATAAGATTACAATAGTAAACTTATTATAGATACAAACAATTACAAGAAATGATCACAGTGAGACAACAATGGGCGACCTTATCGCTGAGAGCGATCTCTTGCAGGCAACCTTTGGATGGAGAATTCTCTCAGAAGATGGTTCACGATTCGATTGCTTTAAAAAAAAAAGTAATTCAATTGAGTTTCTTGCCAGTTCTTCTCAATTGGATCTATATACCGAACTGGACGGTAGAGAAAATATAAAATTACAATGTAAAAATTTGACGTTCATAAGCGGCTAAAATGTCCTACATGAATAAATGATTTTTGAATTTGAATTTGAATTGTATTTTTTTTCGTGTTTCACGCTGCTGGGGTATGAGCAAAGCTTGCCTTAGGAAGGGGCCCAGTAAAGCGGTACCATGGAAGGTCGAAGGATCTTTTATTAATGATAATGGAATGGTAACCTGGGTTGCGGTATCGATATACGCTGTCGGAGCACCAGTGATGGGTTAGGATGAGAGAAGCCTCATTTATAAATGGATAGTAATGGCATGGTAACTCCGCCTGCGCTATCGGTATACACCGGCGGGAAACCAGCGAGGGATGATAGGTGACGATTAAAAGGCAGGTCAGTTAGCCTATCGTGATGGATTCACTTGGAATAGAACACGATAGTTTCTAGGGGGAACCGCGAGGAGGTCGACCTGACCTGAGGGTGTATTGCCAACAATGGGGCTACTATACCCCATTTTTAACAATGCATTATTCCCCCGATGGGAAGAAGTCAGGTTAGATAGCCCATCGTGATGAATTCATTTGGAATTAACCACGATGGTTTCCAGGGGAAATCGCGTGGAGGTCGACCTGTTAGTGTATGTAACTTACAATCCTTTTCCTCCCCAGTCCAAGGGCATGATAGGATGAGTAAAAGATCGCAAATTCGAAATTGATTGAGCAGAGCACACCCACAATGACCTTTTTTCTTTGGTGGAGTAGGAGGAGGAGGGGGGGGGGGGGGGAGGAGGCATCAGATTTACGATGACCCATTTGTGTTTATTACGACGGAGGGAGGGGGAATCAGATCCACGATGACCTTCTTCTTTGTTTGGGGGGGGAGGAGATGGGGGAGGGCGTCAGATCCACGGTAACCTTCTTTTGTTGGGGGAAGAGAGAGGGCGGAAGAGTGGGAGGAGCATTAGATCTAGTCATGTCAAATACTCAGTAGTTTTTGATATCTCCTCATCATTATTCAACAAGTCAGCTAAGTTTGACCCTGGGTACCTGTGAGGGTTGATAATTGGGGAAAAAGACAGTTGAGTTACTGAGCTGACATAGGAGGAACAGGAGTTATCAGCAGTGGGTGTCTAGAAGACCTATCAGGTCAAACTCCATGCGGCTCCCCCTGGAAACCATCATGGTTAGGGGGAAAGGGATTGTTAGTAATGGAGACTGAGAATCCCATTGCTAGCAATATACCCAACCAGGTCGACCTCCTCACGTTTCCCTCTGGAAACTATCATGATTCATTCCTGATGAATTCATCATGATGGGCTAACTGGCCTATTTTCATACTCATCGATCACCCTTCACTGGTGCCCTGCCAGCGTATCCCATAAGAACAGGCAGGGTTACCATTCCATTATCACCCATTCAAAAAAAAAATCATGGTTAATTCTTGTTAAAGTCATCACAATGAGCCAATGGACCTGCTTTCATTCTCACCTCTTCCTTATTTACAGGGTTACTATTCCATTATCACCTTTTAAAAGAAAAATAAGCCAACTTCATTCTCATTAAAAAAAAAAAGGATTTGAAGTCAAGTTCCAACAAGCATTGAAGTTTTTAAATATGAGTTATTAAGAAAATTGGTTTTCAAAGAACAGAAACAGTAGTGTAGAAGGACCATTTTGATTTTTCAATTTTTATACAAATATATATTATGTACTAATATTTTTTAGACAAATTATTAATTTATTAATCTTTAAAAAAAAATAGCTTCCCAGAACAATATTAAAAATCATTGCTTGTTTCTATAAAATATTATAAAATTTAATCACTTTGAATCACAAGTTTTATTACAATTTTAAATTACTAAATATAATGTTTTATACTTATTCTATTGCTAAAAAAATATAAATTCAGAATAATTGATTATTTTAAAAAGAATAAATGAATAGAAGGTAAATCAAAAGTTAATTAAGTAGACATTCATTTCCGTAAAAAAAAAATACAGACGTATAATAATGAAGAATAAAAATTAAAAATATTTACTTTTTTTTTTTTACTTACATCACTCATGTATGGGGTCCAGTCATGATTGCCCGCTTCCCATTCCGGCGGCGGTTTCTTCTCTCTCAATCTATTTATTATTGTAGCGTCCGAATCATCATCCACAACAGTACGGTCGAAATCAAAAACCGCAAGACCCGACATTTTTTTTTTTCAAAATACGCGCGTACTCTGCAATATACACTGGTGCACTGCGGAAAACTCGTTGAAAATTGTTATAAATGACCGGAGCGGACGGGCGTAGGCGCGTGAATTTTCAGCATGATGACGAAATTGACGGAATAATTCGCATTTTTTTTTCGCAGTACACATATATAAGATCACGTTCAAGAGCAGTGATTACGAATTCAGGGAATTTCAGTTTATGACATTTTTATTTCTCAATTGACATTGCTGACATTGACATTGAAGTTTAATGGCATAAACAAAAGATTTATTCCCTGTTTTAGACATACACCTGTGGAAGAAACGAAAATGCTTGCCTGAATCGAAGCATTTGGTGTTCTATTGTTCCAAATAAGAGACCGGTGTGACAGATGTGTATGTACATAAAAAATTTCTCAATTTAATATTTTCTTGATATTATTCTTTACTGAACCATTATAAACTAAAATTATAATAATTTTGGACTTAAATCTATTAGAAAATTAATTTATTTTAGTCTTTACATTAAAGACTTTGCTGTAACTGAAATTTTAATTTTAGAAATAAATTAGCTAAATGGCATTACAGAAATTGACTGTGACAAGTATTTAACTGCGGTCTCGGTTTGTAGATGACCTACCGGTCGGTTTAAAGGCAAACATAATAAAATAGTTTCTACCTACCCTAATGAGAAACAGGTCTAACAGATAATTATTTATCTAAGAACAAGTTCGGTATGTATGTACTAACAAAGCCAAAGATTTTAGAACAAAACAAAATTAAAGCGAGATATAGAGCTGTCTTCTCTGTCGTTAAATCTGTCAGTGTCAACATGTCAATTTGGTTTGTCTATGGATTATATTCGAAGTCGAACTCGAACATAACCTCTTGATATTTTATGAGTTTATTCTAAAATTTTCTTAAAAAAAACTACAAAATTCACAAAAATGTCTTCTCTGAAAGTGTATAATATCGGAAGGATGACGAAATATCTCACTGAGACGAGTTTACGGACGTTTCGGAGCAATATTTACAGGTATTATATACGTATTTCGTTGCGCAATCAAAAGTCGACATAACCTATATCTTAATTTTGCCTATAATGAAGGTATTTTCATACAAAATAACAGAGAATAATACGTTTCCATCAAAAAACGAGAACAAATTAATTTTAATTGTATGGTTTTTGTTGAAACTGTTAGCACATGTATTATTGGCACAATAGTAATCTTAGATAGTGAATAATACACCGAAGATGATGAAATAACAGTCTAGTTGTTGATTGTGATTAAATTTTGTGGAACATCAGCTTTTTGTTCTTTACTTCGGCCGCGTGAATTTCAGAAGTAGAACCGGTGAAATAGACTGCTTCTTGATGTAGTATCTAGACATAACATATACCAGAGAGCCTACCATGAAATATTTTCCAAATTTTCGGAACCTAACGAAACAAATGTTAAAATTACATAATACATACCATTTAAAAATGGTAAAATATCGTTCTTTTGGACTGTTATGGTAGGATTTATGATGAACAAAATGTTAACCTCCATTTACTACATTAAATTCAGTATCAAAAAAAATACGAAATTGAGTCCGAAAATTTGAATCAAATGCAATTAGAGGTATTAGATGAACAAGGGGGAAAAGTATTGTATATATTTATTTACGAACATATGGCTCGTCTGATGGTAAACTTAGTTACTGGAGCCTATGGATATCTTTAACACCAGGAATGACATGCGCACTTCGCCAATTCTTAAGAAACCTTAATACACTGAGGAGAAAGGGATTGTTAGTAATGGAGACTAAGAATCCCATTGCTAGCAATATACCCAACCAGGTTGACCTCCTCGCGGTTCTCCCTGGAAACTATCATGGTTAAAATTATGGAGAACCGCGTGGAGGTCGACCTGATAGGATATATTGATAGCAATGGGGACTAACCTCTTATTACTAAAAATCCCTTCCCCCCTGTTGGCATTACATTGATATTTTTTTTTATGAATAACGGTGTTACTCTCTTTAATATTTATAATAATAGGAGATGTGTTATTTGTTTGTCACCAGAAGCACAAGCCGAGGGTACAGCACAGAGGAGAAAGCTGCCGTGGCGGATGACAAGCAGCTGCCCAGCACAGTGGAGGAGTGTCACAAGCAGCTTGACAGTCTGACCAGTGAGCTCAACACTCTCAAGCAACAGATCAAGGACTATGAAGTGAGTGTAGATATAAGATATTATATATATTTTTTTTGATGGGTGAAAACGGTATGGTAACCCCGCCTGCGCTAACAGGATACGCTGGCGGAGCACCAGTGAAGGGTGATAGATGAGAATGAAAACAGGCCAGTTAGCCCATCACGATGAATTCATCAGGAATTAATCATGATAGTTTCCAGGGGGAACCACGAGGAGGTCAACCTGGCTGGGTATATTGCTAGCAATGGGATTCTCAGTCTCCATTACTAACAATCCCTTTCCCCCGTTGCGACCTAGTTGGGGGTATATTGCTAGCAATAGGATTCTCAGTCTCCATTACTAACAATTCCTTTCCCCCCAATGGAGCTGGTTAGGCGAGGTTAGTTTAGTAACCGCAAATTTGCAGTCAAAAGTACTAATAATTAATAATTTTCAGACAAAACCACTTTTGACCAAGCTTCAGCAAATCAAGCAATCTCAAAAGTACTTTTGACTGGTTAAGAGTTTTGACTGCAACAGACAGACAAATTAATAATGATATGAAATCAGAGGGCCTACCATGAAATGTTTCCCGAAATTTCGGAGGCAAACGAAGCACAAATTTGATGTTAAAAGTACATAATACATGCGGTTTGGAAATATCAAAAATGTTAAAATATTGCTCCTTTGGACTTTTATGATAGGATGTATGACGAACGAAGTGTTAAACTCCATTTATTGGTCCGATTTTGGTATAAACAAAAACACGAACTCGAGTCCGAAATTTCGGAATTTCATTTCATGGTAGACCCGCAGGTTTCATTCATTTTGCATGTAAAATAATTCTGAATTCGTCTAAAAAATTTATTACTTCACTATTTTAATTGAAACCGTGTGGTCCCGGCATAGAATAGGCCACCCCCTTCCTTTAATATCAAATTCAAATACATTTGTTTACAAGCACTATGAAATCGTCATTTATTTCTAATCTACTGCAGCGTTCGGAAAGTTTGTTATCTGTTGATAAGAGCCCGCGAGAGACTCAACAGTTACTGTTTTAAATCTCATTATCTACATATGTAGGTATATTATATGTATATGTGTTTGTATGTATGTATATGTATAGATGTAGGTATGTATTTATGTATATGTGTATTTGTACGATTAAATATAATGTAATTAATTTAATTTTGTCTGTTTAAAAATTGTCCCAATATTGTAAACCGCTGTATCCGCTGACATTGATGCTCCTTTCCACTTTGGGTGTTGCTGGAGGAGAACTCTATTAGAGTTAAGCTCGCCTTTGTACATTTGATTACCTCTGACATATTATTATAACTGGTGTGTACAATAGAGAATTAAATAAATAAATAAATAGCAAAGTCATTTATTTAAAGGAACACCAGCATCATATTGCATTATGACACATAATAAATGTTAAATGCTATATACGATAAAAAGTCTTAAGTATTGAAATAAAATTACAGGACAAATACAAGCGCGCCCTAGCGGACGGTGAGAACGTGAGAAGGAGAATGATGAAGCAAGTGGAGGACGCCAAGTCCTTCGCCATACAGAGCTTCTGCAAGGATTTGCTCGAGGTCAGCTCTTAATCATTTATCATATGACATAACAACTCATTACCATGGTCGGATTATCCATTAGGCAGTTTTTTTTATGCAACTTAGAATGGCAAACAAGCTGACGGCCCACCTGATGGAAAGAGGTAGCCAATGGCTTATAGACATGAGCAGTACCATGGACGTAACAGAGTATACTGTTTCGCTTATGATACCTCTCATGCGTTGCCATTCCTGAGGACTTAGGTGTTATCCCTCTGGTCCCTGTAAATTCGTTACCATATCCTACCCTTCAAACCGAAACATAGCCATGCGAACATAATTGCTTCACAGTAGAAACCCGAATGGGACAGAGGTAGCCAGGTAGATGCCTTTAGTATAGTCTCCCTCTGGTAGGCAACTATGTTAATGATAAATGTGTAATTTTGAAATATTTGTATACGAATATGTTGAATATAATATTTGTTTTTGAAGTGAGTTAAAAATGACAAAAAATTTCGAGCCCCAAATGAATTCGACAGTTGGATGTGCCTCATCAGTATGGGAGGCTGGATATTTCCTGACGTTTTTCGGCCCGTGCTCCTTTGGTGATAATGTTCAGTGTCACCGGTAAAGCGTTCTCTTTGTTAAGGATCGATATCACACTGTTCCATTAGATGATCTTCATCATCATCTCAGCCATTATTTGAACATAGGTCTCCTCCAATGACTGCCATAAGGTACTGACCTGTATAATTTTAGATATTTATGAATATTTACCACGTCCCAATGCGGCGGAAGGTGATTGCCATGGTTTGCTTGTGCGCGTGCTTGCGTGCGCTGCAGGTGGCGGACACGCTGTCGGCGGCGGCGGAGAGCGTGCCCGAGGAGGGCGAGGCCGGCGCGGGTGGAGCCGCGGGCGGCGCGGCGGCCGCGCTGCGCTCGCTGCACCACGGCGTGCGCCTCACCAGCGCGCAGCTCGCGCAGGTACCGCCGCTTGATCGCTGCTGTGATGCTTACAAACGACAACTGAAACATTATCATTTGTCTGATTGTTTCTTCATTACAAAAACTGCCATTCTTTATTTATGTATTTATATAATAATTTATTTTATGATAGTTTGTTTTCCTTGTGCTAAAACTGAAACTGCTTCTCAGCGACTACTTGTTTATATTAGTGCGAGCGTCGCGTCCGAGCATCCTCCGCTGGAATAGCAATATATTATATTGTTCGCCTTGACACGATCCACTGGACTAGTAGTCGAGAGCGACCGGTTTTTTTTTTAATCAATGATAATGGAATTGTAACCCCGCCTGCGCTATCGGTATACGCTGGCGGGGCACCAGTGAGGGGTGATAGGTGAGGATGAAAAGGCAGGACAGTTAGCCCATCCTGACGAATTCAACTAGAATTAGCCACGATGGTTTCCAGGGGGAACCACGTGGAGGTAGACCTGACAAGGCGTGTTGCTAGTAATGTGGCTATTTGATCCCATTATTAACAATTCCTTTCCCCCCCCCCCTCGATCGATCGGTTGGCCACCCCTGGTATATATAGTGACATATGTTTGTCTGTCCCCAGGTGTTCAGCCGCCACGGGCTGGTGCCAGTTTCGCCGCTCAAGGAGAAGTTCGATCCCAATCTACACGAGGCACTGTTTCAACAGGTAATTTTTTTTTTTTATACATTCTTATCTTACTAACTAGCTAACTTAAAACTAGCTTTTTTTTATACAACTTAGAATAGCAAACAAGCTGACGGCCCGCCTGATGGAAAGTGGTAACTGTCGCCTATAGACACGAGCAGTACCGTGTACATAACAGAGTATACTGTTTCGCCCATGATACCCCCCATGCGTTGCCATTCCTGAGGACTCAGGTGTTATTCCTCTGTACACTGTAAATTCACGCCATATTCAACCGTTCAAACCGAAACACAGCCATGCAAACACAACTGCTTCACGGTAGAAACACGAATGGAACAGAGGTACCCAAGCAAACGACTTTTGTACAAAGTCAAATATTAGAAAATAGATATACGTTTATGGAATTCACACTAGTGTCCCATATATAGGTGTTATTTTTTTTATTTATTTATTCTTTATTGTACACAAAAATTACAACATATAATATATATAAAATAAAGATGTACAACAGGCGAGCTTAACTCTGTAAGAGTTCTCTTCCAGCAAACCCTGAGTGGAAAGGAGCATTAATTATTAGCAGGCAGTGTGCGTACAATAATAGAAGGAATTATATATAAAACTAGCTGACTCGGTAAACGTTGTTTTACCATATACATTATTTCTAGAACTATACATGAAAATATATCGTACTACAATTATTATATTCGATTGCCATCTTGCAATCCTACTGCGACATATAAAAATTGCGATTAAAAAACAGGGGTTGATCGTAAAGGGGTGAAAATTTGAATTTGTATGTATTTTTCAATGCTAAATCATAATAAAATAAAAAAAAAAAATTTAGGGGTGGGTCACCACTATCATTGAGGGGTATGAAAAGTAGATGTCGGCCGATTCTTAGGTCTACCCGATATGCACACAAAATTTCATAAAAATCGGTTTAAAACCGTTTCGGAGGAGTTTGGTAACAAACGACAGTGACACGAGAATTTTATATGTAATATATATATGTTGTGTATTGTAGGAGGTGGAGGGCGCGGAGGCCGGCACGGTGGTGACGGTGAGCAAGGTCGGGTACAAGCTGCACGAGCGCTGCGTGCGGCCCGCGCTCGTCGGCGTCGCCAAGGGACCCTCGTCATAGTCGCCACCCTCCACCACCCCCGCCACCCCCGCCACCCCCGCCCGGTCACGCCCTCGGTGAGTACACGGCGAAGACGTTGTTACGTTATGCATACTGCCAGTCTTACCATTGCTAGCAATATAGGGTATATCAGGTCGATCTCCACATGCTCCAGCGATGGGTGATAGGTGAGGATTGGGCAGGTAAGTTGGCTCATCGTGATGAATTCATCAGGAATTAACCATGATGGTTTCCAGGGGGAATTGAGTGGAGGTTGTTGATATTTTTTTTTTTGATGGGTGAAAATCGTATGGTAACTCCGCCTGCGCTAACGGGATACGCTGGCGGAGCACCTGTGAAGGGTGATAGATGAGAATGAAAACAGGCCAGTTAGCGCATCATGATGAATTCATCAGGAATTAACCATGATAGTTTCCAGGGGGAACCGCGAGGAGGTGGACCTGGTTGGGTATATTGCTAGCAATAGGATTCTCAGTCTCCATTACTGACAATCCCTTTCTCCCCAGGTTGCTGATATTGCTAGCAATAAGACTTATAGTCAGCATTACTGTCCCCTTTCTTCCCTAGAATTATTATTAGTAAAATATACAGTTTGGGGAGAGATTGTTAGTAATGGAAACTTAGAATCCGATTGCTAGCAATATACTCAACCAGGTCGACCTCATCGCGGTTCTCCCTGGAAACCATCATGGTTAATTCCTGATGAATTCATCATGACGGGCTAACTGGCCTGTTTTCATTCTCATCTATCACCCTTCACTGGTGCTCCGCCTGCGTATCCCGTTAGCGCAGGCGGGGTTACCATACCATTTTCATCCACTAAAAAAATATATATACAGTTAGATTAATTATTATTATTGTTATAGATGGCGTGGCAATCGGGGATGTTCCATTCCACCCACACAGCTGGGGACACAGTATAGGGATGAATAACTCCGGACCAAAGAGCAGGCAGACAAAATTGTATAATTTAATTTTACCACAATTAATTATTTTTAATATTTACTATACATTGAAAATTAGACGTTTGTGTAAGTAGAAAGTATGGGACATATGGTCTTATTTTCATTATTCACTGTACTCTATGCCCTAGCGTGGTGTCTATGACAGGTACGTGTCAAAGAGACAGAGAAAAAATGTTTTTGTATTGAAGTAAACTAAGATTTAAGCATTTTTGAATGGTTACTTTTTCACTGTCGCCCATTCGGAATGCAATTTCGGCCGAGAACTGACGAGACATTCAGCTGTTGCTTTTCTCAAGTTTTTTTTTTTATACAACTTAGAACGGCAAACAAGCTGACGGCCCACCTGTTGGAAAGTGGTAACCGTCGCCTATAGACACGAGCAGTACCGTGGACATAACAGAGTATACTGTTTCGCCCATGATACCCCCCATGCGTTGCCATTCCTGGGGACTCGGGTGTTATTCCTCTGTACCCAGTAAATTCACGCCATATCCCACCCTTTAAGTTTGACTTAATAAATAATGAATTTGTATGAATACATAGTACTAAGCTGTATCGAATCATAAAAAAATATATATTTCATCGTCAGGTGCTTAAATGTTCTACAAAAAGGGCGTATTAAGGTTTCTTAGGGGGTGGACAACGCATGATAACCCTGGTGTAACAGGCGTCCATATGCTACGGTAACCCCGTTTATTAACAGACGGGCCGTATGCTTGTTTACCGTCATTGTAGTATAAAAAAAATATATAATTTATGAATTCAACAAATCATTTGATCCTGGCAATTATATTAATATTTATTAATAATACATACTTATTAAAGATTTTGTTTAAAAAAAAAAAAGCAACAGTTGAGTTTCTTGAGTTGTCAGTCAGCATTCCGAATGGTCGACAGAGTTGACAAAAAAAAACTATTCAAAAGTGCTTAAAATTGAGTTAGTTTACTTAAATAAAAAATATATATTTATTTATTTATTTTACACTTTATTGCACCAAGTAAAAAGAGAAATAACAAATACAGTAAATATTAATGAGAAGTGATACAAAAGGCGGCCTTATCGCTAAGCAATCTCTTCCACACAACCTTTGGGTAGAGGACATTGAGAAAAAGACAAAGGGTAGGTGGCGCACTATTATATAAATATTAACATATTAACATATATATATATATATATATATATATATATATATATATATATATATATATATATATATATATATATATATATATATATATATATATATATATATATATATATATATATACATATTTATTATCAATTTACGATTATTAAATTGAGTTTAACAGGAAAAATTTCACTCAATCCAAGCTCTTTTAATGTCCTAATAGCTAATATTTAAATAACAGCAAGCTATCACGCGAACAGTAAAGTGGTCAATGTATAGTAAATATTGTGTCGTATTTATATTTAAACATACCCCCTTATACAAATAACGCTGGAGTGTTTTTTTCACACAGATCGGCTCAGAGCACGCATTGAAATGTATTATCGTTATGTGAAATTATTTTTGTTCACAGTGATATCACCTGTGACAAATCACAGCGGTGATTTTCATTTCCAGTTATTTAATGTCGCATTCACTACGATTTGCTTAATGATAGTGAAATATTAAATAGTTTTATGGTAATACAATGAGAGAATAGACGCTTTAGTACAGTATGATAAAGTTTCCATTCGCTCGCTCTGTAGGGCCCAGTTGGCCGTCTGATGCATTTTTGAATACTGCTAATCGCGCGTAGCCGATGGCTCACGAATAAATCCGAACGCAGTAACGATCTGTGATTTTACTAGAGTGATTTGTAGCAGTGTTATTGTAGCAATTTGTGATTTCACTAGTGCTATGTGAAATATTCCAATCCTAGCGTAGAGACGAGGGCAGATTTTGAACGCGTTTAAGATCATTGAAATAAGGTTTATTTTCAAACGACTTCAAAAAGACGCAGTTTCTCAATTTGATTGCATTTTTTCATGTTCGTCACCTCATAACTCCGTCAGTTGTGAACCGTTTTGGAATTTTTTTTTTCTGAAAGGTCATACTTACAGATTGGTCCCGTGGTAATTTTAACGAAATCGGTAAAGCAGTTTAGTTGTTAAACCATAATAACTGCTTTTATCACAAGTGAAATAAGTTATTTTGCGGAATACAATCTTATGACACGTCACATGACTAAAGAAAAAGTAAAAATAAACCTTATCGCAATGCTCTTAAAACTTTTATCGCTTTTTAAACACGATCAAAGTTTGGCCTCTTGGAGCCGCTCTGTGTGAATGATGCCGAGTATGTAGTTACTTAAAATTAAAATATAGGCTTCGTTTACACACACACGGAGCATTGAAAATCGCATTGAGCAATGAAAACCGTAATTGTGATTTTTCACACTATAATTATTTGTAACAGGTTAGAAAGTAGCAGATGTGACATTTCATATGATATTACAAATGTTAATAGTGAAATACGTCATGTAGTGTCTGTGCAAACGAGGCTTAATGAAGCGTTAATGATCAAGCAGCATAATGATTTGTATGGGGAATCAAGCGTAAACTGGACTGAGGCATCACTCGATATACTTACGACTTTCCAGATGTATGAATTACTTTTATATTGTATGTATGAGAGAGAGGCGGTAGTTGTTGCATGATTAAATTGATTTATTGTTTTATACTTTGTTTTATTTTCATCACCAACCGGTGATATAAGAAATTATAATTAAAGATTGCGTCCAAAAAACCGATTGATTAAAACTAAACCACTGAACCGGTTTTTATGAATTTTTTAAGTTAGCGAACTACCAGTCCCATTGCTAGTCATACATATACCCTGTCAAGTCAACCCTCCCGTGGCCCCTCTGGAAACCATCGTATTGAATTCCATGTGTATTCAACACGATGGGCTGGCGGGAAAGGGATTGTTAGTAATGGAGACTGAGAATCCTATTGTTGGCAATATACCCAACCAGGTCGACCTCCTCGCGGTACACCCTGGAAACTATCATGGTTAATTCCTGATGAATTCATCATGATAGGCTAACTGGCCTGTTTTCATTCTCATCTATCACCCTTCACTGGTGCTCCGCCAGCGTATCCCGTTAGCGCAGGCGGGGTTACCATACCATTTTCACCCATAAAAAAAAACACGGCTAACTGACCTGCTTCATCCTCACCTGTCATCCCTCACTGGTGCCCCGCCGGCGTATATATATCAGCACAGGCGGGGTTACCATTATTATCTAGTAAAAAAAAAAAAAAAAAACAAACTGGTTGAATAGGGAATTGTCAATGAGGAGTGGTAACTCCATCGCTAGCGATACACCTGTTAAGTCTATCTTGCAAACCATAGAGCAGCTGTACCATTCATTAAAAAACAAACTATAGGTTAGGTATATCGTTACGGCGGTCTCGCTCGCGGCCTCGACACGCGTGCGTACGACACGGTGGTCAGTGGCGACTACTCGCTACCCTCGTACCCTGCGCTCGCAGCGTCGAGGCGCGGCCGGAGAAGTATGCGGGGAGCGATAGGCACCTACCGTTGTCTTACTATGCGCGCCGGCTATAAAACTAAACATAAATAAATACACAGTTTTACAGAAGAAATAGTGTATTTTTTTTCTAGTACTTAATAACATATTAAACACCGAAAACTTCAATCTTGCGGTTCATTCTTCGCGAAGAACAGTGCGCATACAATGTCTCGCCCGCGGCGGCGCCTGCCGCTAGCCACCAATAAAAAAAATGTCACTAACATCACCACTTAGCGCTCGAACGCGATATAAGTCATTCTATCGGATACTTTGCACAGCGACCTCTGAACCACAGACTAGACGTGTATAGATGGCGCGAGTGGGCACATAGATAGATATATAGATGGCGCGAGTGGGCAGATAGTTACACAGATACTCTCTATTGTTTCCTCCATAAGGTTACAATAGTAAACTTATTATAGATACAAACAATTACAAGAAATGATCACAGTGAGACAACAATGGGCGGCCTTATCGCTAAGAGTGATCTCTTGCAGCCAACCTTTGGATGGACAGGAGTAAATTTTATTTCGCGTGTCCAGTTAAAACTGCTTCCTGATAGTAAACTCTGTTACACACGAGTTATATCAGTTTTTTTTTTATAACAGTAGGCAAACGAGCATGCGGCTCGCCTGATAGTAAGTTACCACCGCCGCCCATGGTCACCCGCAACACTAGAGTCATCGCAGTTGTACTGCGGCGGCCTTTTAAAAAGGAATATGCTCTTTTGTTGAAGGTTACGATGTCGTATCGGTTCGGAAATAGTTCTGTACTTACGGAATTTAACAATAAATTTGGAGTTTCACCATTAACAGACTGTTGTACTAGAAAATTTTAAATTTGCTATAATTCAGTATAGCGACAGGTTTGGGGGGAAAGGGATTGTTAGTAATGGAGACTGAGAATCCCACTTGCTAGCAATATACCCAACCAGGTCGACCTCCCCGCGGTTCCCCCCGGAAACTATCATGGTTAATTCCTGATGAATTCATCATGATGTGCTAACTGGCCTGTTTTCATTCTCATCTATCACCCTTCACTGGTGCTCCGCCAACGTATCCCGTTAGCGCAGGCGGGGTTACTATACCATTTTCACGCATCAAAAAAAAAAAAGTACAACGACAGGTTGGTCAGACTTGGTGGAAGTCCGACAAACGGTCTCTTTTTATAAAGTCCTCACATTTACCAACTCAATTTGACAAATTCTAAAATTTACTAGTTCAACCTATGATTAAGACACAAACAGGGCCTCTAGACGAAGTGGCAAGCGAATTCGATGATGGAATCGACATCGCTAGCGAGTTGACCAGAGGGAGACTATGTACAAAAGTCGATTGCTTGGGTACCTCTGTCCCATTCGTGTTTCAACCGTGAAGCAGTTGTGTTTGCATGGCTGTGTTTCGGTTTGAAGGGTGGGATATGGCGTGAATTTACTGGGTACAGAGGAATAACACCTGAGTCCTCAGGAATGGCAACGCATGGGGGGTATCATGGGCGAAACAGTATACTCTGTTATGTCCATGGTACTGCTCATGTCTATAGGCGACGGTTACCACTTTCCATCAGGTGGGCCGTCAGCTTGTTTGCCATTCTAAGTTCTATAAAAAAAAAAAAAAAAAAAAAAGAGTTCGGACTCGTCCGGAGTTGGAATGAGTCACCCGGCGTTGCTATCTCATTCTGTCTCACGGACTCGCCAGCGAAGTCGATTCCATCGACGAATTCGCTTGCCACTTGTCTATAGGGCCAGGAAGGAATACACAGTACAATCTCGATTATCCGGATATTCGATTATCCGGACTTATTCTTCGTGTCTAATAATCGATTTAGAAATAGTATTATGTATTAATTGAGTGAATAGGTGTTATGTAGTCCGTTATCTTTATAGCTCGTAATTTTTTTTTTAATATCGTATCGTCTAAACGACATATGTAAAACCCTTTACATAATAAAAGAAAAATATATTAAAATTTACCAGCCACTGTCTACCATCGTACGGCTCGCCATCGACAGGGAGTTCATCCTCATGTCCTACAGCCTCAATGGTCGCGTACTTCGCGGTTTCAGAGATATTTCCTCTCACAAACACTCAGGTTGTAGAATGAGCTCCCTGTCGAGGTTTTCCCAAGAGACTACAGCATGGGGTTCTTCAAAAGGGGGGTAAAGAGGTTTCTTCAGGGTCGGCAACGCGCGCGTAATACCTCTGGTATTGTAGGCGTTCATAGGCTACGGTAACCACTTACCATCAGGTGGGCCGTATACTTGTTTGCCACCTCAGTGGTATAAAAAAAAATTAATTATTATATATTGTTCGATTTGGCTTTCGAATCGATTATCCGGATTTTCGATTATGCAAAATACTTTTAGTATTATTTGATTCGGTAAATCGAGATTCTACTGTAGCTTCTTTTGTTAATAATTATTACCAATCTATTGCTATATGTGCTACGTTCAGAAATCACCACATTTTTTTTTATGAACGTTCCTAATTATTTAAGTCCTTTACAGAAACTAAAAGTCGTCGCGCGAGGCGCGTATGCGCCATCTATCCGCGTCCACGTCTGTGTTCCGTGTGTATCACGTGATTGTCCACTTTATCCCCTGACCGTGGCGGTCACGCTGCTCGCGAGGGCTCTAGAAGCCCTCCTGGTACACCTTGGAGTCGAGCCTCGCCTGCAGCAGCTCCAGCTGTCTCCGCGCCTCGCACTGCGGGAAGTTGTTCAGCTCGTAGTACTGTGGCGCTATTTTTAGCAACCACTCAGCTGAAATCAAACGGAACGAGTATGGAAACCAATCCAATTATGTATTTTAACATACTGATATTGTAAACTAGCTATACCGCGCGGCTTCGCCTGCGTTAATCAATATACAAGGTGTAAGTTACAGGTTGGTAACAACTGAAACGGTGAATTCAAATTTTTCGTTTCTCTGTCTGTTTGTACGAGCTAATCTCTGAAACTGTTGGACCATCACGGAAAATTAAAGAACTCCCGTGGGATAGTTGAACAACTATAGTAACTTATACGGCTTAGTACACAAGCTACTTAAGTAAAATCACTTTGACCTGAGACAAGGAGTGAGGACGACACGTCACTTGTTAATTTTGGTCCAGTGTTCCCGGACATAATGAATAGGTAGGTGCATACGTCGGTACATGCTAAACAGGAGTAAGAAATAGCACGCGGACAAAGTCGTTAATAAATATATAAAACAAACAAATTGTTAATAAATAAACGAAGCAGCCGCGGCGCGGCGCGTGCGCACTCACGTTTGATATCGGTGACGGTGCGTATGTAGTTCTTGGTGGTGAGCACGAACTCGTTGTATATGACCCAGTCGGGCTTGTGGTCCAGGCAGGTGGACGGGTGCAGCTGCACCACCTGGTTGTCCTTCACCGTCAGGTAGTAGCCGGTCCGCTCCAGGTGCGCCACCTGCCACCACAATATATCTTTACTGATCAAATATAAAATGGGGCAAAGGGAATGCTAGTATCTGCATTGAATTAGCATGCTACATGACTTTAGCTTTTTTAAACATAATTAAAACATCTTTGTTTTATTTATATGCGAGTTAGAATGGCGAACAAGCTGACGGCCCGTCTGATGGAAAGTGGTAATCGTCGCCTGTAGACATGAGCAGTACCATGGACATAACAGAGTATACTGTTTCGCCCATGATACCCCTCAAGCATTGCCATTCCTGAGGACTCAGATGTTATTCCTGTGTACCCAGTAAATTCACTGCCATATCCCACCCTCCAAACCGAAACACAGCCATGCAAACACAGCTGCTTCACGGTTGAAACCCGATAGGGACAGAGGTGCCCAAGCAAACGACTTTTGTACAGAGTCTCCCTCTGGTGTGTAAGAATAATTTCTAATAAAAATAAATGAATTACCTGCATAAAGAATCCGTTGACGAGCGCTTTCCTTATATTAATATAATAGTCTTTGCTGGTGAACTCCGTACTCGTCCGTTTTAAATTAAACCTGTACAATAAAAGGAATTCCTTTAAGACATGTACATCCATGTATATATATATATATATATATATATATATATATATATATATATAATGAGTAGGGATAATTTTTATATTATTATATGTATCACATCTCCCATATCTAGAACTAACAAAATTTTTCATCGTGCCTCCCACCAAACTGTTTATAATTACTCCTCTCCATCCAAAGGTTGGCTGCAAGAGATCGCTCTCAGCGATAAGGCCGCCCATTGTTGTCTCACTGTGATCATTTCTTGTAATTGTTTGTATCTATAATAAGTTTACTATTGTAATCTTATGGAGGGAACAATAGAGAGTATCTATCTATCCATGTTCACAGCGCGCGTTGTACAATATAGCGGAGTTACAGAGGTCCGGACTCGTCATCATCATCACCGCATTTCACAATAGATAGTTATAACTGTGTTCCACGAGAAAAACAAATAGTGATTTCATTTTTTAAACTAACGTTTACTTTTTATCGGATGGCTTTTAACAGGAAATTTACCCTTTGCGCTCTGTTGTCGCCGTATTTGCGACCTTAGAATGCTAACATTAGGGGGGTTATTAGCAATGGATTTTGACAGCCCCATTGCTAGCAATATGCCCTATCAGGTTGACCTCCACGTGGTTCCCCCTGGAAACCATCGTGAACAATTCTTGTTGAATTCGTCACGATGGGCTAACTGGCCTGCTTCATTCTCACTTATCATCTCTCACTGGTGACCCGCCGGTGTATACCGATAACGCGGGTGGAGTTACCATTCCATTATCACCCATAAAAAAAAAATGCTAACATTAATCCACTGTCGCGACTACAGCGACACGGTTTTACTTACTCCGCGCCCTTAACATTTTATATTAGTCGGTGTCTATAGAGACATGAGCAGTACCATGGACATAACAGAGTATACTGTTTCGTCCATGATACCACCCATGCGTTGCCATTCCTGAGGACTCAGATGTTATTCCTCTGTACCCAGTAAATTCAATTATTACTACGACAGAATGCACATTTTTTGTTTCCTTTGTTGTTATTTGTGGGCTGCAAGTAATGTAAATTAATTATATATCTATGCATGTATCGCTGGTGCCCCGACAGCGCGGGCTACCCGACCACCTGTCCCGCCGCCACCCACCTGTCCATGATCCGGCTGAGCTGCTGCCTGACGTTGTCGCCGGACTTGAGCGACCTGTAGTTGATGAAGTTGTCGTAGCACCAGTGCGGGTCCTCCATGTCTGCAAACAACACGCACGTGCTGAATGACAACTGCTGCGAGTGATGCCAGCTGCTACCTGTCTACTGCTGGACATAAGCCTGCCCCATAGAGGGGGATTTGCCAGTAGTTGTTACAGTTGGCAGGCGAGTTGGTGACCGCAGTTTGGTTTTGGTGATGTTTCAAGAGGGACGCTGCTGCCCATCCCTCGACCACTGTGGTGGCTGTTTACTATACGAAACAAGTAAAGAGGTTTCTTCAGGATCGGCAATGCACGCGTAATACCTCTGGTATTGTAGGTGTTCATAGGTTACGGTAACTACTTACCATCAGGTGGGCCGTATACTTGTTTGCCATCTCAGTGGTATAAAAAAAAAGTAGATGGCGCTGCAATCGAAACTTGTTCTTATTCTTATGTATGAATGTGCAGTGACAGATGATACCCGATCTTTTATTGGACGAATTATAATGCACACAATCGCAATGTCTCTTGCTAGTGTGTGTGTGTGTGTGTTTTTTACAAAGTTGTACAATACAAGAGTATAAAGACAAAAATTATAATAAATGATCAGTACATCGGTTAAAAATAAATAAAACTACTCGCCAATTTAGAAATTTTGCCTCAAATTTACCTTTAATTGTAAAATAATCAACAAGAACTACAAGTCTCGATACTAGCGCCATCTAGTATTACGTGTGCAATTTTGTTTAGTGACCAATCACTTTAAGTTCCCGTAGTCGCCTTTTAAGACACCCACGGGATGGCCCATTCTATGCCGGGACCACACGACCCTCTTTTATAAGTATAGAAGAAAACTAGTAGGCGGGTGAACTAACTCTGTTTGAAGGCGTGGTAGACGTTGAGCAGCGTGAGGTGGTCGCCGTCGATGTGCGCGAACCGCATCTTGGCCTCGTCCGCGGCCTTGCGGGCCTCGTTCGGCCGCACGAAGCACTGCGGCACTGCACAAGGGAATTGGCTCGTTATGAATATCACGGGGAGAGGGATTGTAGGTAATGGAGGTCTGAGTTCATTGCTCAACATACGCTTCCTCTTATTGGGGGGTTTAGCAGCCGCAGTTGGATTTTGGTAATGTTTTAAGAGGGACGCTACTGCCCATGTCTCGACCATTGAGCTCCCTTAGTCGCCTCTAACGATAGCCATAGGAAAGGAAGGGGTGGTCCATTCTATGTGTGTTTTGCCAGTAATTGTCACACTTGACAGGCGAGTTGGCAACCATAATTAGGCTTTAGTAGTGTTTAAAAACAGATGCTCCTGCCCATCCCTCTACCTCTAGATACTTTTAGCTGCCTCTTACGACACCCACGGGAAAGGAAGGGGGTGGCCTATTCTATGCTAGGACCACACGGCATAGATTGAGGCCTCATTGCTAAGCAATATACCAGGTCGACTTGCAAGCGATCCCCCCTGGACATCATCGTGGTTTATTTTTAATGTATTCATTATGATGTATCTACTAGTCTGCTTTAATCCTCACCTATCATGCCTCCCTGGTGCCTGCTAGCGTACACTGACAGCGCAGCGCAGGCGGGGTTACCATTCCATTATCATCCATTAAAAAAAATACTATGCTGGTACCCCGTCAACATTATACCATTAGCACAGTCGGATGCACCATTCAACCTTCACCCCGTACCGACCTGAGAGCATGGCGGTGATGGAGAGGATCTCGTTGGAGCAGTTGTGGTTGCAGCTGGCGATGAGCATCTTGGCGAGCTGCGGATCCAGCGGGAACTCCGCCATCACCGCGCCCAGGTCGGTCAGGTTGCCGTCGTCGTCTGCAACATGCGTGCAACATGCATGCAACATATAGAAATAACAAATTAATGCATTAATAGTAAACACTTTCTGACAACTCTGTGCTTAAGTAATTTATCACTTAACAGCATTTACACTTGCCAAATGAAGTGTGGCTTCGTCACAACTGACGTTTTGGAAAATTCATTTTTTTATCTAAAAAGATATACTTACAGGTCGGTCCTGTAGAAACTTTATCAAAACCGACTCAGTAGTTAAGTTTTTCAATCGAAACAACCGGGTTTTGTCACAACTGCAGTTAGATTTTTTGTGTTTCGACCATTCTCATGTAACGAAAGAAACTTACTGTTCGGTCCACTAGAAATATTATCAAAATCGGTTCAGTAGATTAGATTTTTAATCAAAATCGAGGGATGGGCAGCAGCGTCCGTCTTAACACATCTCTAAAGCCTGACTGCTACCAATCCGCCTGCCATGCGTGGCAACTACTGGCTAAACTTCCCAAGGGTAGGCTATGTCCAGAAGTGGACAGTTAAAGGCTGATATGACATAATGATGATGGTGAAGACGGTGATGGCGGCGCGACTCACCTAGCGCGGCCAGGTAGTTTAGCAGCTCGAGCGCCCGCATCAGGGTCTCGGGCGCCGGCGGGTCCATGAAGTCGAAATGCACCAAGTCGTCGATACCCAGCTTTTTCAACTGCAAAACTACAGATCCTAAGTTTGATCTGCAACGGCAATGCGGTCCGGCATTAGATATGTTGCAACGGGCGGGCGGCGGGGCGGCGGGGCGGCCGGTCCCGGGTTCGTGGACGGTGGTTTGCAACATTAGTGGTATTTTTTTTTTATACCACTGAGGTGGCAAACAAGTATACGGCCCACCTGATGGTAAGTGGTTACCGTAGCCTATGAACACCTGCAATACCAGAGGTAATCCGCGTGCGTTGCCGACCCTGAAGAAACCTCTTTACCCCCCTTTTGAAGAACCCCATGCTGTAGTCTCTTGGGAAAACCTCGGCAGGGAGCTCATTCCACAACCTGAGTATTCGTAGGAGGAAACATCTCTGAAACCGCGCAGTACGCGACCATTGAGGCTGTAGGACATGAGGATGAACTCCCTGTCGATGGCGAGCCGTACGATGGTAGAAAGTGGCCGTGGGCATCATATTGAACAATTCCTCTGAGCACAATCCATTGTACAGGCGGTAGAATACGCAGAGTGAAGCAAAATCTCTCCTAAGACTTAAGGGTTCGATACCGCTTGTGAGCCTGGGATCATCGACAATTCTTATAGCTCGTCGTTGCAACGAGTCGAAAGGTTCAAGCTGGTATTTAGGTGCACCGGCCCATAAGTGACAGCAATACTCCATGTGGGGCCGGATTTGCGATTTGTACAGAATTAATCTGCTGCTGCTGATCCGGCGTGAAGTAATGCTTCGCTCTATTGAGCACACCGAGTTTTTTGGATGCCAGCTTCACCTTATCTTCGAGGTGGCCACGGAACTGTACGTCACTAGAGATGTCGACACCAAGGATCCCAATGCTTTTAGAGATGTTAAGAGACGTGCCTTGGAACTGTGGAGCCACAGCAAATGGGGTTTCCTTAGCGGAGAACGCGCAAGGTTGTGTCTTAAAAATTGTGGTATAGCAGGCGGCGGTCACCTGAGTATCTCCGGGTAGGTGTTGTCCTGCATCTCGTTCCTGTAGGCCTTCTCCGTGTAGAGGCGGAAGCACTTGCCGGGGCGCGTGCGGCCGGCGCGGCCGGCTCGCTGCTGCGCCGACGCCTTGCTGATGGGCGACACCAGCAGCGACTCCACGCGGATGCGCGGGTTGTACACCTGCGCGGATACACAACGTTACATACCTGTCCACTGCCTCCGTACATTGCATATATACCTGATCCTACCACGAGCGGTCAAATGACCGCTTTAAAATATAGTATGTATCTCAATATAGGAAGAGATTTTAGCCAATTGAATAGTGAACAAGTAAATAATAGTAAGTTGTGTAGGATGAACGTGCCTAGTTTAAATATGTACAAAAAGGACGCATCCCAATTGACAGATGACATTAGTCGGGAATTTTTCCGTTGGTTTCCCACCTCTGTTCCCGCTCTTTGAAGTCAATAAATATATATTTGCAAGTGAATAAGTTTTATTTAAATATAACAGGTTGTAAATATTGAAAAATGGCTTGTATGTCATATTATAGGAAACGTCAATAAGCTACATGGTGATACATTAACGTTGTACATTAAAATTCTGAAACCGTTCAAAAACGGCCATTTTAACCCACTTGGTAGGTTTAGTGTTAAAAACTGAACGGATTTTGATGGAAAACTCCTATGGGACCAATTTATAATTTTTGAGATAAAAAAAAATAACTTCCCAAGTCAGTTTACGATTAACGGAATTATGAGGTAACAAACGTTAAAAAAAATCATACAACCAAACTTAGAACGCCTTTCTCTTTGCAGCTGGTTGAAAAATCTAAACATCTTACTTTCAAAAGTCGCATACAGATCAATTCACTACCGCAGCGGCCAGCAACTGAGGCATTGATGGACGAACGTGCAAATGTGGGCGAAGTCGAAGCCGAGGCACACATACGTGAGTCCATCAATGCCTAGTTGTGGCCAAGGCTTGTATAGTACGTTTCTCAAACAATGCGCGGAAATCAAAACCACAATTTTATTTTTTAAGTTCAATAACGAATAATGAACAATAATAATTTTTTCACTGAATCCATAAACTATTATTTCTATAAAATAATGGGCCCCTTTGTAATTTTTGTTCTTGTATTTTTTATTTCTGTGTTTCATATCATTTGTTTCACTAAAAATTTAATACTCCAGAAACACAGGTTTTTTCATACCCACCTTGGGAGTTAGGGACTTTTTTTTTTATACAACTTAGAATGGCAAACAAGCTGACGGCCCACCTGATGGATAGTGGTAACTGTCGCCTATAGACATGAGCAGTACTGTGGACATAACAGAGTATACTGTTTCGCCCATGATACACCCCATGCGTTGCCATTCCTGAGGACTCAGGTGTTATTCCTCTGTACCCTGTAAATTCACGCCATATCCCACCGTTCAAACCGAAACACAGCCATGCAAACACAACTGCTTCACGGTTGAAACACGAATGAGTTGGACTTCACACTATATTGCAACAAAGAGTGAAAATAATGATTTACTATTATTATTCTATCCCTCAGTTTGGGATGCAAAGACTCAGCCAAGAAAGACTGGTGAAAAACTCAGTGGTTGCTTTTTTCAAAAACTTGAATTGTATAAACGATGTACCATATTTGTATGTATAGAAGGTAGACATACCTTCTGTTTAGCGAAGCCCGGGTCTATGACGAACACAACGCCATCTATGGTAAGCGACGTCTCCGCAATGTTCGTGGACACGACCACTTTGCGACCTATGGCGCCGTTGGCTTTGTTCGGCGGCGCCGCCTCGAAGATTCTGGAAACATAGTTATTCGTGATTCGCATAATTGTTTTAGTGATCATCGTACCAGCTGGTAACTGTCCACTGCTGGACATAAGCCTTGTCCATAAAGGGAGTTTTGCCTGTAGTTGCCACGCTTGGCAGACAGGTTAGTAACAGCATCTAGCTGGCTTTGGTGATGTTTTAAGAAGGATACTGCTGTCTACCCCTCGATAATTATTAGGGGGAAAGGGATCGTTAGTAATGGAGACTGAGAATCCCATTGCTAGCAATATACTCAACCAGGTCGACCCCCTCGTGGTTCTCCCTGGAAACTATCATGGTTAATTCCTGATGAATTCATCATGATGTGCAAACTGGCCTGTTTTCATTCTCATCTATCACCCTTCACTGGTGCTCCGCCAGCGTATCCCATTAGCGCAGGCGGGGTTACCATACAATTTTTACCCATAAAAAAAAATTCTAAAATTTTACCAGCGAGTTACATAGGCCAAATATTATTTATTTGAAATTCTTGTCTTCCCATGCGAGGCCGGACTGAACAACTAGTTTTAAATATCCCAACTTACCTCTGTTGCAGATTCGGTGGTAACGTAGAATACAGCGGTATACACTTCAACTCTCCAGCATCTGGTCCCAAATTGTCTATCTCCCTTTTTATCCTTTTACACGCATCTTCTATCTCCTCCTGGCCCGTCAGGAACAGCAGTATATCGCCAGCAATCTCTTCGCATATGTGTATTTGTATCACGGTCCTGATTGCTGCTTCTAAATAGTCCCTCTCCGGTTGCGGGGTGTAGAAAATCTCAACAGGGTGGGTACGGCCTGGTACATTCATCAGCGGTGCATTATCAAAGTACTGTTGGAACTTGCCAGCATCTAATGTGGCCGACATGATCACCAGTTTGAGATCTGATCGCTGTTTTATCACTTCCTTCAGCACCCCCATCAGGATGTCTGTGGCCAGCGTCCTCTCGTGGGCTTCGTCGAGGAGTATCACTCGGTACTGTTCCAGCATGGGGTCGGACATGGCCTCGCGGAGTAACATACCGTCTGTCATGTATTTCAGGACAGTCTGCGGACCGGAGCAGTCTTCGAAACGGATGCTGTAGCCCACTTGTTGTCCTGGAAAGAGGAGTTTTAAGATGAGTAATTTCTTGTTTATGTATGTATGTGTTAGCAGTTAATTGTTTATTGCTGAACATGGCTTCTCCCATAGGAGGGGGGGGGGGGGGTTTACAATAGTTATTACATTTAGCAGGCAGGTTGGCAACTACAGTTTGGCTACAGTTTTAAGATGGACTTACTACTACTAGATGGATTATTTTAACTTAATCTGGGACTTAGTCGCCTCTTACAACACCCACGGGAAAAGAAGCCTGCCGGGACCAAACGGCAAAAGACCCGAAAGGGGGCTTGTTAGTAATACAGACTGCCAGTCCCATTGCTAGCAACATACCTCGTCAGGTCGACCTCCATGTGGTCCTGGAAACCATCGTACTGAATTCCAGGTGTATTTATCGCGATGCACTAACTGACTTGCCTTTTCATCCTCACAATAGGTGAGGATAAAAAGGCAAAGAAATCTTTTCCTGGTGCCCTGTTAGCGTATATCGTTAGCACGAGCGGGGCTACCAGTCCATTATCATCCATTAAAAAAAAAAAACACGGTAAAAGAGTAAAAAGAGCTAATATGTAGATACCTAGATGGACCTGTGTCCACCAAATAGGAGACGTGCTGAAGAAGGGCCAAATTAAAAGTACCCGTAACCGGCGAGCGTGTATGAAAAGATTGATGAATGTGGAGGAAGCGAAAGAGGTTTGTTTGAATCGAAGCATTTGGCGTTCCATTGTTTCTGCCTAGCATAATGGGAGACAGACGTGACAGATAGGTGTGTATGTAGATGCTAACCTAAAGCGACGTCCATTTCCTCAGCCACCCTCTGTGCGACAGACATGGCCGCGACCCTCCTCGGCTGCGTGCAGGCCACGCCCTTGGACTTGCCAGCGGTGACGGCCGCGAACTCCACCGACCACTGCGGTATCTGTGTGGTCTTGCCGGAGCCCGTCTCGCCGACCAGCACCACGCACTGGTGCGTGTTTAGGAGCCGCATGAAGTCGTTCTTGTACTCCCATACGGGGAGGCCCAGGCGCCGCCTCAGCAACTCGTGGTAGCGCTGCGAGTGTGGCAGACCTGTGGAAATTTTTTTTTTTAACATAATAACTAGTTACTAACTAATTAATACTAATTGCTAATTTCAAGAACATTTACCTTATTTATTTTACCAGAGGGAGACTTTGAATAAAGTCGTTTGCTTGGGCACCTTTGTTCCATTCATGTTTCTGGCATGAAGCAGTTGTGTTTGCATCAGTTTGAAGGGTGGAATATGGCAGTAAATTTACAGGGTACAAAGAAATAACACCAGTGTCCTCAAGAATGACAACGCGTGGGGAGTATCACGGGCAAAACAGTATATTCTGTTATGTCCATAGTACTTTACATGTCTAGGCGACGATTACCACTTTCCATCAAGTGGGTCGTAAGCTTGTTTGCCATTCTAAGTTACATTAAAAAAAATACTATTTATATGCGCAAAGCGGTTTGCGTCTTTCTCCATTATGCACACAGCCAAGGAGTGGAACTTCCTGTTTATGTTTTTCTAACTAAATATAATCTACATTAATTTAAGGCAAATATGTATAGGCTAATTGTGGGCCCGTGAGCCCCATCTTAGACCACATCATTGCTTTTGAACAGGTGAGATTGTAATCAACTCTTTCAATAATAAAAAATAAATTGTGGACCCAGTAAACATTATTCTGGCATATAAATTGGGCATCATCATCATCATCATCACATCAGCCTTTAACTGTCCACTGCTGAACATAAGCCCCCTTTGGGGAATTTTACCAGTAGTTGCTACGCTTGGCAGGCAAAGTGGCAACTGTAGTTAGGCTTTAGAAATGTTTCAAAAGGGACACTGCTGTCTATCCCTTACTTTCCCTTAGTCAGCTCTTAGGACACCCAGGAGAAAGGCTGGGGTGGCCTATTCAATGCTGGACTTTGTTAATTTGAAAATGATAAGACAGTATTTAAAAGAGATTTAAGTTGAAATAAGGAAGTATGAGCTAAATACTCACCAGTGAAGGGGTTGACTCCTGGCGTGCTGGTGGCGGTGGGCGGCATGCTGGTGCCGATGGTGGCCACAGTGTCCGTGGACGACTCCCCGCTGCTACCCGACTTCGCCGCCGCAGCAGCTTTTTCCTCCCTGGGGATTGACGAGAGAGCAATTCGGTATAATCTACTATAGTTGTAAAAGCAAAAATTTTATGGTGAATTTTGAGGTTGGTTGCACACGCGTCACGCTTTTATACAAAATTTTGCGAATGAAATTTGGTACACTAAGAAATTGTTTTAATTATTTATTTATTAACTCTTTATAACACCTCTTTATTGTAAGGTTGGCTAAAACAAAAACAGCCGATTCAACGAATGGCACATCATTTTCCCACTGGAAATGCACCACAGCCATAAAATTAACGATTCTTAGTTTTGACGCCACACAATCTACATGACGCATGGTACGTAAGTTTCCCCCGCCAATAGCGCTTGCTCGTATGTAGTTTGGTATACTTGTGGCGTAACTTTAATATGAATATTACATTGTTGTTTTTTTAGTATTTTATTGTGAAATACTACGAAACATTTAATTTATTTGTATTGAATTTATTCGATCAGTCCCTCTCTTAACACTAACTTTCAACTAACTGAACAAATTTGAATGAAATTTGGTACACTGGTAAGTTATAATTTAACTTAGAAAATAGATTTTACACATTGATTCGCTCAAGAGAAGCCATTTTTTCCCGTAAGTAAGAAAACCTTTTTTTTCCCTGTACCTTACACAGAAAAAAAGGGTAGGTATATACCTACTTATACTTTTTTTGCAAAGCAATTGAATGGATTGTAAGAAATTAAATGATAAAACTGCTATATGAGATTTTACCAATAAAATTGTAACTGAGCAATATTTGGACACAGAATATATTTAAGAGAAATGGACATGAGGTATTTTAATAAGATCAATGTAGGCTGTAAACAATAATTTTTAGAACTTTTTGTCTGTTTGTATATTTGTTGTAATATTACACAAAAACTAATGCATCAAAATGGGGGGGCAAAGGGATTGTTAGTAATGGAGACTAAGAATCCCATTGCTAGCAATATACCTAACCAGGTCGACCTCCTCGTGGTTCCCCCTGGAAACTATCATGATTAATTCCAGATGAATTCATCATGATGGGCTAACTGGCCTGTTTTCATTCTCATTGATCACCCTTCACTGGTGCTCCGCCAGCATATCCCGTTAGCGCAGGCGGGGTTACCATTCCATTTTCATCCAATAAAAAAAAAATGCATCAAATTGGGTGCAGTTTTCACAGTTGTGTTTCTGAAGTTGTAACTTAAAATCTTGTGTATTTTATTTATTTTGATACACCAATTAGAAAAAGTCTAATTTAATAGATTTCCTACTTCTGATATCATGCATATAAAGTAACAGGCAAAAAACTAAGTAAATTTTTTTACATTTTACATTTAAAAAATATAGCACCTGTCTTGTATCTATGGCTCATAAGCTATGGACTATTTTAGTGTGTTGGATTATGGACTAAAATATTGAAAAAAATATTGGTAAAACAAGACTAAGAAGTAAGTCTATAAGTTTGACAGTTCAGCACATTCCGATCGGTGACTGTTAATAAACATTAAAAAAAAATTACTTAGGTAGATATTTTTATGAGTAATAATAACTATTTTATATCTAATTCCCACGTGCTATTAATAAATTTAAATAACATATCTAGTGCTTACGGTTTAAACTTGTTTAACACATCGACCGGTCTAAGTAAACATTATAAAAAAAAAATTATTTTATGATAAATCTATGAAACTAAATAAGAGGAGAATAAAAATATGTTAATAGATGTAAATAAATAGAATATCAAAACGAATTTAGGCCAAAATTAGCTACAAACAAAGGCTAAAAAACGCATGGTTATTGATTGGCAAATACGATTAATAGTAAGTTTTTCTGACCTTTTTTTCTTGATAAAGGGATCCATCATTTCTATACGTCGTTTAGACATAACTCATTCAACACTGAATCAAAAAATTTAACAAGAAAAATCTAAATCAATTTTGGACGATACCTACGCCACTAAGAAAATGGCGATCGAAAAACTAATAAAAAAAATATGTTTAATTGTTTATGGCTAGTTTGTCAATACTGGAACTCCGTCGACGGTCAAAATTAATAAATATCCGTTGTATTGTTGAAAAATATCTAAATTAGATATCCTTTATTGAATAGTTTATAAAAACTAAACAAGCACACAAAAAATTATAATCGGTATGGTTTAACCTAGCGCTGGATTCCAATAATAATTGATGTTCAAATGTACAATCTGAAACTTAGTGTACTCTTTATTCACTGCTATTTATACAATGACAATGAGTGAAATTCTTATTTTTTACATACTTGTTTGTTTATTTCATTTCTATTATTTCTTTTAAGGATAAAAAATCTTTCAATAGAAGTCGATTATTATTTTTATACTGTAAAAGGCTCATTTTGAAAATAAAAATTATGTCAAAATTTTCGGCTATTTGGTATAAAAATATAAGAACGAGTTTTAATATAAAGATGAAACATAAATGACTTGTTTTCTGTTTGCAGTATTCGAAATTCTGCCATTATAATTTATTCTTGGTAAAATATACAATAAAATTCTTTTAATACTTTAATATTTTAATAATTTGATTCTATCAATAATTAATAATAATACGCTTCAAAACAATGAATAATCATACAGAATTATACATATCGTCATAGTCGTAGAATAGTAGAATACTGACGGATCTGACAAATATTACATATATAGATCCGTCAGTACACACTATGACGATAATATATGCGTTTTACTACTTTCAACTTAAATTTAGAAATTCTTTTGCCTTACTCGCCGAAAGCATTGTTTTCTTCACGTTCCGTTATATCAAATAATTTTGTATTGAAGATATGAATTACTTTGTACTAAAGATAGATTAAAATATTTATTTAATTTTAGAAATGCATTTTTTTACAATAATTATGTCTAAGAAATTATTTGTGCATCGTGATACAAAGACGCGAAAGCTCTAGTATGATCATAATAAATGTGGTATATAGAAGAAGCATCCACTTCTTGTAAGACACTGATGATAAATCGGAACGTCATTGTTCATTCATAAATGTCAGACCCAACAAGGGAATTGCGTATTTTGATTGCATGAAATAATAAAAAATATTACAAATCACATTTGTAAATGTGTAAATATTGTGTGAACTATTTCAATGCTACTATTATTGTTATTCAGTGTTGGGTTTTAGTGTAGTGTGACACGCTAATTCATTTAATGAATAATGTGTAAACGAAAAACGAATTATTGTTATAGAATTTTGTTATAATCTCGAAAACGACTCCGATAAGTGGTGTAATTATATTTTATTCTATCAGACGTGAGTATTAAATTAATGTTCACATTTATTTTGTCTTTTGAAGTTATGATGTTTTATAGGTATATAAACCAAGATGGCGGAACTTGTCCCAATGTGTCCTATTTTGTTTATGTTATTTTGTAAACGCGACTAAAAATAAATTTAAATTACTGTAATATATATTGAGATAACATGCAGTTTAATTTAGGCTTTGAATGTGACATTTAGTGGATTTAACTATGAGGTCATAAGAGGTTATTGAACTTGTTGAAACCTGTCCAAGTTTCCTATTGTTTAGTAAGAATTTAATATTTGTAAATTTTTAGTAACGTATCAAGAGATTAGATTGGTTATAAATATTAGTCGCATATCTGCGGAGAAACCTAAATAAAAAATTTGGAATAGGGCAGTCTTTAAAGTTTATTTATTAAACTATTACAAGAAAACGATGCAAACAGTATAAGGTATTCATGAAACAAATTTAGTATTTGTAAAAATCGGAGACTAGAATAGGTATACTTGATAGGTTAAAGGTTGGCTGTTAATAAATAAATAAAATTGTTTTTTTTTATTCAAGTAAACTAAATTGTAAGAATTTTTTAATAGTAATTTATTTATGACGCTACCACTCAGTACGGAATTAAATTTCTACTGAGAAGAATGGACAAGTGACACAGCTATTACTTCTTTATTTTTTTTAATAAAAGTTGAGTTTATAGTAAATTTGTGAATGGACAAAATGTCTATCACAAACTTTGTATTGATTATGAAAAAAACAAAAAGCTATACTTATGTGTGACATCCCTGGTGTTACAAGTGTCCATAGGCTACAGTAAGCATGTTTACCATCAGATGGCCTGTATGCTTGTTTTTTTTTGTTTACCTCTATTGTCGTATTAAAAAAACTCTTAGCTTACCCATTTCTTAATTAAAAATGGATATAAAAAAAAATAACTAGTTACAGTTACAAATTTCTTATATTAAAACTGCACCCTCTTACAATAAACTCTTTTGAAAGTACTTTTGTTGTATTTTTTTTCTATTATTATAGACTGGTTGTTATCTATGGTTTTGCCCCTTTGATGATTCAAATGTATATGATGGATCCTAATGTCATCAGTTATCATTCTAATTGAGGATAAGTGTAGGGGGAAAGGGATTGTTAGTAATGGAGACTGAGAATCCCATTGCTAGCAATATACCTAACCAGGTCGACCTCGCGGTTCTCCCTGGTAACTATCATGGTTAATTCCTGATGAATTCATCATGATGGGCTAACTGGCCTGTTTTTATTCTCATATATCTTTTATCCCTTCACTGGTGCTCCGCCAGCGTATCCCATTAGCGCATGCGGGGCTACCATACCATGTTCACCCATCAAAAAAAAAATAGAGTATAAGTTAAAATTTTAAATTTTATAGGAGATAAAGAAGTTGACTGTAATACCTGTTTGTATTTAAATTTCAATTTATAATTAATAAAGTATATTGTTAGACCCTGTCAGGCAATGCAATTTTTTTTTATCAACCAGTTTCAGTATACAGAAAATGTTTAAAATAAAAAAAATTATTCAGAGTCATAAAAAAAATAATATAATAGAGTTTGTAAACAGCTTATATTAATAGTAGGACATCAACATAGCAACTATTGTGACCACAATGATTCATCAGTACATTAATTCGAATCAATTAAAATTATTGTCACTAATTAACAATACCGGTTTGTACACTAATACTTGACAATATACAGTTAAATAATCCCTCACATGCTGGTTCTGTGGATTTAAATCATTTGATAATATTTAAATTTAACTTACCATAAGTTAATAGAGATTAGTATTATTAAATTGTGTCCTTGGCACTAGATAAAAGTATTTAAAAGTTAAAAAAAAAGAGCATTCTTTTTTTAAATTTAATGTTTGTGGTTATTAATTTTTATTAGAACACCAATTTGAATTTTTGGCGGGTAAGCGTTGTGTTTATAATCTCGAAGATTAGATACATTTTCTTTCCTTTATAACATACTTAATAACCCCAATTCTCCTTCGTACCTCCGCTCTCGATTTAAATTATTACCACCACCAATCCGTCCTAAACGCTCCTGTCAAGTTCAGTCCAGGATTCTCGACCTACCTTTGTGTAGAACACATTTTATGGGCAACTCTTTCTCGTATCGAGCTGCCCAATTATGGAACAAACTCCCTTCCCACATACAAGAGAGCCCTTGAATTACCTCTTTCAAGAAAAGGTTGAAGTTACATTTTCTTTCCTTTGAGTCATAATCTTAATTTATTTATTTTTATAATTGAACTGTCAAACTTTGAAATCATTGAACTAAATTTCTATTGTAGGTAGTATATTCATTTATTTTAACATCCACTGTATAAGTAAGTAGATATTATATTTATTTATAGTGTATGTATTTATGTAATATTTTATTATGTATCTTAATATTTTATTTAACTGTATATTTGTTTATGTATACTAAATATTAATAGTTGTAGCACTCCAGCTGCCCGCTAGCAACATGTTTTCTAACTGCATCGGGTTGACTGGAAGAGATCTCTGTCAGAGATAAGTCCACACTTGCTCGCAACATTTATAAATGCATTAACAATGTAATTTACAAGTGCAATAAAGAATATATATACTAAAGAATACATCCAAGTTGAGAATATAAGCAAACTGATTTATTTATCTTTTACCCTCAGTACACCAAATATCAACTGTCATTAGACATCTCTAATAAATACATAACATATACATTTTCTTTTTTACGATTTTTCTATTCTTAAATTACCTATCATTGTGTTCCTGTTTTGTTCAACATTAATTTATTTACTTTTCATTAAAACATCAAATTAACTCATGTTTCAACCGTGAAGCAGTTGTATTTGCATGGCTGTGTTTCGGTTTAAGGGGTGGGATATGGCAGTGAATTTACAGCGTATAGAGGAATAACACCTGAGTCCTCAGGAATGTCAGTGAAAGTCTGTTATGTCCATGGTACTGCTCATATCTATAGGCGACGGTTACCACTTTCCATCAGTTGGGTCGGCAGCTTGTTTGCCATTCTAAATTGTATAAAAAAATACATCTACACTAATATTATAAAGAGGAAAGATTTGTATTTTGTGTGTATGTATGTTTGTAATGAATAAACACAAAAACTACTTTGCCGATTTCAAAAATTCTTTTACCATTAGAAAGCTAAGTTCACCCTGAGTAACATAGGCTATATTTATTGCTAGAAAAGATTAGGGATCCTCACTAAAACTTTAGCAACGTAACTCAAGGTGTAAAAAAATGCTATAAAATATCTTTAGTCGCGTGCGCTGCGGAAACTATTGGTGATAGAACAAAAGTAAAAATAGGCTATATTTATTGCTAGAGGACGATATTATATGTCAATCTATTATCGTTATGTCACAATAGCCACTTTTAAAATTTGTTGTAAAAATGTCCACAGTGTGATTCCGGGCCTGCCCTCTAGTATTGTTATATTTTTGTATATATTTATTTATAATTTATGTTTATTTTCTTTATAGACTATTCATTTACTTTCTATACTCTTTTTTCCCTGTACCTTCCTTGTCCTATAGTACCTGCTAATCATTTTCTCTCTAACTGCACTGGGTTGGCTGCAAAAGTTCTTTTTCAGAGATAAACCCACCCTTGCTTAGGGGGAAAGGGATTGTTAGTAATGGAGACTGTGAATCCCATTGCTAGCAATATACCCAACCAGGTCGACCTCCTCGTGGTTCTCCCTGGAAACTATCATGGTAATTAACCATGATAGTTTCCAGGGTTCCATCCATCCTTGTGAATTCATCATGATGGGCTAACTGGTCTGTTTTCATTCTCATCTTGATTGATGGTTGCTCCGCCAGCGCGAGTGGGGTTATCATAACGTTTTCACCCATCAAAAAAAAACCCACCCTTGCTAACAAGTTGTTAAACGCTATATCTTTTTTTTCAAGTGTAATAAAGTATATATTTTTATAATTTCAGATGGTAGTTCGCTGGCCGAATCGCCCATCGTTCAAATAATACAAAAGCAATGGGTCAACAGACATCCAGAAAAAGTGAGTGTAACCTAGTTATGTTAATAATCATCATTATCCAAATGTCCCACAGCTGGGCGTGGGCTTCTCCCATTGGTCCTGTATGGTAGCTACAGTATTACACTTGTTAATATATTTTTTTCTTTTGTCTTTTCTTATTATTAGGGGTAAATAATGTCTGTATGCAGGGGGAAGGGATTGTTAGTAATGTGGACGACCAGTCCTATTGCTAGTAATATACCTTATCAGGTCGACCTTCACGAGGTCCCCCTTGGGAACTATTGTACTGAATTACAGATGTATTCATCACGATGGGCTAACTGACCTGCCTTTTCATTCTCACCTATCATCCTTCACTGGTGCCCCGCCAGCGTATACAGTTAGCGCAGGCGGGGTTACCATTCCATTATCACCCATTAAAAAAAGACATTTACTTTAGAAATAGTTCATTAGTTTATTATTAGATAGATAGATACTCTTTATTGTTTCCTCCATAAGATTTTTTTTTGATGGGTGAAAATGGTATGGTAACTCCGCCTGCGCTAACGGGATACGCTGGCGGTCCACCAGTGAAGGGTGATAGATGAGAATGAAAACAGGCCAGTTAGCGCATCATGATGAATTCATCAGAAATTAACCATGATAGTTACCAGGGAGAACCGCGAGGAGGTCGAGCTGGTTGGGTATATTGCTAGCAATGGGATTCTTAGTCTCCATTACTAACAATAATCTACTATTGTTATGTTATGGAGGGCGGGGGGAAAGCCCCCGCCCTCCATAACATTACAATAGTAAACTTATTATAGATACAAACAATTACAAGAAATGATCACAGTGAGACAACAATGGGCGACCTTATCGATAAGAGCGATCTCTTGCAGGCAACCTTTGGATGGAGAGGAGTAATTATAAATGGTTATTAAAGCATTGAAATTGTTTTAAATGCGTGGCGTGTGGCGCAGGCGCGGAGTGCACGTGCGGCTGCGGCGCGTGGGAGCGGCGGCGCTACGCGGACTCGCCCAGCAGCGTGCACCGCTACGTCAGCGCCGTCACCGACAGGTAGCGCCACGCACGCCTCACACACACGCCACACGCACGCCACGTGCACGTCTCACACGCACGACACACACACGCCACGTGCACGTCTCACACGCACGACACACACACGCGACACGCACATCACACAGGTACAGAGGAATAACACCCGAGTCCTCAGGAATGACAACGCATGGGGGGGGGGGTATCTAGGCGAAACAGTATACTCTGTTATGTCCATGGTACTGCTCATGTCTATAGGCAACGGTCACCACTTTCCATCAGGTGGGCCGTCAGCTTGTTTGACATTCTAAGTTGTATAAAAAAAAACACATCACACGCATGACATGACATGGCATCACATGGCATGCGTGTGGCGTTGTTGTTTGAATGTTTTTGAATGGTAACTTAATATAAAAACCATAATTACCTATATATAGACCTAGCATGATTATAATTTGTTACATGTGCCTTATTATAATAAAAATAAATTAAATATGGTGTCGCGTGCAGGTGGGCGGGCGGCGGCGACTGCGCGTGTCGGCGGCGGCGCTGGCGGCGCGGCGGCTGCGTGTGCACGGCCTACCGCCGCGTGCCCGACGACAGGTATGCAGCACATGTCCTCACCACCACCGGCTGCCCACAGCTCACCATAATAATAATAATAATAAACTCTCTATTGCGCACAGTAGAGATGTATACAAGGAGTATTTATACAGAATGTGCATATACAAAAGGCGGCCTTATCGCTATAAGCGATATCTTACAGACAACCTGGCATAAAGAATGGATAAGTACAGAGAGAACGGTAGATGGCGCTAGTCAGACACAGTAAATGCATAGGCTGGCAGGCGCAGGGGCAACTGCACTTAGGCTTCCAGTGATGTTTTGAGCCTCCTTGGCTCCTTGGCTACCGCCCATCATACATATGTCGTGTGATTACGTCATGCAATAAGCCACTCCTTTTCCCGTGGGTGTCGTAAGTGGCGACTAAGGGAGGGCGAGAGATGGGTTTTTTATGGGTGATAATGAAATAGTAACCCCACCCGCGCTATCGGTATACACCGGCGGGGCACCAGTGAAGGATGATAGGTGAGGATGAAGCAGGTCAGTTAGCCCATCGTGACGAATTCAACGAGAATTGTTCACGATGGTTTCCAGGGGGAGCCACGTGGAGGTCGACCTGATAGGGCATATTGCTAGCAATGGGGCTATCAAACTCCATTGCTAACAATCCCTTACTCTACTACTCATTATTATATATTTATAAGTGAATAAAATTGTGTCCTTCAAAAAAATTTACTTCCATTGTGACAACACCAGTTACTTCGGTCTAGAAATTGAACCACTGAACCGATTTTGATAAAATTTCTATCTGTACCAATCAGTAAGTATGTCCTTTCAGGTTAAAAAAGAATTTTCCAAAACGGTTCACAACTGACGGAGTTATGGGGTGACGAATATGGAAAAAAATACTACTGAATTTTTTTGATGGGTGAAAATGGTATGGTAGCCCCGCCTGCGCTAACGGTATACGCTGGCGGAGCACCAGTGAAGGGTGATAGATGAGAATGAAAACAGGCCAGTTAGCCCGTCACGATGAATTCATCGGGAATTAACCATGATAGTTTCCAGGGGGAACCGCGAGTAGGTCACCTGGTTGGGTATATTGCTAGCAATGGAGACTGAGAATCCCTATTAGAGAATTACTATTGTAGTAGTTGGGGGGAAGGGATTGTCCCTTTCCCCCCAATACAACCGAATTGAGAGCCTACTTTTTGAAGTCGGTTGAAAATAACAAAAACTATTGTCCGTATTCCAGATTGGCAGCGGTGCTGACCCTCGGCGCGCGTGACCTCAGACGCGAATTGGACGCCATCGTCATAAATGCAGGTCGGTGTCCACGGACCCTCGGAGCGGGGTGGGGGGGGCTGTTTTTTTTTTAATGGATGATAATGGAATGGTAACCTCGCCTGCGCTATCAGTATACACTGGTGGGGCACCAGCGATGGATAATAGGTGAGGATGAAGCAGGTCAGTTAGCCCATCGTGATGAATTCACATGAAATTCAGCACGATGGTTTCCAGGGGGGACCACGTGGAGGTTGACCTTTTTGGCATATTGTTAACAATGAGACGTTGTGACCTGTACGTTGTGTTGCAGACAGCGACAGCGGCCGAGAGAGCGGCGAGCCGGCCGCGGAGGTGTACGTGCTGTCGGTGGCGCCGCGGACGTGAGTACACATACACACATACACTACACATGCTACTATGTGTTACAATAAGTTATCTATGTTTTATATAACCAGAGGGAGACATTGTACAAAAGTCGTTTGCTTGTGTACCTCTGTCCCATTCGTGTTTCAACCGTGAAGCAGTTGTGTTTGCATGGCTGTGTTTCGGTTTGAAGGGTGGGATATGGCAGTGAATTTACTGGGTACAGAAGAATAACACCTGAGTCCTCAGGAATGGCAACGCATGCGGGGTATCATGGGCGAAACAGTATACTCTGTTATGTCCATGGTACTGCTCATGTCTATAAGCGATGGTTACCACTTTCCATCAGGTGGGCCGTAAGCTTGTTTGCCATTGTTGTATATGTATGTTTTTTTTTCTAAGGTGTGTAAAAAAAAAATATCTGTATTCACCACTGGCCTTTCTTATCTGTGCCGCCCACTATCTCTTCTCTGCAAACTATGGTGGCTTCCGTACGTACTTGTATTATTATTAATAAATTATTAATTTGTATCCATAAAAAACATAATAAAGCAGCTCCTCCTACTGTTAATCTCCACGTTATAATATATCAAATATGGAACAGCATGAAATAATCATGACAAGAAAGGTACGGAAAAATGTTACGCGTCACATGGTGGGAGAGAGGGTCAAAAATCTTCAAAACAACATTACGTTATACTCGAACGAGCCCTCAAACAGAAACACAGCCATTTATTTATTTGCTTATAAAAGACATACCAACAATATGCTCACAACAATTAAGCAGACAATGTACAATGTTATAAGTGAGTAAAAAGTGAAAAACTACTATTCAAAAATGCTTAAATCTAAGTTTACTTGAACAAAAACATCTCACTCCTCACTACCAAGCTTAAGGCCATATGAACACGTCTATTAAAGGTGTATACAGCTCTCACAGATATGCAAACTTTACGGCAGAAACACGAGTGGGACAGAGTCTACAGTGATCATTAATCATCGGACGGGCCGTATGCTTGTATGCCGCCTTCGTGGTATAAGAAAGAAAAAGAGGTTCCCAAGTAGACGACTTTTCACAAAGTCTTTCCATTGAATGCTTTAGTGTTACTGAATTCGACTGTATAATAAAAAATTATACAGTCGAATTCAGTAACACTACGCTCCCTACCCTGTAGAAAGGGGAAGGTCGTATTGTAAGCAACGGCTTTGAACTGCCCCATCATCAACATCCTACCGTTATCCCAATATTAGTGGTAACTTTTTTTTTTATAGAACTTAGAATGGCAAACAAGCTGACGGCCCACCTGATGGAAAGTGGTAACCGTCGCCTATAGACATGAGCAGTACCATGGACATAACAGAGTGTGTATGGTATCATGGGCGAAACAGTATACTTTGCCCATGCGTTGCCATTCCTGAGGACTCAGGTGTTATTCCTCTGTACCCTGTAAATTCACGCCATATCGCACCCGTCAAACCGAAACACAGCCATGCAAACACAACTGCTTCACGGTAGAAACACGAATGGGACAGAGGTAGCCAAGCAATCGACTCTTGTACAGTCTTCCTCTACTAGCAAAACCCTTCCCTTTGAGAGGAAACCTATGTTGAACAATGGAGAGTGGTGATGATGAGTAAGCTGACGAGTGGTTTGTCTGTCCGTGTGCAGGGCGGAGGGCGAGAGTCCGCAGGCCGGGCGCGGCTCGGAGCTGGTGCAGCCGTCGGACGGCTCCATACGCTTCCATCCGCATTTCCAGGTATGTGCCACCTTCATGCTTTATTTATTTATTCCGTCAACTAAGTGATCTTTACAGTCTCCCAATACAGTCACCCCTTTTTTTTTAACGTCTGGAAAATGCTTTATGCGCAGACCCATACACCTTGTGGGAGGTGAATGGGTACTGTGGGAATCCCCCCGTAAGGTGGGGGTGTACCCACTAAAAACCGGTATACCCTCGAGGTGCCATATGTCCGAGACGTGGGTTCGCTTTCGCACTCACCACATCTCATATGGCAGCGACGCGCCCCCTGATGGTAAGGGCAGGTCTCCTCTCTCAAGATAGGATGGATGGCTTACCCTACCACTCGGGGGATGCGCCGGTATATAAGCACATCCCCCAGGGAATACAGTCACCCTGGAAAGCATCAGTACAGTAACACTTATACCATATATATAATTCAAAGGAAATATGAATTTATAGCAAGCGTACATGGTGTTAGTGGATCATGCACGGGCTGCCAACGACCATGTAATTTTAGACATAGTACATTTCAAATAAACACACATAATGTTAACAGAGATTTAAAACAGTAACTGTTGAGTCTCTCGCGGGCTCTTATCAACAGATAACAAACTTTCCGAACGCTGCAGTAGATTAGAAATAAATGACGATTTCATAGTGCTTGTAAACAAATGTATTTGAATAAATATAAATTAAATTCGAAATAATAATTTATGTATATGTATGGTGTATTTGTACGATTAAATATAATGTAATTAATTTAATTTTGTCTGTTTAAAAATTGTCCCAATATTGTACACCGCTGTATCCGCTGACATTGATGCTCCTTTCCAATTTGGCTGTTGCTGGAAGAGAACTCTATCAGAGTTAAGCTCGCCTTTGTACATTTGATTACCTCTGTCATATTCTTATAATTGGTGTGTACAATAAAGATTTAAATAAATAAAATAGTACATTACTACTACTCCTCATTCCGTCTTCAAAGCACAACAAAAATGTATTAGAGCGATTTGTAATTAAATGTAAAAAAAAAAAATTAAATTTGGATGTTGACACTCATGTAGATCTCTATTTAAGAAACTTTGTTTACTCCCCTTACCTTACCTATATATTAGAAATCTGTATATTTGTAAAGGAATATCCTGATTTATTCACAACACACGGGGACATAAAGGCACAAGTCAGGACACAGAAAAAATAAACTACTTGTCCCGAAATGTTCATTGACGCTATATCAAAAAAACGTCTCATTTGTGACACAAAGAATATTTAATGGGTTACCTTCTGACATACAGGTATTGCCTCTGATTAAATTTAAAAAATACATACATACATACATATCTGTCACGCCTGTCTCCCATTAGGGTAGGCAGAAACAATGGAACGCCAAATGCTTCGATTCAAATGCTCCTTCGTTTCCTCCACATTCATCAATCTTTTAATTTAAAAAATAAAAATTAAATTTAAAAAAGAGCTACATATAGTAAATGGCTATATAGATATATATAAAAAAGTTTGTCCAAAAGCCATTTAGTATATATTCTATTGACATTTTTCTATTTTATAAATTTATTGTATTAGTTGTTATGTGTATAAATGACATAATGTACTGTAATCTAAACTTTTAATATGTAAGGTCAAATTAATTTTTTTTTTATATAAAATGTAAAATATTTGCATGCCTACATCTTTTAAGGCAATTAAACAGGTGCCAAAATAATACCACGTGGCTTGTAATAATTTTAAACTGTTCAATGCAAATAAACTCATTTCATTTTATTTCATTAAGCCTAACTGTGATTACCAATTTGCCTGCCAGGATAATACTGACACCCCCTCCCTCTAAATTGGGGGGGGCTTAGCAGTGGATAGTAAACGGATTTTTATAGAATGGTCTCATGTGCACACTTGTCCGTAGGTGGTGTGCGGCGGCGAGCTGCGTGCGCTGCTGCTGCGAGGTCCAGCGCTGCCGGTGCAGCAGCAACTGCAGCTGCAGCAGCTGCAGCCGCCGCCCACTAAGGTCCACACGCAGGTGCGTACACAGTTCGTTAAGTACATTCCTTCACAGTGGCAGTGGACTCGTCCACTGCTGTCGAACAGGTAATCGTTGGAGCAGATGTGTTCTGGTGTGGAGACCGCTAGTCGGCAAGTGTTCCTTTTCACCCATTCGTGTTTCAACTGTGAAGCAGTTGTTTGCATAACTGTGTTTCGGTTTGAAGGGTGGCATATGGCGTGAATTTACTGGGTACAGATGAATAACACCTGAGTCCTCAGGAATGGCAACGCATGGGGGGTATCATGGGCGAAACAGTATACTCTGTTATGTCCACGGTACTGCTCATGTCTATTGGCGACGGTTACCACTTTCCATCAGGTGGGCCGTCAGCTTGTTTACCATTGTAAGTTGTATAAAAATATATTTTGTATAAATTTAGATCGGGTAATACATTTCAACGTTTAGTATATATTGGATTTACGATATTTAACACTTAAAAGCCTGATTTTTTAAATCAAATTAAAAAACATATAAGTGTACCCTTTACTGTGTTTACTAATGGGGAAAAATAGTAAAAAAAAATCAAAACGATATTTTTATATATTTATTTTGAAAAAAAAAAAAACATTTGGTAACATGTAAACAGCCAAATATTAAAATAAAATCGATTGTAGGCGCCCAATGCGATTTATAACCCCGGTATCAAATTTGAAACTTCAGGCATTTAAAGGTTAAGGGTCGGCAACGCGTCCATAGTGGTCCATAGGGTACGGTAACCCCCTTTACCATCAGACTGACCGTATGCCAGTTACCGTAACTACAATATTGCTATATTTTCCCCTGCCGTTTGGTCCCGGCATAGACTAGGTCACCACTTCTTTTCCCGTGGGTGTCGTAAGAGGCGACTAAGGGAGGGCGAGGGATGGGCAGCAGCGTCCCTCTTAAAACATCTCCAAAGCCTAACTGCGGTTGCCAATCCGCCTGCCATGCGTAGCAACTACTGGCAAGACCTCTCTAAAGGGAAGCATGTTCAGCAGTTGAATAGTTAAAAGCTGATGTTGATGGTGATTCCTCCCCCCTTCCCCCTTCGTATCCCGAGTACGTTGACCCCTACTAACGTTATGTACCGTGCGTTCGCTCCGCAGGTGGACTACATCCACTGCCTGGTGCCTGATCTGCAGCAGATCACGGCGTGCTCGTTCTACTGGGGCAAGATGGACCGCTACGAGGCCGAGCGGCTCTTAGACAACAAGCCGGAAGGTGGGTTGCGACTACTGAAGTGCTGAGGGTTATATTATATATATATAAATTATTGTAAGTACGTTTATATATATATAAATATATAAATAAATATATATATATATATATATATATATATATATATATATATATATATATATATATATATATATATATTTTTTTTTTTTTTTTTACAACACAGGGGGCAAACGAGCATGCGGCTCACCTGATGGTAAGTGACTACCGCCGCCCATGATCACCCACAACACTAGCGGCATTGCAGGTGTGCTGCCGGCCTTTTAAAAAGGAATATACTCTTTTCTTGAAGGTTATGTTGTCGTATCGGTTCGGAAATACTGCTGCTGGAAGTTGATTCCAAAGAATGGTTGTGCGTGGAAGAAAGTGCCTTGAAAAACGCACGGTGGAAGACCGCCACTCGTCCAGATGATTGGGATGAAACTTTAGTTTGTGGCGGGTTGTACGGTGGTGAAAATCAGCAGCAGGTATCAATCCGAACAATTCCTCAGAACACTCCCCATGATAAATTCGGTAAAAGATGCACAGAGACGCAACATCTCTGCGCAGTTTCAATGGGTCAAGTCGGACAGTAAGGCGTTGACTATCGATAATTCGAGCCGCCCGACTTTGAATGCGGTCTAACGGAAGGAGTTGGTACTGTGGCGCTCCTGCCCACAGGTGAGAACAGTATTCCATATGCGGCCTGACTTGGGCTTTATATAATTTCAGGCGGTGTTCTGGCATGAAATATCGTCTCACCCTATTGAGCACTCCTAACTTTTTGGAAGCTATCTTAGCCTTCTCCTCCAGATGACCGCAAAACTGGACGTCGCAAGATATATCAACGCCCAGAATTCCTAGACTTGACTTTTTATCAAGGGAAGTGCCCTGAAAGTGAGGAGATACGACAAACGGCGTCTTTTTTGCGGTAAACGCGCAGACTTGTGTCTTTTTGGGGTTAAATTGGACAAGATTTTGTTCACCCCAGATCGAAACTTGATGGAGTGAAGTTTCGATTTCAGACACAAGTCTATTCCGGCACTCATCGGTATGTGCCCGCGAGATCTTTGCATGACCGGTATATAATGTATCTCCTGTACTGTCGTCCGCATAGCAATGAATATTACTTATCTGTAACATATCATTGATATGCAGAAGAAACAGAGTCGGAGATAGTACACAGCCTTGCGGGACACCAGCATTCAAAGGTTTTAAATCAGAGCATGCACCGTCGACTACGACCTTAATGCTACGTTCCTTGAGAAAACTAGCGACCCAAATGCACAGTCTCGCAGGCAACCCAAATGAAGGTAGCTTTGAAAGCAGCGCTCTATGCCACACCCGATCAAAGGCCTTCGCAATATCCAGACTAACTGCTAAGGCCTCTCCCTTACTCTCGATTGCCACTGCCCATCGGTGTGTTAAGTAAGCTAAAAGATCACCGGCCGAACGTCCCCGTCGAAAGCCATACTGGCGATCACAGATCAGCCGGTGCTCTTCTAGGTACCGGAGCAGTTGACGGTTAATGATGGATTCCATAACCTTCGAGAATAAGGAAGTGATAGCTATGGGCCTATAGTTAGCTGGATCTGAGCGATCCCCCTTTTTAGGGATCGGATGCACCAGAGCAGTCTTCCAAAACTTTGGGACTATGCCCGATGAGTAGCTAAGCCGAAAAAGACGCGTAAGAACCGGAGCCAACTCTGGTGCGCACGTCCTAAGCACAATTGGAGGAATACCATCAGGCCCACTCGACTTATGGATTTCGAGGGAGAAAAGTGCTCTACGCACTGAGCTATGCGTGAATTTAATGTCAGGCATAGAGCTCCTACAACACGTGATGGTCGGTGGTGGTTTCTCTCCGTCATCCAATGTCGAGTTTGACGCAAAGATGGATCCAAGAAGATCGGCCTTTTCTTTAGCGTTCTGGGCCAACGAGTCATCCTCCCTGCGCAAAGGTGGAAAAGATGACTTACAGAAATTCCCTTGTGCAGCTTTGGCAAGAGACCAGAAAGCTCGAGTCCCAGAGGGCAAACTAGCCAGTCTCTTGCCAATTCTACTAATATGCTCTGACTTCGCTGTGGCTATAACTCTTTTGAAAGACCTAGAGGCAGAGTTATACTTCTTTTTAAGAGCACTGGTGTTAGGATCTCGTGACGCCACACCTTTAGCCCAGGTTAGGAAGCACTCCTGTTTCAGACGAGATGCTGTTCTACAGGAGGCTCCATACCAGGGCTGGGATTTCCCGCCGACGGGCACCACAGAGTTAGGAATAAATAATTCCATTCCCTGAAGCACCACATCAGCAATGGAATCGGCAATGGCGTCGGGATCATCCAGTGTGAAGCAAACCTGCCTCCATGGGTAAGATGCGAAAAAAATCCGCATCTCATCCCAATCTGCCGACCTGTAGTGCCAAATGCGACGTCTACCCGTAGAACGAGGTGGAGTCGGACTCGTAAGAGGCACTTCGCTCCGCACCAAACAGTGATCCGACGATCCAAGCGGGGCTTCGACGGAGATCACATAGTTGTCTGGGTGGGTGGTCAGCAGAAGGTCCAGCAGTGAAGGTGAATGGTCCAACACATCAGGGATTCGCGTAGGCGAGGAAACAAGCTGTGTCAGACCATAAGCCAAAGCAAAGTCATGAACAGATCTTCCCGCATAGTCGGTTGTACGCGAACCAAGCCATTCGGCATGGTGGGCATTAAAGTCGCCAACAATCACGACTTCAGCGGAAGGAATCTGCTCAAGCAGGGAATCTGTAGCTATTTGGACGTGCTCAATTAGTTGGTCGGTTTCAGTGTTACCGCTGTGGGACCTGTATAGGCACGCATAGATGCGGGGATGGTCATTGCAATCTACGCGCAGCCATAGAATGGACAGGTCCGTACCTTCAAGAGTCCCAAGGCGTCGACAGCAGATATCCTCTCTGACATACGCACATACACCGGCACGCGAAACAAAACAATGTTCAAGCTTATACCCCGGGTAGGTTAGGTATGATGTTTCGTTAGGAGGGGATATCTGTGTCTCCGTGAGGAAGAGCAATGCCGGCCGCGCCGTTTCTAGGTGGTGGTGGACAGCGTTCAGGTTTGAATGAATTCCCTAATATTACAGAGGCTCACATTGAGCAAAGGGGATGCCGCAGAAGTCTTGCTCTGTTTGCCCTTGGTCCCATAGAGCGGAATTTTGCCCCCCCCAGAATACGCAGGGCAGCCCGAGCGTGGTTGCTCGAGGGAGGATTCTCCAGCAACATGGCTGCTGGTACCTCCCTGGGGTACGTTATTTTTTTTTAAATTCCACTGCCATGGTATTGAAAGATGGGGGGACGGAGTTGGGGGAGGATTTTAGGATAAGGAAGGGGATGGGTATAGGATGGGCCTCCGGACTCCCTCACTCACCATACGGAATGTGGTCGCACTAAAAGTGCGGCCACTTAGCGTCGGTATTCTGTGAGGGTGTGGTACTTCCCCGGTCGAGCCGGCCCATTCATGCTGCAATACCATATGGTATTACAGCGTGGCTCTACCACCTTAAAAAATATATATATATATATATATATATATATATATATATATATATATATATATATAGGCCGCCCATTGTAATCTTATGGAGGGAACAATAAAGAGTATCTATCTATCTATTATGCGACTCTGTCACGTCACTGAATAGTATAAAATGGGGTCTATTTTGGGTCGTCTGGGCGTACTCGTGTTAGCGGCGTAACGGCGTGGTGGCGGCTACAGACATGTGGGTTGTGCAGGCACGTTCCTGCTGCGCGACAGCGCGCAGGAGGAGCACCTGTTCTCGGTGTCGTTCCGCAAGTACGGGCGCTCGCTGCACGCGCGCATCGAGCACTACCAGCACCGCTTCAGCTTCGACTCGCACGACCCCGCCGTCTTCGCCGCCTCCACCGTCACCGGCCTCATCGAGCACTACAAGGTACATCTTCCAAATTAAACGAAAAATGCTTAAAAGAATCCATTTCACAGCTAGGTTTCACGATCGACTTTTTTTTTTATACCACTGAGGTGGCAAACAAGCATATGGCCCACCTGATGGTAAGCGGTTACCGTAGCCTATGAACGCCTGCAATACCAGGGGTATTTCGCGCGCGTTGCCGACCCTGAAGAAATCACTTTACCCCCCTTTTGAAGGTGGGTAACGACTTAAAGTGAACTTGTTCTTTTATATAATTTTTGGGCATTCAATGTAACGATGGAAATTTCCACCAGTATGCAAAGAAGGGTTGAATTTTTATATACATCTGGCAGTTTATTGTAGATTTTTGGGGCCATACATATGTTTTTTTTGCTATTTAGTGGTTTTGGCTGAACATATATATAATCGATTTTTTTTACGTCTCTATTTCGATTATTTTTGTCAGGTAAACCTGGAAATAGTTTTGGATTTAATTTTGCAAATAAGGCCATTTCAAATATATGTATATAAAGACGGAAGTGTGAATATTATGTTTCTTCCTGTATGTTGACTCCTGATGAATTCGTCATGATGGGCTAACTGGCCTGTTTTCATTCTCATCTGTCACCCTTCACTGGTGCTCCGCCAGCGTTATCGTAGGCAAGAGTATAACCAGTATCATAGACAAGAGGAAACTCTTAAATGAAAAGAGAAGAGAGGATAAGGAAGTGTTTTCCAGTAGTCGTCATTCTTGGCAACTATAGTTAGACTTTGGTGATGTTATAAGAGAGAAGCTGCTGCCCATCCCTCGCCCAGGAAAGGAAGGGCTGACCCATTCTATGTCCAGACCACAGTGCATAAACTTTGGTATATTTATAAATTTATTTTTGTTTATAAGTAATGGTTAAAGAAGTCCGTACATGCGCAGGACCCGGCGTGCGTGATGTTCTTCGAGCCGATGCTGACGGCGCCGCTGCCGCGCTGCGAACCCTTCAGCCTGCAGCAGCTGGCGCGCGCGCTCATCGTCTCGCACACCACCTACGACGGTCGGTACCAGCCGCACCGGTATATCAGGGGTTCATAGGCTACGGTCACCGCTCACCGTCAGGTGGACCGTAGGCTTGTTTGTCACCTCAGTGGTATGAACACACCACCTACTGCGATCAGTTCGTTTGATACTCATGTTCGGTGCATAGATAATTGACACCAAACAATGGCGTCAAACTCATCGAGTTATATCGATGCGTTTGACCCAAAAACGAGAGTGCCGTGTCCGTCAATGTGACGTGCATTCATTAACATAATAACATAATATTAAAAACATTTATTTAACATTTAAGAACTTTATTATTTGAAGTTCCCACCACCGCGACCCCTACTTTAACCCAACATTTTGGTCCTTCGAGCCGGATCTGAACCAGCGACCTATGGATCAATAGGTTTGGTAGAGGGGAAGGGATCATTGTAATGGGACACAACAGCCCCATTGCTACATTGCTAACAATATATTTATACCCCATCAGATTGACGAGTGAGAGAGTGACGAATTCAATTCAAATCAATAACGATGGTTACCAGGTGGAACTCCGTCGAGGTTGACGTAATAAAGTATATTGCTAGCCATGGGATTGCAAATCTCCGTAACTAGCAATCTCTTCTCCTCCCGGAAAGGAAGGGGTGGCCCATTCCATGCCGGGACCACACGGCCCGTGGCATTTACCCGTCACTATGAATCCTCAGGTGTGGAGAAGCTGCCCCTGCCGGCTCGCATGCGCGCCTACCTCAAGGAGTACCACTACAGGCAGCGGGTGCGCGTGCGCCGCCTCGAGCCGGACCTGTACGAGCCGCACCACTGCTGAGTAACGTAAATGAATAAATGAATATATACACATACAAACACACATCACTCGACACCGTAGTGATAATGGCGGCCGTCTGATCACGTCACGTTGTTTTCAATACCTTAAAAGCACAGCCGAGGAGTTTGTACCTGAATAGGTGGAGATGAAGGAAGAAAAATAAATACGTTCATTATTGAGACCAGTTATTGTACAGTGTATGAAATATTTGGTTAAAATACAAGGATTTTTATATATTCTTTATAGCACTAAAACATACAGTAACAACAATAAGTTAATGACAATGTTAGCAAAGGCGAACTTGTCTCTAAAAGAGATCTCTTCCAGTCAACCTAACGCAGTGGCGTAGGAAGTAGTGAGTGGGCAGTAGTAGTGCAAGACAGAAATTTAAATAAATATTTACATTATGTACGAAATAGAGTAATCTTTATCTTATCAAGTTGTTTACTGAAACAAAATGGGGTTTTTGAGATCACTTATTTTCTTTGGTATATCATGTCACGTGTCAGCTATATAGTGAATACCATTTTAGCGCCATCTAGTTCCAAACTGGGGTACTATTACGATGTAATAATTGAAAAAAAAAAGCGAAAATATTTTTAAATAGAACGTTTATTACCAACAACAATAATAATAAATAATAATTAAAGTTAAAATAAACAGTAATAAAGAAAGAGAGAGAGAGAAAAAGTCACTACATTTTGCCAGTAATAGGGTTTTATATCAATAAATTACTTGATAAATAGATTTTTCTATTTTTCCTTCTAACACATGTATTTATTCTATACAATAACTGCCTCTCTACGTAAGTGGAAAGCGAATTCATCGATGGAATAAACATCGCTGGCGAGTTCGTGAGGTTAAATGAGATAGCAACGTCTTACGTCTCTTTCTAACTCAAGGACACTCCATCGACGTCGATTCCACGATGGATTTGCTAGTCACTTGAGGGCCATGGGCTGTTAAGGTATTTTTTTTTCATATTTGATATAGAAATATGGGTATTTTAAACAAATAACGATATGTCATGGCGTGTGGACGCGTGTGGCCGCCTGTTAACTCTTAGCAATAATTGAAAGAACTGTTAAAAATATAATATGTTTTTATACAAATCATATAAAGGTTGGATACCTATGTATGGTAATGTTAATTAAGTATTGCAATTCAAAGAATATAAAACTAATTACATCCTGTATAAGAAACGGTTATATTTTCTCTTTAAAAGAGTCCTTTGTAAACTGTCGTTGAGAAGAAAATTGTTTTAATTATGACAAGCAATATACAGGGTGGAAGGGACAGGTTGGCCACGAAAACAGCTGATAAGAAACGGTTATATTTTCTCTTTAAAAGAGTCCTTTGTAAACTGTCGTTGAGAAGAAAATTGTTTTAATTATGACAAGCAATATACAGGGTGGAAGGGACAGGTTGGCCACGAAAACAGCTGATCCAGATGAACGGTCTGAATCAGATTGGCAGATTGTTCTCCCGCCGGTAATGCACCGCAGCCGTATAATTAGCGATACTCAGTGTCGACGCCGCGCAATGTACTTGCAATATTACGATGGCCGCGAGGCGCGATACTCGTGCGTACAGCGCGCGGTCAGCGGTCAGTGCCGCCTCCTAGTACGTAGTGTCGTACGCTCGTGGCGTTCACCTCGCACAGCTGACTGCGCGCGTCGCGGTAGCATTTTAATACGTGTATTGCATTGTTGTTTTTTGGTATTTCATAGTGTTACGCTATATTATGACATATCATAGATTACATGATTTTAAATGAAAAAAAATTTAAATTTTTCGTAAAGTTTTCACTCGTTTTCAGTGCAGTACAATAGTCTGAATTCATTTGTTGCCAACCTCACCCTTACACCCTGTATACATGGTGTCTATAGTTTAACCATAAGAATGAATACACTGCGGTAGAAGTGACACCTACATATGCTGTTACTCCCAATATATATATATCCCCAACACAGTTTTTTTTTAATAGATGAAAATGGAATGGTAACCGCCCGCGCTATCGGTATACACCGACGAGGCACCAGTGACAGATGATAGGTGAGAATGAATGCAGGTCAGTTGGCCCACCATGATGAATTCGACAAGAATTAAACATGATGGTTTCCAGGGGGAACCGCGTGGAGGTCAACCTGAGAGGGTCAATTGCTAGCAACGGGGCTATTAGACCTCATTACTAACAATCCCTTTCCCCCCTTCCCAAACACAGTTAGGTGAAATACAATATCTTAGGTTAGGAGAGAGGTTTGGAGTAATGCCGCCTCGCAGCCGAGCCTTTTGCTATTTCACACGAGTGTAAGTCGTAACTGGATATTTGTTCTTATGGTGAGACAGCACTCTTGACTAATTATAATTACGTATACACAAATTAAACTTAATTCCCATTATATTATTTTGTAAATATCGATTTTTATACGAAATGAACAATGTTTGTTTTATTTAAGTGTTCGTAAAGTGTAAATTATCAAGAAGCGGAATAGCCGAATGAAGGTTACAGTCTTTGATGGAATGCATATTTCCCCTTACAAGATTTGTTTGTACAAAAATAATAAAAAAATAAATAAAAAAACTAATTCCAATCGTGTAAGTTTAGAATATTTCACAAGGTCGTCATATTAGCTTATAACTGGCCACTGGTGAACACAGGCTTCAACAATAATAGGTCTTGCCAGTAGTCGCCACGATTGGCAGGCGAGTTGGCAACAGGGTTTGGGCTTGGTGACGTTTTGATATCACTGCGAATAAAAATTATTTCACTAAAATTATAATATAATAAAATGTAGCAGTAATTTGCATGCCTACACTCGTGGCAATCAAGTTGTTTTGATTTAAAAACCAAACCATAAGCCGATTGTAATGAAATTTCCACGGAACCATTCTGAAGGTATATCCTTTCAGATAAGAAAAAAGTTTTTTTCCAAATCGGTATATTAATGATGAAGTTTTGAGCTGAGTTTAAGAGAAGTAATTTAACCAAGGCGATTTTCGTGAACGCGTATAGGTCGACCCGGTTATCCCCCCCTCATTCAATTCCCATCCTCCCCACAAAAGATTTCCTAATTTATTAATTGTCCCTTCAAAACGCATTAATACTGTAATCTTTATTCAGGTATACATACATTAGGCATGGGTAATATACATACCGATCCGATATCTATATATTGGGTGCCTCTGGACACTGATGGATAAAAGCTCATCACCCATTCCGATATCGTCCATATCGGTCGGATATCTATTTTCGAATATATTAAAAGTCTGTTCTCCAATGTTATTTTTTAGTTAACACACTTTTAACATATTCGTTATTGGACCGATACATAGATATTGCAACTGAAATATATAGTTATTGCAAATATATATATATATACTTAGCTGTATATTACCCATTGCCTAGTAAAGACTTTTTGTTAATTATCGGGTCAATAAAAGTATTTTGTTTTTTATTTTATAAGTTCCCAATCGTTGCTTAAAACGTCAATTAAATTAATTTTTTTTATTGGAAAAGTTATTCAACCCCAAGATTCTTAATCTATGCTAAAGTTTTGATTTATTACATTACACAGTAAAATAATTTATTTAAAATACACTATTGGGACTTAAGGGGGCGTTCAAGTATTAGGTAACGCTATTTTGGGGGTCTTGTGAAACGTTACGATGCGTTACAAGAGCGGGAGGGAGGCTCTCTCAACGCGTTACTCAACATTGGTTTTTTTTAAGGGATTAAAATCTTCCATTCTGGCAACACTTTTCGTTTATGCTTTACGGGATATCCCTTCGACTGTATTGTACGTCATTTTTTAGTTTATTTTTGTTGTCAGTATTCGCTACGTTTACGGATTTAAAGAAAAATGTTACGGCGCGGTATATGAGGGGGCGGGAGGGTCAAAGATTTTCAAATAAGCGTTACGTAATATTTGAACGTTCCCTAACGCGACGCGACTGCAAGTAAGTAACACTTACATACTCGACGTTTCGCCGTGGATTGGACCAAGTCGTGGTCAGTTCACCTGCATTCGTGTCGTGTTACGTCCTAATCATCGTAACATAGACCCTCTCCATGGACTGCCATAAGGAATGGGAGCATTCCTCATGGCAGTTTACTATTGTGGGGATTTGCCAGTAGTAATAGCACGGTAAAGTATTACAGTATCTATGTACTGTATCTATATATCGGCCCGTAACGGATATTACATTAAAAATCGTCAATTCAATATACAATATTGAAATGAAAAGACCGATAGAAATGACTACAGATATCCGATCGGTATGGGCGATATCAAAATCGGTTATGACCTCTCCGTCATCAATATCCTTGGAACCCAATATATAGATACCGGTCCGGTATAGATATCGCTCACGTCTACTCAAAGGCGTTCAGTATTTATGTGAGTCGAAAATACTCAAGGAAATTACAGTTTTTTTTAATATTTTTTTTGTCCGCCATGATGACTAGTCGTAATGTTTTTCTGCCCTATATTTTCATGCATTTAGCACAATTTATAAAGAATCTACGTATGGCATCTTATCAGCTGTTAACAGGCCACTGTCCACTGTTGGACATAGGCCTCCCATATATGGGTTTTCCAGTAGTTGCCACGTTTAGCAGACGGACTATCAACCGCAGGCTTTGGTGATGTGTTAATAGGCACGCTGCTGCCATCTATGCCCTCTAGGCTCTATCTATGCATATTTTTGTTTATAAAAAAGAAAAATCAATTAAATAATTTCTCACAAAGTCCTAAATATGTATTAAATTTAATTTCAAAGCCCATTTTTTCTTTTATCTATCTTTTTAAGGTCTCTACTTACACTCAATACAGTATTTTTAATTGATAAATAATAAATAAATATAATTGATTATTTTTAAATTTGAATTTTGAGATTTGAGTGTTTACTAATTGTGCTAAGTGTAGAATCAAAAAAATATCTTTTTTTTTTATTTTATTTTATTATGTTTTTACTTGATGACAGATTTAAATGTAATTAATTTCTACTTATTTTTTATTTTTTTTTTACTCGCTTTTTTTTTCTATTTCAATATGGCGACCGTCTGGGAATTTAATGATGTTAAAACAGGCCTGTAGAACTACTGTATTATATAGATAAACTATGTATCATATTGTATAAATTATATGAATCGTATGTACAAATTATAGTGAAATAAAAACATATATTTTAATGTATTTTTGTCTTTTATTTGTTTGATGTAATGTGAAGCGTGATGGGGTCTCACAGGCCACATAGACTGCCACAAGGAACAGGACAGTTCCTTATGATTGTCTATGAGAGAGACTAACATTCAGCCGAAGACAGGTAATGGCTGAGATGACGATGATGGTCTAATTGTGATATCGATCCTTGGCACCCTCCGAAGGGAGCGCTCTACCACAGATAATATAATACTATACTAGTACAGATATATCATCTTGAACAAACAAGTGGAAAGCTCTGAGTCGGTTTATTCATGGGCTTATTTTTAGTTGTTCATATGTACGCTAGATGCCGCTACTTTCTTAGCCGCTCGCCAGCTCAAGCTAATAAATTAATTTACCGATGACTACTAATTGCGATAGCAACTTATATATGGCGTAAATCTCGTTGCGTTTGCTATTGTTGTGGAATGTTCTACGTATACATATAAATAATAATAACCTATCTATTCGAATCGTTTCGGCGGTCTCGTCTTACGTTTATACATATATAGTTCAGTAGGTAAGTATTGCACGAGACTGCGTAGGAGTTTAAATAGCTCGCTTTACATGAATCGTAATACGATTTACTTTACGTAACTCTCCGAATGTGTTAGGTTTTTTTTTATAAATAGATAAGTACTTAGTATACTCGTGTTATCATATCGTTCTATATTTGTCATTCCTGAACTAATTTAGTTACTTTAATTCAATATGCTTTATGTGTTCTTGCGTTCATTGCATGTAAATTTTGTGATAGGTAAAGCGTTTTTGTGGAACAAAACGTTAGTAGTCTAGTGTCTAGTGTCTGAGTGTCTAGTGTCTGAGTGTCTAGTGTCTGAGTGTCTAGTGTCTAGTGTCTAGTGTATGAGTGTCTAGTGTCTGAGTGTCTAGTGTCTGAGTGTCTAGTGTCTAGTGTCTGAGGGTCTAGTGTCTAGTGTCTGAGTGTCTAGTGTCTGAGTGTCTAGTGTCTGAGTGTCTAGTGTCTGAGTGTCTAGTGTCTGAGTGTCTAGTGTCTGAGTGTCTAGTGTCTGAGTGTCTAGTGTCTAGTGTCTAGTGTATGAGTGTCTAGTGTCTGAGTGTCTAGTGTCTGAGTGTCTAGTGTCTAGTGTCTGAGGGTCTAGTGTCTAGTGTCTGAGTGTCTAGTGTCTGAGTGTCTAGTGTCTGAGTGTCTAGTGTCTGAGTGTCTAGTATCTAGTGTATGAGTGTCTAGTGTCTGAGTGTCTAGTGTCTGAGTGTCTAGTGTCTAGTGTCTAGTGTATGAGTGTCTAGTGTCTGAGTGTCTAGTGTCTAGTGTCTGAGGGTCTAGTGTCTAGTGTCTGAGTGTCTAGTGTCTGAGTGTCTAGTGTATGAGTGTCTAGTGTATGAGTGTCTAGTGTCTGAGTGTCTGAGTGTCTAGTGTCTGAGTGTCTAGTATCTAGTGTATGAGTGTCTAGTGTCTGAGTGTCTAGTGTCTGAGTGTCTAGTGTCTAGTGTCTAGTGTATGAGTGTCTAGTGTCTGAGTGTCTAGTGTCTGAGTGTCTAGTGTCTAGTGTCTGAGGGTCTAGTGTCTAGTGTCTGAGTGTCTAGTGTCTGAGTGTCTAGTGTATGAGTGTCTAGTGTCTGAGTGTCTAGTGTCTGAGTGTCTAGTGTATGAGTGTCTGAGTGTCTAGTGTCTGAGTGTCTAGTGTATGAGTGTCTAGTGTCTGAGTGTCTAGTGTCTGAGTGTCTAGTGTATGAGTGTCTAGTGTCTGAGTGTCTAGTGTCTAGTGTCTGAGGGTCTAGTGTCTAGTGTCTGAGTGTCTAGTGTCTGAGTGTCTAGTGTATGAGTGTCTAGTGTCTGAGTGTATAGTGTCTAGTGTCTGAGGGTCTAGTGTCTAGTGTCTGAGTGTCTAGTGTCTGAGTGTCTAGTGTATGAGTGTCTAGTGTCTGAGTGTCTAGTGTCTAGTGTCTGAGTGTCTAGTGTCTGAGTGTCTAGTGTCTGAGTGTCTAGTGTATGAGTGTCTAGTGTCTGAGTGTCTAGTGTCTGAGTGTCTAGTGTCTGAGTGTCTAGTGTCTAGTGTCTGAGTGTCTAGTGTCTAGTGTCTGAGGGTCTAGTGTCTAGTGTCTAGTGTCTGAGTGTCTAGTGTCTGAGTGTCTAGTGTCTGAGTGTCTAGTGTCTAGTGTCTGAGTGTCTAGTGTCTGAGTGTCTAGTGTATGAGTGTCTAGTGTATGAGTGTCTAGTGTCTGAGTGTCTAGTGTCTAGTGTCTGAGTGTCTAGTGTCTGAGTGTCTAGTGTATGAGTGTCTAGTGTATGAGTGTCTAGTGTCTGAGTGTCTAGTGTCTAGTGTCTGAGTGTCTAGTGTCTGAGTGTCTAGTGTATGAGTGTCTAGTGTATGAGTGTCTAGTGTCTGAGTGTCTAGTGTCTGAGTGTCTAGTGTATGAGTGTCTAGTGTCTAGTGTCTAGTGTCTAGTGTCTGAGGGTCTAGTGTCTAGTGTCTAGTGTCTAGTGTCTGAGTGTCTAGTGTATAGTGTCTAGTGTAGTGTCTAGTGTCTGAGTGTCTAGTGTCTGAGTGTCTAGTGTCTGAGTGTCTAGTGTCTGAGTGTCTAGTGTCTAGTGTCTGAGGGTCTAATGTCTAGTGTCTGAGTGTCTAGTGTCTGAGTGTCTAGTGTATGAGTGTCTAGTGTATGAGTGTCTAGTGTCTGAGTGTCTAGTGTCTGAGTGTCTAGTGTCTGAGTGTCTAGTATCTAGTGTATGAGTGTCTAGTGTCTGAGTGTCTAGTGTCTGAGTGTCTAGTGTCTAGTGTATGAGTGTCTAGTGTCTGAGTGTCTAGTGTCTGAGTGTCTAGTGTCTAGTGTCTGAGTGTCTAGTGTCTAGTGTCTGAGTGTCTAGTGTCTGAGTGTCTAGTGTCTGAGTGTCTGAGTGTCTGAGTGTCTAGTGTCTGAGTGTCTAGTGTCTAGTGTATGAGTGTCTAGTGTCTGAGTGTCTAGTGTATGAGTGTCTAGTGTATGAGTGTCTAGTGTCTGAGTGTCTAGTGTCTAGTGTTTGAGTGTCTAGTGTCTGAGTGTCTAGTGTCTGAGTGTCTAGTGTCTAGTGTATGAGTGTCTAGTGTCTGAGTGTCTAGTGTGTGAGTGTCTGAGTGTCTAGTGTCTAGTGTCTGAGTGTCTAGTGTCTGAGTGTCTAGTGTCTGAGTGTCTAGTGTATGAGTGTCTAGTGTCTAGTGTCTGAGTGTCTAGTGTCTGAGTGTCTAGTGTCTAGTGTCTGAGTGTCTAGTGTATGAGTGTCTAGTGTCTAGTGTCTGAGTGTCTAGTGTCTGAGTGTCTAGTGTCTAGTGTCTGAGTGTCTAGTGTCTGAGTGTCTAGTGTCTGAGTGTCTAGTGTCTAGTGTCTGAGTGTCTAGTGTCTAGTGTCTGAGTGTCTAGTGTCTAGTGTCTAGTGTCTGAGTGTCTAGTGTATGAGTGTCTAGTGTTTGAGTGTCTAGTGTCTGAGTGTCTAGTGTCTGAGTGTCTAGTGTCTGAGTGTCTAGTGTCTGAGTGTCTAGTGTCTAGTGTCTGAGTGTCTAGTGTCTAGTGTCTGAGGGTCTAGTGTCTGAGTGTCTAGTGTCTAGTGTCTGAGTGTCTAGTGTCTGAGTGTCTAGTGTTTGAGTGTCTAGTGTCTGAGTGTCTAGTGTCTGAGTGTCTAGTGTCTGAGTGTCTAGTGTATGAGTGTCTAGTGTTTGAGTGTCTAGTGTCTGAGTGTCTAGTGTCTGAGTGTCTAGTGTCTGAGGGTCTAGTGTCTAGTGTCTGAGTGTCTAGTGTATGAGTGTCTAGTGTCTGAGTGTCTAGTGTCTAGTGTCTGAGTGTCTAGTGTCTGAGTGTCTAGTGTATGAGTGTCTAGTGTCTGAGTGTCTAGTGTCTGAGTGTCTAGTGTATGAGTGTCTAGTGTATGAGTGTCTAGTGTCTGAGTGTCTGAGTGTCTAGTGTCTGAGTGTCTAGTGTCTGAGTGTCTAGTATCTAGTGTATGAGTGTCTAGTGTCTGAGTGTCTAGTGTCTGAGTGTCTAGTGTCTAGTGTCTAGTGTATGAGTGTCTAGTGTCTGAGTGTCTAGTGTCTGAGTGTCTAGTGTCTAGTGTCTAGTGTCTAGTGTCTGAGTGTCTAGTGTATTAGTGTCTAGTGTCTGAGTGTCTAGTGTCTGAGTGTCTAGTGTCTGAGTGTCTAGTGTCTGAGTGTCTAGTGTCTGAGTGTCTAGTGTCTAGTGTCTGAGTGTCTAGTGTCTGAGTGTCTAGTGTCTGAGTGTCTAGTGTCTAGTGTCTGTGTGTCTAGTGTCTGAGTGTCTAGTGTCTGAGTGTCTAGTGTCTAGTGTCTGAGTGTCTAGTGTCTGAGTGTCTAGTGTCTGAGTGTCTAGTGTCTGAGTGTCTAGTGTCTGAGTGTCTAGTGTCTAGTGTCTGAGTGTCTAGTGTCTGAGTGTCTAGTGTCTGAGTGTCTAGTGTCTAGTGTCTGAGTGTCTAGTGTCTGTGTCTGAGTGTCAAGTGTCAAGTGTCTAGTGTCTAGTGTCTGAGTGTCTAGTGTCCAAGTGTCTAGTGTCTGAGTGTCTAGTGTCTGAGTGTCTAGTGTCTGAGTGTCTAGTGTCTAGTGTCTAGTGTCTGAGTGTCTAGTCTAGTGTCTGAGTGTCTAGTGTCTAGTGTCTGAGTGTCTAGTGTCTGAGTGTCTAGTGTCTGAGTGTCTAGTCTAGTGTCTGAGTGTCTAGTGTCTAGTGTCTGAGTGTCTAGTGTCTGAGTGTCTAGTGTCTGAGTGTCTAGTGTCTGAGTGTCTAGTGTCTGAGTGTCTAGTGTCTAGTGTCTGAGTGTCTAGTGTCTAGTGTCTGAGTGTCTAGTGTCTGAGTGTCTAGTGTCTGAGTGTCTAGTGTCTGAGTGTGTTGTGTCTGAGTGTCTAGTGTCTGAGTGTCTAGTGTCTGAGTGTCTAGTGTCTGAGTGTCTAGTGTCTGAGTGTCTAGTGTCTGAGTGTCTAGTGTCTAGTGTCTAGTGTCTGAGTGTCTAGTGTCTAGTGTCTAGTGTCTAGT